ATAAAATGCGTCGTAGGCAATATACAAATGAATTTAATAATTTAAAAAAAAAGCGTTTATACCAGGGACGGTGCTTTACTGTTGTAGGTTACAGTGAGGAAGGAGGGATACAAAAAGTTATTTAATTTATACCTTTAACTAACGATAAACCATTAATAACGAAAAATGATTCGAAGCGAAATTCGGTTATACAAGTATTGAAAAGCCGTAGTAATTATGATTTTCGACAAAATGATTTTAATGATTTTAAAACTCTTATATAAATATATAAAAAAAATACTACATTACACTAAATTTTATTTTTTGAAACAAAATACATTTCCTTATTACCCAACCGATATATTAAACATATCACATATAATATCTGCATAACCTTAGAACTTCAAAAACCTATAATTTTGAAACTAAGTCAGTACGCTCAATTCCGACATCATTATCGTTCTTAAATTTGCAATATACATAATATATTCAAAACAAAACAAATTGAAAAATTTGCATGAACCAGGAACAAGGTTTTGTTCCACATAATTTTTCGTCGTAAAACTTTCAAATTATTTGAGCTATTTTGCGTAGTGTCCCATTTTATATTTTTACCGTGACGTATCCATATTATATACATCGTCCGAACGTCATATTATTCCCTTCCCATCACTCACTTTTCTATGATACTGCTGCTAAAATTTCCTATAATTTCAATGGATTATGCATTAGTAGGGTGACTCAGTGTTGAATTATTGTGGATAAGGTTAACAGAAATAAATAAGGGTTGAGAGCCACTGCACTAGACGGATCGGTCTGAAATTTGGCAATTACAGGTAGCTATTATGACGTAGAAATCCGTTAAGAAAGGAGTTTTTGAAGATTTAACATCTAGAGGTTAAAATAAGAGTTTTTAGATAATATTGGTACGAATATCTAGTTGTTTATTTATTTATTTTGGTTTATTCATGGGTTTCCTTACCTTGGTGATACAAAGACCTACGGATGAAACAAAAAAAACAAATTGGCCCGGACTCACCTGACGGGACACCTAGTATATATTATATGTATAGTTTATTGTCTTACAAATATTCAAATATTAATTGTAGTTATTACATGTAGGTACTAAAATAATATTTTTGTTGATTTACTAGTTACCTAAATGCGAGAATTTCAAAAATATTTGCATTTTTCCGTGGATTTTGTGGACGTTTTTTTTTATTGGAATCCATTACCAGCCTTTAAAAATAAATAAATACATATAAGTGAATTAAGGTAAATACCAGCCAGGTACGTAACAAGAAAAAATTTTGATTAGGGTCATAAATATAAAAATTAAACATTTTGAACTATAAAACTAGTATATGATGTGGAATTTTTAAATTTTCAAGGAGAGCCTCTAAAACCCGCTCATGTATACGTGCATGTTTGGTACTAGCTACATCAATATTTGTAATTATTTTGATAACTCACCTATTTATTATATAGACTGCAGCGAGTTCTGAATAGTTTAAAATTATTGTTAACTACACCTATAAAATGTTCGATATTTTATAAGTGTTGTTACAAAATAAGTACTTTAAATAATTTAAGCAAATTTAACTGTATAATATAATTTATGACATACGTACATATTAGGCTTTACCATGTATATGATATCAAGTGTTGAACGCTAAATAAATATGAATATAGTTTATTTTTCGATATTTTCGATTAAAAATTATCAGGATTAACGTTGGTTATACTTACATTGACTGGCTATACATCCACAAAAAAAAAAGAAACTAATAAGTTTCAATTTGTAACAAACACATGTCAAAATCGTGAATATACCTATTTCCACTACTTCAGATTAGAAAAGTGATAATTTATTAGTGCTATCGGTATTGTATATTATGATTATCTATGTAAACAATAGATTAAAGAACACTTATAAAATGAGATTTGTGAGTCAGGATTTTTGACTTATACTACATAATTTCATAATATGATTGTGATTTTAATAAATAGAAATTAAAACATATATAATATTTACTTTGTCCAACTGTATGTTTTTAGTTAATATAAAGACGTACACATTCAGATGTACCATAGAGGTAATCACGAGAACTTCTAGATAAATTTTTGTAGATGTAACCTCAAAATATTCGTCAGATTCCGTTGAGTGTCATAGGCTATTTTTAACCCTCCCCCCAATGAAAACTAATGTAACAAAATTCAGTTTAAGGTAGTTAATAATAAAAAAATTAAATTATTTTTGTCAAATTATTGATAAGGTACCATAGTAACACAAATAAAATGAAAAAAAAATATAAAACAAAAAATAAATAATAAACAAATATAAAAATTCCAAAACAACCATAAAAACTTATCATTAAGAGTCTATCTGACTGTCTGCCAGTCTATTCCGGTCCATTCTGAAATCTGAATGAAGCAAGGATTCTATTGGTTTTACCATGATGTTAATTATTTATTTTTAAAAACTTTTCATCTATGAACAACCTTTTTACCAAACATTTTGCTCCGATTTTCTAATGTAGTAATTTTTCTAATAGAAAGATTTGATTGGGGCGGTACTTTAAGAAGGTCATTTATGGATTTTCCCAAGGGTTTTCATAATAAATGGAGAAATCGGGAAATTGTACAAAATGTATTATTTTCAAAAAGTAAATACTATCTTTCAAAACATATATAACCGAAATCTGCTCAAAATCATTTTTTGTTAACAATGATTAATGTTTGTGTACAGATATATATTCAATTTCCTTTCCACCTCTCTAACTCCTCACCTACAACAGTGGTTCACCCATCGTGCGAAGTATGTTCATTTTTTTCGTTCAATATATTGATAGTTGATATAGCAAATCAAAACGGGAATAAAGAAAAAAAATATTCAAAAATTGCATGGGCAATACCAGGCCAATTTATCTTCAATAGGATAATGTCAAAACTTGCACGAGAAAAACATTAAAATATTCTTGTTACATATTTCTACAATAGATAAAATATTTAACGTTTCTTTAAAAATAGAAGAAAACTACCATTTGCAATTAGAAAATCATAAGATAAAAGAAATTAACGTAACATAAAGTTATACATATGATTAAAATTTATCATAAATTATAATTATAATAAAATTTAGCTTAAATGTACAAACAGTAATGTAATTAAATATTTTATAAGTACTAAAATGAAATCTTAAGTAACCTAAATATTTTAAAAAATTAGTTTTATTTGTTTATTACAATACAATTTTCAATTATTTATTAAAGTTTACCGTAGGAACTATAATATTATCAAAAAGACATTCATACATCGCATGATGGGTGGCCACTAATGTGGGTGAGTAGTTGGGAACGTAGGTTATAGAGGGGAATTTAATGTATATCTTTATGCAAAGAATTATCTTTGCAAAAAAACAATGTTAAGCATAGTTCGGTAATATATATGTTTTAAAACGCCATAAAGTTTACGATTTTCGTCAATATTTGATATTAAAATTCTTATAAAAAAAATTACATTAAACTCAAATTTTTCTCGTTGATCACTAAGAACAGTTTATAATGAACTACCTGTTAAACCGTCAAACATTTCTGCTTGGTCTAAAAATGTTATTTTACCGAATAAATATTACGTGAAAAACTTGCAAAATTAAAAATTTTAAAAGTTAAAAATGGCTTAGGAATTTTGAAAATTTTACCACGTCTATAAAAGCCTAATATAAGGTTTCTGTTAAAATGTCAAGTTTCTATGAATATTTTTCACTGAATGATGGATGCAGCCACTGATGTTGGTGAGAGTTTGGGAAGGTAGGATATAGAAGGGAAATTAATTTTTATCAATATTAATACTATTTATGCTCCCCCCCACCCAATCAGACATCCTGAATCTACGCCTAACAATACATCTAATAACACTGAAATAATTTGAATCAAATTCAATCACAAATTAAAATTTAAGAGTTCAGTGTAATAACCATATAAGGCTACTTTTTTGAAAATCGACTTTTGTATCAGAGATAATAGTGGAGAAACTGCTTTTGTGTATTGATGCAACAAACAGATATGTTCATAGTCTATTCATATTGTAATACATTATTATTCAATATAACCATTGAGTAAATTTAAACTGATATGGATCAAGTAAGTCTTTTATTCAATGTAAAGTATTTACTAAACACGAATACTTGCCTTTATACGTCTCAACATTTAGCTGACCATCAAAAAAGTTATCATAAATTTTCTCATACAAAATTATAACATTGAATAAAAAAAATACAATTGTCATCATTATTATGATAAACACACGAAGGCAAGGTAATGATTGGGGTTTCGATTGATTTATTGATTAATTAAAGATAATATTTTGAATAGCTTATAAGCAGCATAAAATTAAATAATGCCTTGAAAGAGTAAATTACACATTTTTAATCAAGTTGACGAGTTAGAAAATCGTGTTTAGATTTCCCCTGTAGTTTTCTTAGTAATTGCGAAAAATCGAGAAAAGACGTAAAATCAAAACGGGTAAATTTACGGCACTACGATTATAATTATAAAAAGACATGCAATTTTCACAGAAAACTTATACTGGTTTTTTCTAGGGAAGACATGTTAGATCATTCTGCAAAATCTATGTATAGACATTTTAGATTTTTGAGTTTGATTTTAGTTTTTATTTGGTAGGCAGGTATTATCTTTCTTAAGATAAAACTGTTTGAACAAACAAAAATACTCCATAATTTATCTCAACGTGTATTATAAATAGGTAGTAGTGGTAAAAAAAAATTGAGTTTTTTTTATTAGTTTTAGTATAAAATATTTGACGGATATCTTAAAAATTAAAAATCAGCTCTTTTGTATACCTATTAAAAAACCCTATACCTATTAAATAACTGAACAATATCTAATTTCATTTTAGATTAATATTAGTAGCATATATTTAATATAATTTATTAATTTAATGTAAGAAAAAAATAAATAACTTGTACCTATGTAAAAATCGAAAAAAAACATAAAAACAAATTATAGATACTAAAAATACAATTTATTATTCAATTAAGCCTTATAAGTAGGTAAGTCACAATTGAATGGTATATAATGTATCTGTATATAATATTTTGACAATAATAAAACTGTATTATCTACGTAAATCGCATTAAAATAAGACAATTAAGGTTAAATACGTTATTAAAATATGTTCAAAAGTTAGATAATTTATTTAATCAACAGAGTTGCACAAATATGTAATTTCTTCATAAGTGACAATATAATTATCAACACTCAATATTCAAGGATCTGGTCTTCATAGAGATATAGCTCTAAAGAAACATACGTATACAAATCTGAACCAATGAAAAATACAATAAATCTAACAAAAATAATATTATCTAAAAGTACTACCTCTGCAGCTGTACGTTTCAACAAATCAGCCGTGGATCGTCCAGTTTGTTCGACCATTTTGTGAAAATATCCTTCATTATTTTTTAACAAGTTAAAAGAGTGATCAAACTCGACCATATGTCCTGCATCCATAACAATAATCTTATCAGAATCTATAACCGTGTTTAAACGATGAGCAATCGTCAGTACAGTACACTTATCAAAATATTTTCTTATTGTATTTTGAATTAATATGTCAGTCCTGATAAATGAAAAAAGTTGTATCTATTTAGATTATTGTGTCTAACACTACCCCTATATAATAACTCAACCATGAAGTATAGTGGTCGGAAACCTTTTAACACTCACGCGCTTTAAAAACATGGTGGAGTAGATGGTTATCTATGTAGGTTTTTAATTTTGTTCATACAATAAAAAGACTTATTCATATTATATGTATGTAGAACCAAACATACCGTACAATTGATAGGCTATATTTTTCCTTTTTAAAAATGATGGTGAACGTTCAGTAAAAACATATGAAGCTATTGTTTGAAGACGTTTTTATGATTATTTTTGTGATTGTAAATCTATTATTCCATTTTTAAAATTAAAATATTTATATTATATAATGCTTATAAAGATCAGACTGTGTGAAACAAACGTGCGGGACAGATCGAATCGCCAGTTTCCGACCACTGATCTAGAAGGTATATTTTGTATTACTCTGGATCGACATTTGCAGTGGCCTCATCCAGTACTAGAATTTTATTCTTTCGAATTATTGCCCTTGCCAAACATACTAGTTGTCTTTGTCCAACACTGAAATTGGAACCATTTTCAGACATTTTTGTGTTCAAACCACCGGGTAAATTCTGAATTGTTTTCCTGAGTTCGATCTGAAGCATAAAATAAAAACTAAAATAATAAACAGACCTTGTAAATGAAAAATTTTTAAACTATAACTATTACTTTTTCTAAAGCGTCCCAAAGAACATGATCGAGGTATTCATCGAATGGATCTAAATTTGTTCGCATTGTTCCGGAAAACAAAACAGGTTCTTGAGGAATAATGGAAATCTTAGATCGTAATTCGTGTAGTCTTATTGAATGTATATCTATTTCATCAATGAAGATGTTGCCTTCATTTAGAGCTAACCTAAACAATGCTGCTATAATTGATGATTTGCCAGCTCCAGTTCTACCAACAATCCCAATCTATTAAAAATAAAGGATATGAAAAAAATCTTCCATATATATTTTGAATTAAGTCAAATAACTTTTTCTGTAGGTAGAATTGTAATATTGAGATTTTTTAAAACATGTGGCATATCTGGATTGTAACGCAGGTAATAATTTAGAAAAACAATTTTCCCATGAATCGGCCAATCTTTTGGAGGTGACTTATCTGCATTAAAAATACAAATCACATTAGATCCCGAACGGAACGAGGGATGTATTAGTTTTAAATTGACGTTTATTTTTTTTTTTTTTTCTGTAAACATTTCAGCCAGAAATTTTTCTGTGATTTTGCTAGTGTTAAAGAGGAAATATGACTGGGGTGACACTTTAGAAAACTCATTTTTTGATTTTGTTAAGGCTTTTTATGAAAAATGGGAAAAACCACGAAAAAAAAATGAAAAATGGGAAAATTTACAAAATGTATGATCTTCAATTCATAAATATTACGGCCTTTCGAAGAAAGGATAACCCAAACCCGCTCAGAATCGTTTTTCATTATTAATTTTGAATGGATGAATACAAATATACATTAAATTTTCCTTCTGCCATTCCATCTTCTCACTTACAACAATGGTTAAAGCCGAAATTTTCAAATACTTAGATTTTTCACCAAATTTATGGTGTATACTGTGACTATACCAATTAAAAAATAATTTTTCAAATGAGAACCTAGACTAAATATTCCATGAGACAACGGAGTATTAGGTACACTCCAAAAATCAGAATTTTAATATATGCTAAATTTGACAAAAAAAAAAAATAAGGTGAATAGGCTTAGTGAATCACTCTATATAATACATATATTTTTTTAAAATTTGTATTCATCACCTGATTCTGCCAGAAGTTTAGCTTCTTGTGGAGTATTCGAGTACTCAAGTACTCTTTCAACAGAGTTCATTTCGTTTTCTAATACGGCTGATTGTCGTATTCCCCATTGAATCATTCCAGTAAGAGAATATAATTGAGTTAATGTCAGACCAATATTACCTCCATTTGTGTCTAAAAAGACAATCACAGTTAATGATACAGTTGAAACCTATTTTGCATTCATACTGCTTACTGTTGCCCATAAATAAAAAAGTAAACGTTATAATACTCATATAAACAACACAAATGATATCCAACCAAACACCAAATCCTTCGTTTAAAGCAATAAACATATACCACGCAGAGGAATGCGAGTCCTAGGTTTTTAATCAAAAATAAAACAATTTGTAAAAAATGTGAGAACAAGCTACATAACTTCTATAATTACTTGACGTTTGTCAAATTCTTTAATTAAGACATTTTCTGTTTTATGTGCTCTTATTGTGATTAAACCTTCCATAGAAGAAGTCATATGCCCATATATGGGACTTCGTGCTGGTTAAAGAATTAAAAATATTTTATGATTTTATGAAACATTTTAAGGAGGTTGGAAACTGTTGATCATATTTTTTTCAATTTTTTAACATTAGGATAATGTTACAATCGGATACTGCAAAGTGAAAAGTATATCTAAATCCCTTTTGCTTATTGGTCTTAAACTTAAACTTAAATGAAAAAAAGTGTGTCAAGTGTGTTCCAGTAATTAAATTAGTTTCGTTCTTACTAATCCCCTCCAAGCGTTTTACACTTCGAGATGTTGGTAAATAGAAAATTCTAAAGTAATTAAAAATTACTGCAGCAAGAATCGTTGGTATCATTAGGTATATATTAAGTAGTCCAATAACAAGGACTATTCCTGAACAAGCCATTGTAACCTAATTGTAATATTTACAAATAAATTATTATACTTTCTATAGAAATAGAGCGATATTAATTAAATCTTTTAGATATAACATTACTTGTAAGCAAGAATACAAAACAAATGGTAAAGATTCATCAATAGCACCAATGTCTTTTGAAAAACGATTTAAAATCCGCCCTGAAAAAATACATTTTTATTAGCACGTTATCATAAGTAATTCAACATGTAACCATGTGTTAACTTTAAATTATTATTACCGGAAGAATTAATGTTGAAAAAATACATTGTCGTTCTAATTAAAGAATTGAACATTTTATTATGTAAATTTATTGAGATACTTGTACATGCTGATACAAATATTGCAGATCTCATGATAATAGCTAGTACCATACAAGCTGTGATAACAGTATATATTAATAAACGGTTAAAACGGAAATTTGATGACATATCAGCCAAATCATTAACCGTCAAAGTATTATTTAATGGTATTGTTTTATTTTCTTTGTAAAAATAATCTTCTTCTTCGTTTACCCTAAACACATATTTTAAGTATTTTAAATGTGTGAGTATGTGTATTATAAATTAAATTTACGTTACCATAAACTAAGCCAGAAATCTCCAAATGTAGATATCACTTGACTTAAAATAAAAATTAACAAAACAAAAATATTTTTATAAATACTCCCGCAGGAATAAAAATATGATATATAAACATTTTTTGAAATATGCCCATGAGAACAAATCTCTCTATCTTCGGTAGGTGTAGCAATAGCTCCATCAATAGGTAATTCAATACTTTCAACAGAGACTGATAATATAGGATCTATATTTAAACTTTTTTTATTATATGCATTATTGCATTCAATTTGAGATTCAATCATAGTTTTTTCTGAGAATCCTAATAATTTTGAAAAGTCATAACCGGAGTTTTGAAGTTTCTGATATGAACCAGTAGTTTTTATACTTGCCTAATACGAACAAACACAATCAATTTAAGGTGAATTATCATTATGGTTATGATTACATTTTAAGCATTGAACAAAAAATGTAAATTGTTAATCAAAGTAAATTACTATTGAGTATTATTGGTTTACAATACAATTTTGTGCTACACAAATTGTATAATAATTATTATTTTTGTATTAATATTTACATTTTCCATGAGAACAATTTGATCTACATCACTTAAGAATTGTATCTGATGTGTGATTAAAATACAAGTTTGTTCTTTGAGGTAACCTAAAAAACAATACATATTGAAAAAGTTACAAAACCGATCCAATAAATATTTACCCTTTATACACTTTTCAAACAAATGTTTGCCAACACGAGTATCAACGGCCGACAATGGGTCATCCAATAAATAAATATCTGCTTGTTTATATATGGCTCTAATATATATTGTTAAAATTAAAATAATACAATTGACTTGTTGAGTTATATTTACCTTGCCAAGTTTATTCTTGCCCTTTGTCCACCACTAAGAGTTACACCTCTTTCACCTACTATTGTACGATCGCCGTATGGAAAATGTTCCAAATCGTTTTTTAATGCGCATGCTTTTATGACCTGTTCCAATGACAATAACAGAAATTATATATGTAAGTTTATATTATAAGTTATTTTTCACTTGTTTATAACGTTGTTTATCCATTGGTGAGTGGAATAATATATTATCTAAAATAGATCCTGACAATATCCAAGGTTCTTGAGAGGCGTAAGAAACTACCCCACTAATAGAAATGTTCCCATTGGAAAGTGGCAATTCTCCTAAAATCGCTTGTAATAACGAACTCTGAACAAATAATTTATTATTTTTTTCTTAATTTATTGATGTTTTCAGTTATAAAAAGTTTATACTTTTCCAGATCCTACTGAACCAATAACTGCAATCAATCTACCGGGTCCAACGTTGAAATTAATATTTTCCAACGTATTATCTGTTTGGTCATAAGCCCATTTTGCAGTAGCATTTGATACGACTATGCCAATGTTATTTGAATTTTGAAAATCAATTTTTGTGTCACTGTTATTCACAATGGATAATTCATTTGGTTCAGAATGCAATTCATTCACAGGCTTCAACATCTGACTGTCTCTTTCAATGAGTATTAAAAAATGCTGTATATAAACATAAATGTATTATACATTTGACGATTGTAATAATGGTTATGGTACTTAATTTTTTAGTTTTGATAATAGAGAAAGAATATATGTAAACCTGTATGCGTTTTATTGATACTAGAAGTTCAGCTAGTTGAGATGGTGCTTGTGAGAAAAACAATCCCATTGTAAACCGTAAAAGTGAATAATAAGAAATTACAACATATACCTTAGAATAAATACAAAAATGTTCTACTGAGTATATTATTTTTATTGACATAATAAATTTAATGTGCTTATTTACTTTTTCCGCTGAGATATAATTTCCTAGTAATACGTATGACAAAATCATAACAAATATTTGTAATTTTGTTTGAAAGTCTATGAATGACTGTGCAATAGTTCTGATTATTGATGATCCTCTGACTTTTTGAATTTCCATTCTAAATGTTTTTGACTTGTTATACATGGTATTTAAAACGAATTAAGGTATTTTAAAGATAAAGGTACTGTAGCAATATTTATTTAATCGTTTTTAACGAATTACAATTTTTTTTTTTGTATAGTTTACATACCTCCGCACATTTTCAATAAGTTTTGCAAATGATTTTTCCCAAGCATACATTTTTATTACATGTATGCCCGAAATAATTTCATTCATTAAACGTATTCTGTTGTCTGTCAAATTAGCTGTCATTAATCGAAAATTCATAATTTTTTTCCCAAACCAACCTATAAAAAAATTTAATATTGCATACTATAATTTATTCTATTTATGAATTGATTTTTTTTATATTTTACACTAATATTTTCTTACCTTGGAAAGGGATAAAAATTAATAAGGTCGCCACTCCTATTAATGATGAAATACCTATTTCTTGCCATACTAAATATGTGACTATAATGGTTTGTACAGGACCAATAAATAAATATTGAATGCCTGGTAATGTTATATCAAATCTACTAACATCATTTGATATCAAATTTATCACTTGGCCGACCGTAGTTTCTCTGAGTGCGATATGACTTAAACATAGTGCCTAAACAACATAAATACTGCCGTATATTATACAAAAAATAAGATGATTTTTTAGAAAAAATATACAAACTGCCCTCGAAAATTTTCTACTTTTAAATTTTTAAATAATAATCATTTTTAAAATTTATCAAAATTTATTTTAGTCAAACATGTTTCAAAATACTTTTTTTTTTTGGCTCAATTATAGTATTTATTAAAGATAAGTGATTAACAAAATATCAATAATTTTTTTTTAAATTTCCTAGTTATTTTATTTTTTAATTGTACAGTTATTATATAGTACCATATTTACGAAAATTTGATTACAATATATACCTTTATTACTTTTATTGTACAATAGTTGTAAATAATTTAACAACTAATTGCACTGTAATTGTCTAATAAACATCTCAAATGAGTGATTAAATTTGTTTTTCCTTTATGTTTACCTTTCTATAAATTACTGAACAGCAAGCCACTCTCATCTTCATGCCACAGTGTAAAATCTCGAACGAAACCAAATGAAATAATGATGACGTAATATATATACCAAAAAAAAAAGCAAGTGCCCAAACGTATGCTTGTCTTAAGTCAATGTTATTAGAACTATCGTTGCTGAAATATGATAACAATCTGCCAATGCACAGTGGTAAAGCTATTCTAATTAAAGACACACAAAAAAAAAATCGTAACTATTAATTGTCATTGTTTCATGTTAATAAACCCATTAAACAATAGGTAGGTATAAGATAGATAAACCGATAGTTAACTCAAATAAATTTTCAACCCAACCATCGCTGTAATATTTTCGAGTAGTTTAATATTTAATACTTTTATATAAAACCTGTCAATATTTAAATCACCTGTAAATTATTTGAATTCAACAATATTACAAAATTAGTGAACTATGTTTTGACAGTAAAATTTCTTATAATATTATTACTAACTCACTTTAAAATCAGTTCGTTGACGGCTATTAAAAAACCACAAATCATATATTTAACTCCAAACGTCCGCATCAAAGCTCTCAACAGACTAGGTCTGCGATTGGTTTTTAGTGACATTTTTTGTTCTTCTATCCATTCCCTTAATTCAAAATACAAATCAATTTCAAATCTTTATCGTTACATCTTTAATTATTTAATGTTTCACTTTTCTAATTCATTTCCTAAAAATGACGATGTGTGTTCTTTTAATGGTATATACAAATCATTCTCATCTAAATCTCTTTTTAGTCCCAGTTTGAATAAGTTGACCAACCAGCTAATTTAACAAATAGAAAATAAAATATTTAAAAAGGAAGTATTAAATATATTATGTTAATAATAGTAGATTCAATTTAATTTCTCAAATTTTGTAACCCACGTAAATTTGTTTCTAATAATAAAGATATTTAACATGCCAAAACCAAAGTTTACGATTACTCCCGTGGCACAAATTTACAAGCATGTCAGCAAATCTAACGAAATTGCACTATCATTGCGCATTTGCTTTCAGTATCTTTTAATTTCAGGAATATTACATCTGATATAAAGGCAGCAGGCTGTCGAGTGGTGTTGACGACAATTAAAGAAATCTGTAATACGGCGGCCGTGTTTTATACTCACTGTTATCTCCTGTATATTTATGCTATGGTTACACGGGTACTGCAATATTTAAATATGTTCAGTCATGCACAGTACACATACTGGTGACTTTTTATTTTGAAGGCTTACACGGTACCAGTAGCTGGTGTGCTATCTGACAAGCAAACTGGAAGGCCATTAGCGTGTGACAAATAACATGCCAGCAACTTTCTGGCTCTTATCGTTTACACAACTCCACTTACATATATATTTTGATCTACCGGTTTAACCAGCAACTGGCTGGAAACGTTTACATGTTACCAGTCGCTGGTATTCAGTAACTGGCAATATCGATTGATATGCAGTCTGGCACCGTGTAAATAAATCTTAAATAGAGTATAGCGTAATTTGTAATAATTAATATAGTGTTATAATCAGAAACTGGTTTACAGAGAGGTTTAAAACTAACCCCTCTTCTCTACAAAGGCTCTAAATTATTAAATTAATTTGTTTAACATGACGAAAGGTAATTTTTTTTAGATAAAATTGTGCATAAATTATAAACAAATTACTTTATAGTTTATGTTAATCATTTTCGTAATGTTAAAAAATTAGATTAAACAAGTTAAGAGTTTTCAGAGGAAAAACTGCAACTGAAAAATAATTTTCGGGGTCGGAGGGTTGTAAACTAAAAATCTGTGGTGTTTTTTGACTGAAATAATTACTTTTCCAATAACATAATTTTTACACGAAATATTTTCAGTTGGGGGGACTCAAGGTATAACCTTGGTAAGAGTGGGAACTTTTAAATCCCCTTACCATTTTTGATCGTCTAAGTAATATTTTGACATTTGTGAAAACGTTTTAGATTTTAAATGCATGTAAATCCGTTTCCCAATATTATAAATAACGATTCTATCAACGGGAATTTAAGACGTTCTAAACTTAAATATCAAAACGTATCAATAAATTGTCAAACATTCACGCAAATCTTGATAAAATAAATAATTTTATTTGTCATACATTTACCTAAATGTAACAATTTCAAAAACGGTTGCCTTTTCTCTCGGGTGTTGTGGACGTTTTACTTTATCGGCATTCAACAGTTGCCTGGAAAATCGAACAAATCAAACTTAGTGAATAACCATAGGTTAATAATAGTAGATCAACATGTTTTAAATACTAACCTATCAGCCATTATGGACTGTATAGCGAGATCTTAGTATTGCGTTATGGTTTTTAATTTGCTAATTGTACATCATTTTCAATGTTCTTTTTCTAAAATCAAATATATATATTATATAAAAATGAATAATAAAATAAATTATAAAAAAATATATTAAAAACTACTTTTTCTGTTGGAAAGTATTTTGTCAGAAAAATATTTCGTCGGATCTATTCAATATAATTTCATCATCAGCACTCCGTGACTGCATGTTATCGTCGTTGGGTAAAATACGAAAATTCCGGCTAAATACAGTTCCGACAACATATTTTCCTACGAATTATTTTTCCGAAAAAAAACTTTCCGACAAAATACTTTCTGACAAATCATTTTACCGACGAAATGCGGTTCCTACAAAATATTTTTCCAAAAAAATAAGGTGTGAACAAAATATTTTCCAATATTTTACGTGCCACCTAAAATATTACCGAAAAATTGTAGTCACACGTTTTCGTAGGTCCAAAAATGTTCGTAGGCTCTAGGTACTGTGCCTACAGTGCCTATTCGCTAATACGACTTTGAGTGCGCATATACAAATTATAAAAGCATTAAATAGTAGCTTAAATAGTCATAATAACTCATAAGAATTCTTAAAGGTATGCCTACAATAGTGCGTTTGAAGACAATAACGGTCGACGATTTCTGAAGAAATGAATAACATTTTTAAAAGTCTGACGTATACTCTTAGATTATATGCAATAAGCTACGGCTATACATATCTTATGTGAAACGAGTATATCGCCAACATATTATCAGGAAGGCGTGTAGCTACTGCGCATATTGTATCGCCCTCTTCTTAATACTATTAAAACCTATATTGGTTATTCAGATGTATATTTTACATAAAGTTGTATATTACAATTATGTGATATTTTATTAGGTAGCTTGTGATAAGACTGATAAAAATACTTCACTCGTGTGCAATAGTGATCCGCCCTCTTGATATGTTGGCGACTCGTTTTATTTCTTATAGATCTGTCCATTGTACATGATCTAAGCGTGTACTATTACCGTTTTTATATAATATTAATAAATTTATTATAAATCTACTGTTATGTCAATATAGAAATAAATTTAAAGACTAAAATTGATAATCATAATAATTGTACTTCTAATGAAGATATCAAATATAATTGGCTTAATGCTGATTATGAAAAAATAAATCGATCTCTTGGTAATATAAATTTCTTGGATATATTTGCCAGTAATAATATTAATACTAATATTGAACTTTTTTATAATTCTGTATTTAATTTAATTAATAATTTCATTCCCACATACTTTAATTATAAATCTCATTTTCCATTCTGGTTTAGCAATGAATTCAAATATCTTATAAAACAAAAAAAAAAGCACACGCACACTTTAAAGCAGGGGTCGGCAAACTTTTTGATGTCAAGGGCCAAAAAATAAAAATAAATTTTTTCACGGGCCATAATTTGAATACACCTTATTTTATTTAAACGAAATGTCATAGTAATTTAAAATTTAATTTATTTAAGTACTTAGTACATCACTGGTTGGTACATTAATTATCGAGGTATCTACAAACAAAGTTATACTAATAATTACACGTAATAATAATAATAGTAAAATACATAGTAAAATATAGTATAATATTGGAAAAAATAAATAAATAAAAATTAATGTGATTTTTGAGTTTGAATAGTATCAACAAGTTTATTGATAGCAGGTTTTATTTTTGATGTAGAAATTCTCAATACAGCGTTTAAGTGACCATCGGTTAATCGCGAAGCATATTTGCTTTTCCGATATTTCATTAGTGAAAAAGTTTGTTCACAAATATAAGTGCTCCCAAATATGGTCAACATTTTTTTAGCAAAATATTTTATTTTGCTAAATTTTGTTTCACAGAGACTCGAATAAAACTGAATTAAGTTATGACAATCACGAAAAGCGGTTTTAAGACATTCGTCACTTTGCAACTCAATAATTTCCATTTGTAAACAGCTTTCAACGTCATTAGTATCAACTATAAACGGGTTCTGAAATAATTTAATTTTGAAGTCAATTGAATAAAAATCAGAAAATCTGGTTGAAAATTCATTTTGTAACTTTTCAATGATACTCATAAATTTTACTTTAACTTCTTCCCAGTTACATTGTTGAAATGTTTCCATGGCTTTTTTACAACAAACAAAATGATCTAACTTTTTTTCATCAACATGCTTGTAAAACAATTTTAATTTCACCGTAAATGATTTTATATCAGAGTACATATCCGGTAATAGTTTTTCTTTCCCTTGTAATTTTACATTTAATTCATTTAAAAATGTGGTCAAGTCAGTTAAAAAAGCAAGGTCGATTACACTTCACTAGAAAATCGATTCAGTAATACTAAGTCGTATTTCGTTTTGTATAATAAATTATTATCGATGTTTAACGAAACGTAGATAACGTGTACAATGTTTCTGTACATAATATCTATTTTTGTTCAATAATTGTACAACTAACTTCTCGTGAGAAATGCCAATTTTTATCAGCAAAGATTACGTGTTGTATAATATTTTTAAACTAACTATAAATTATTATCGCGGGCCGCATAAAATTGCTATGCAGGCCGCATGCGGCCCATGGACCACGGGTTGCGAACCCCTGCTTTAAAGTATCTATGTCTCACCTTCAGAATACAACAAATTTCAAATTTAAGAATTTGATGAAACTAATGATCATCGGTAATAGTACTAGGCTTGATTTATTCTTTTGTAATCCATGTGATATTAAGATTTTTTTTTCTATAGACAACTTTTCTACCAGCATTTTTGCTTCGATTTACAATTATAATACATTTTATAAAAGGAAATCTGACTGGAGAGGTGCCTACTTAATGGAGGTCATTTTTTGATTTTCTCAGGAGTTTTCCCGATAATTGGGAAAACCGGAAAAAACGTAAGAAAAACGGGAAAATAGGTACAATATTAAATAAATATTATTAAAGAAAATGGTTAATGCCTATATTATCATTTTATCATAATATAGCATACATATATATATTGTTGACAACTCAACACTACCAACTGAATTCCGCTCAGAATCGTTTTTTCGTTAGCAATGGTTAGTCATTGAGTACATAATGTGCATTAAATTCCCATGCAATTCTAAGCAGAACTTCCCATCATCAACAGTGGCTACAATCCTATTATGACAGCTTTTTATTATTATCATCATTCGTAAAGGAGCCACCAATTTGGTTTTCAAAATCAGAAAAGCCTCGGACTCAAAAAGGTTGAAAACCACTGTAATAAACGATAGACTCTTCAAGAGCTCAAAATAGTATTATTGATAGCGTTCGTTGATAACGGGTAATGTCAAATGGCAACTGCACTATTACAGGTAAAAAGTTTTCTTTTTATTTCTTTGTATTTATATTATATAATAATTAATCCCATTCGAATCATTTTGGACCATTGTGAGAATGTCAGTGGCACTAATTATTTTTGTTCAGTCGTGGCAAAATTGGGTAGCATAAAATTACAACTAAGGGACACTAGTGCCACGCACATTATATACATATATTTTTTTAAATTTTATTTAAGACAATCTACAATCTATACAACAATATGCACATTAATTAAATAAAAGAATACAAAAGAAATAACAATGAATATTTTGATTTTGGGGAATTACGCAGTGGTAACACCCAGCACGTGATATTAATTATTTAATGTCGGTTAAGATGGATTTTTTTTTTATGCTAGGACAAAAGGTCCCTGCACCATTTTCTTTTCTTTTTATACATTAAAAATATATGCTCTGCCACGTTTTAAAAGGCCACAATACTTACGATTTTTGTCAGAAATTTATATTAAAATTCGTACAACGAATTCTAAAATACTCTCAATTTTTATTTTTATTGACCACAAAAACCAATTTTCAAGCATTTCTGTTAAGTCTAAAAATTGTATCTACGGAGTAGGTACCTACCAAATAAAAATTACGTAAAAAATTCAAAATAAAAATATCTATAATAAATTAAAAAATTACTCAAGTGTGTTGACAATTTGACTACGTATGAGCCAATGTAAATTCTCTGTCAAAATTTCAAGTCTAAAGAATATTTTTAACTGAATAGCATTTGATAATGACGGACATAGTTCGCATGATAGGTGTAGCCACTATTGTTGGTAAGAAGTTTGAAAGGTAGGATATAGAGGCGAAATTAATTTGTATCCGTAAACAACGATAAACCATTGCTTACTAAAAACGATTCTGAGCACAGTTCGATTGATAGTGACGCTGTCAGCAATATATATTTCCTATCATGGTTAAATGTTAAAGTAGGTAAAGTAAATAAAAATAGCAAATAATTATATAAATACAAAATGTATGTATAAAAATTAAATAAATAAATGAATCTATGCGTCACCTGGAGTATTATGATAAGTGTATTATTATACGATTGGTTTTGAATTAAAAATTCATCATTAGGTATATCACAGTCAAAATGTAAAACACGACTGAATATAATAAATTAAATGAAGGAATACATAGAAAAAAAAAAATTTGTCTTTATACATAGAATATTGAAATAATTTATTTTAATAAGAGAGACTATTTAAAATTAGTTATTTTTAGACATAAATTTGTTAATAAATATAAATTATTTGGTTATTATTTATTATCTAAAATGTATTGAAATAAAATATTATTTTTAAAATCTGTTCCAACATTTAAAATATTATTAAAATTATTTTTCTTTATTTTATTGTGTATGTGTAATTCTTCTAAAACTGAATTAATGTTAATGTTATTTTGAGTATTTAATATTTCTAAGTCTGTATTAATTTCAAAGCTTATATTATGATTACTTTCTTAAAAATGTTTAGCGAAATTTAAATTAGAGGCAGTATGTTTATATTTTATTTCAGAAATGTGTTCTTAATATCTTATTTTAAAATTTCTATTTGTATTACATCTTACTTATATACAATTTACTACAGTTACATTTAAGTTTATATATACCAGCATGAATTTTTGTGAAGTTTTTAGTTCTATTGTTTATATGTTTGATTAAATTATTATTAGTTTTAAAAGCGATTTTTACATTATTTGTATTATTGTGCAGAATTTTAGTGAATTCGTTAGACATATTATTTTGATATTTCATATTAGGAAAGTTAGCAACATTATTTGGTGAGTTGTATATTATTTTTTCTTTAATGTGTTTTTCACCATAAAGTAAGACTCTTAATAAATCTCCTGTTAAATTTTGAAACATTTCTGTTTAAGTCTAACAATTATTTTACACAGAGTACCTACCGAATAAATATTACGTACAAAACTTTCAAAATTAAAATGTCTATAAAATGGCTTACATTTTTTAAAAATTTTGCCACATTTAGAAAAAACAAATATACATTTTCTGTCCAAATTTTAATTCTATTTAATTTTAACTCCCTTGGTTATCAACTAGATTAAAAATGTAACGAATGGTTTTTCTATTGGCGCAATGATTTTCGTAGAAAACATAAGCTGTACAAATTTGAAAAAAATTGTATAGTTTATCTTTTTTGGTTTTTCCCATTATTATGAAACGTATTAAAAATATTAAAAACCGACTTTATCGATGAATGAACATATATATTAAAAGAAACAAAATCGATCTATTTTTATTGGATTGGAGCAATATTTATAACATTAGTTGTAAACATAAAAACAATAAAATCGGTAACACCGCGGGTGTGCCGTAAATGTTTGCCGTTTTACCTATAATTTTTTTACGAGTTTACCCTCTATCCGAATCTAAAAAAATAATAAATAAATATCAATGTAAAACCAATAGATTCGCTTTGCACTAAATCTAAAATAATAATAATATTATTATTATTATTAAATGTTGAATAATTATACATTAGTCTACAGCGCCGTAGAAGGCAAAAAGCCAAAAAGTTCATTAACAATACTAAATACTAAATATCATGATAGTTGACATTTTTTTTATACAATCTTATAAGTATAGTTAATTTTATAAATTAATTTACAATAATTCTTTTTTAAATCGACCTTGAAATTTCATTGCTATAAAATTACGCACATTAAGTACCTGGTAAAAAAAAAGATTACAATATTTGTTTGATGAATATTAAATTTAAAATTAGGTCACACGTTATTTCCCTTCGCTATAATATTATCAGTAGCGTCATGTTTTTTAATAATTATGCACAATCTGTTAAAAATACTCAGTACAATTATAATAAAATATGTCGATTTATTTTCCCAAAAATGTGATAAACCATCTAATAAAACGTTAAATAATAAACTTATACAATTTAATTTACGAACCATCGCGATTATAAAAAACATGATGGGTGATTTTGGTGGGGGGAGGGCAACTGTTCCCTGGAATTTCGTTCGCCCACCTGTTAAATATGAATAAATTACTTAAATAGTAAAACAAATTTTAAAAAGAGTAGAAAAGCAAAAAAAGAAAAGTCATTAATATAATTTTTAGTAATACCCACCCCAGATTAAATTTTTCTAGATTCATATAAACACAAGATCACAAAAAAAAAAAAAAAATAATAATAATAATAATAATAATTATAAAAATAACGTATTTAATCAATACTCACAAACAACGACACGATATTCTGGATGAAGTAAAAAGTCAGTAGATACCATCTACCCGTACGTAGGCAGTACAAAACTCAATATCTTCAAGTTCGTCGTTACACATTTTGGTAACCAATGTCGACTAGATCAGACGTGGTAACGCCGGCCGCAGAACACGGTAAACTGAAGATTTTAAAACTGTCGCATAGAAATTTTATGCTATTACAATAATATTATACTTAGGTACGTCAACAGGCTACAGTCGATAACGAAAAGCCGAATAACCGACGTTTTCAACTAGTTAACCACTTAAAACAATATAATAATAATATTTTATGACGACGACGGCCAGTAAAAACAAAATCGACAAAAACGTAGATCATAATCAATAATTCATAGACATTGGATCGCGCGTGTATGGATGTGTATGGATGCGGAACAAATGTAAATGTTGTAAAATTATTATTGTTATATTTACACAGCTAACTGTTCCCGCTGAGATCGCCCTTGACCGTCATGAACCCGAGGGCGGAGGTACATCGTTTTGTATGTGCCGCTGCATCTGCTGACCATCAGCGAAACAAACTTATTATGTATAGAAAATAATGAGATATTTTTGACAAAACTAGTGAAGGGCGTCGGGCACTATTGATATTTTCCGATAATTTGAATGAAATATCGAATATTTCACACGAATAACTGTATTTCCGAGACCTGATGAAAACTATTCGAATACTTACCAGTTGTAAATCGTTGCACGAGTTTCTGAGAAATTACCAACCTATTGGCGCTGCTGACACGGTGTTCGTCAATTCCGTCGACTTTAGGACACTACCCGTATTAAATATAATGTACAATGCAATAACAAACAATGCTATTCAGTTTAATGCTGCTTTCACAAGAATTATGAGTGTGGAGGAGAGAATTTAACATGTATTGTTAGAAGTTCACCCCGTCTTAATAAATATTGTAACCTGAAGGCTGTAAGGTATTGTATTTCCCCTCTCTAGTATGTAAACGATTGGTCATATTTTCCTCTTAATTGTAGTGTGCAACTTTATGATCGACGCGAAGGTTTAAGTTGCTGCAAACCAATTTTTCGTAGGCGTATTTTTACAAAATTAAATTGACCCGTATTTTGAAAAAATGGGAACTGACTTTTGGATCACTCTGTATATTATTGCTGAAACGGTCACTACCTGTTTCTACCAAACGTGTCCTTTGCCGTTTTCCAAAAAAAAAAAAGAATGAACTTCTTCCTTTTCCGCCAGTATACCAGTTACCGAGAAAAGGGATATTGACTGATTTCCACCAAAATAATTTCTGTATTATTATCAAATAATAAGTGTAGAGGCATCATGCATTTTATATTTGCAAGATAATAATTTTAACAATGTTCACATAATAGCAATAGCAATAATATAATATTAACTTTGATACCATTTATTTTGGTCCGAACTTCTTATTTACGCAACGATTTTACTTTTTTTTTCTACCATAAATATTACATTTTTGTGCGTACACAGGAAACAAACTATACGCTTTTTTTTATTTATTATAATTTATTAAATAACACGTCGTGACAACAACATTTAAAACGCTTACATGTACAAAAAAAAAAAAATCTTAATTGAACGATTTCATTGGCCAAATATGCAGGTGACAATTAAAATATAAAATAATATTATACAATAATAATTTTGATGTATAGGATCCGCGTTACGTATATAGTTTTTACACAGCTTATAAAAAAAAAAAAAGTATATAATACCTATTTGCAGATATCCATTATGAATGTTCGATGCTATAATAATATTATGTAAAAATGCTGTTAAATTTAATATTATTGATCCGGATCGATTTTTATTATCCTTGGAAACGACTATATACGCGCTTTCGGCTGCAGCCAATAATTACGTTTCGGGTTCTTCTTTCGCTGGCGTCGCTTCGTCCTTGGATTTATAACTCTGCGAACATTTAAAAGGTACGATATTGAAATACAGATATAGATCCAAAAATACGGTAAAAAAATAATCCACACCGCCCTGAGAGATCTTAGTATATATATATATATATTATTGGGTGTACCTGTTCCGCTATACTGTATAACAAATCGGCCGTGTCCCGTCCCGTCTGTTCGACCATTTTGTATAAAAATCCGTTTTTGTTTTTCAACAAATTATGCGGATGATCGAATTCCACCATTTGTCCCGCGTCCATGACCAACACCTTGTCGGAATCCATAACCGTGTTCAAACGATGAGCAATCGTTAACACCGTACACGTTTTAAATTTATCTCTAATCGTCCGTTGAATTAACGTATCAGTCCTGAAATATTTGAACGCAATATCGGTATTATAGCCAGTACTCGAATTGGACAAATAAAAGAAGAGTGGTTTGTATAAGACTTATACAAAAATTAACATCTCTTACAACTATTAAATTCAATATAACCTGTTGGGAGGGGGACTTTTCCCTACACTCATTTATATCAATTTCTAAACATAATTCAGCAATTAATAATATACGAAAAAATACTACAGCTAGGCTATTATTGTAAATTGGAGTGAAATTGCTGGTAGAAAAGTTGTTCACAAAAAAAATAAAATAAAAAAAATTGACTGTAATACTCAGTAAGACTATATATTTTACTATAATACGACGCCACTGATCTGGTTTATACAATGAGGAAGTCTTTTATTTTTATTTTTCTTGTATTCTTTATAAGAGATAAACTCGTTTAAAGTTTAAATTTTAATGAAAATGCGTTTTGATAAAAATACAAAAATATGTACCGTCCCAAGCGTTGCACCTATTTAAGTACTACTATTTAGTAGAAAGACGCTTTCATAATTTGAGGTACAGAATCCCTTTGGGCACAAATTATATAAATAAGTAAAAGTGTGATTTCATTTTGCCACCTACTTTAAATCAACGTTGGCCGTGGCTTCGTCCAGTACGAGAATTCTGTTGTTTCGAACAATGGCCCTGGCCAAACACACCAATTGTCGTTGGCCGACGCTGAAATTCGATCCGCCTTCGGTCATTCTCGAGTTTAGACCATTAGGTAAATCTTCTACGACGGTTTTGAGTTCTACCTAGAAAGTTCATGACAAAAATAATGTAAGAATTAAACGTAATATAAATTTATTTTTATTGTTATGGTTTATGCATAGGCGGAAATAAATTGGGAGTGGTGACTTGAGGGTATTAAGCCCTAACAAAATCTGTTTTGGAGGGTGCCTCAAATATACCAAGTAAAAGTTGTCACTGGTCACTATTATAAATAATGAATAAATAGTTAATACATATATCTAATATAGTAACTTAGAATTCAAATATTATTTGAGAACGAATAAAACAAGTAACATGTAAAAAAAAAAAAATCGATCTACGATTGTACATTACGCAATTTGACATATTTTTTTTTTAAATTTGTAATATATTTTTATGTGACTATTAACTATTAACTATTAAAATTAAATTAATTGATTTAAATTATTTTGGTGATAAATCAAGTTTTAATCTACTTATCTTTCTTAAATCTTTAAAGTAATACCTAGTTCAAAAATGCTAATATAAACATATTCGTATATTTATGTTATTGCCAGTATGTTTAAAATAAATCACATTTAAGTTTTTCAAAGATGATTTTTGATGTTATGGACATTTTCCGACTATGGCCTTATAGTATTATTATAATTACTTCATCCAAAGCGTTCCAAATAACGTGATCGGGATATTCGTAAAACGGATCTAGATTTTTTCTCACGGTTCCCGAAAACAGCACCGGTTCTTGGGGAATGATGGAAATTTTGGAACGTAACTCGTGCAGTCCCAACCCGTGTATTTCTATACCGTCTATAATGATATTTCCTTCGTTATTGGCCAATCTGAACAGCGCTCCGATCAATGACGATTTCCCCGCGCCGGTTCGTCCAACGATTCCTATCTATTACCCGCGTAGAACAGAATGTTAAATTGGGTGTATAATCAACAATAATTATGAAATATCAAATGCCAATAATGTGCATAATAATAACAATAATATTACTTTTTCCCTAGGTTCGATTTTTATATTGAGGTTTTTAATAACATATTGCGAATGAGCTCCGTATCGCAAATATAAATTGTTAAATGTTATATGTCCGTCCGTGGGCCAGAGTACCGGTGGTTTTTCGTCTATATACATATGTATATATATATATATATGTATATATATATATATACGTGTTCAAATAATAATTAATAGATTAGTAACTATTAATCAATTATAGTACGTTTTTACGAAAATAAATAATAATGTTAGCGAATATTACCCGGGTGAGATTCGAGAGCGGCTTCTTGCGGGATATTTGTGTATTCCAAAACCCTTTCTACCGAAGTCATTTGATTTTCCAAGTCTGACGTCTGTCTGATTCCTAGTTGCAAGAAACCAACCAGTCCGATCGCTTGGGTTATAGCGAGTCCGACGTTACCGCCGTATGTATCTGAAAAGAACATTAAAAACTAAATAAAATCCTGTTTAAAATACCAAAACGACGAACGAATAATTCATAGTTTGCAGATACCATTAATATATTATTATTACGTTAATAATATAATATCAAATGCTATTCCATACCTTTGCCTATGATTATGAAGCTGAACGTTACGATGCCTATGTAGATAATAACTATTACGTCTGACCATAAGCTGAACCCTCGATTCGAGCTTATGTACAAATACCAAGCGGTAGAGTGTAAATCCTGTAATATGTTTTATATTATAAAAGGTTACACTGCAGTTGTAACCAATTCGTTAAAAATATTCAAAGTCAGTTCCGTAAATTATATTAATTTATAATAAATCTAATAAAACAAAAAAAAAACAAAATTAATATTAACTTGATGGTTGTCAAATTCTTTGGATAAAATTTGTTCTGCTTCGAACGCCCGAATGGTCGTCAAACCTTGAAGTGCTCCATTCAAATGCGTGAATACAGGACTCCGTGCTAAGTTGAATAATAGAAAATAAAAATAAATATTTCAATCTTAATAATTCTCGATACGTGATCGTAATAACGATTAAGATATCGGGCAGTCACAAATGCGATTTTATTCTCTTTACTTACTCACTGCTTCCAAACGTTTAATACTCCGCGATGTCTTCAAGTAACACAAACACAGTTTGTAAAAAATGAACGCTATGATAACCGTCGGTATCAAAAGATATGAGTTGATAATTCCTACTAAAATTATAATTCCTATAATTGATAATCCAACCTAAAAAAAAAAAAAAATAATTAGAATATTACAAAATAATATAATATAATATAATATATGTGAATCGGTATTGAATTGAGTGTACTAACTTGTATAGTGTCCATCAGTGCCACCGGAAGCGCTTCGTCGATCGAACCGATATCTTTTGAAAAACGGTTAAGAATACGACCTATTCGAGAAGATTAATTGTACTTACGTTATTATTTTTTAAAATTTATTTATTTACATAATTAATCAATTAATTCGATTATTTTTTTACCCGACGAATTCGTATTGAAGAAACGCATTGTCGCTCTGGTTATAGAGTTGAACATTTTATTATGTAAATTCATCGAAGCCGTCATACAAACTGACACGAATGTAGCGGTCCTAATACCGGTAAAAATTATCACGGATAATGTCAGACCGGAGAAAACATAAATACAAATCTGTCGATTAATCGTCCAGCACATAAACGTATTCAACGAATCTTCCAACCCGGTTTTGGGACTACGGAAAAAGTGATCTTCTAGATTGACCCTAATCGAAAATAAAATAAATTATACATAGTATACAAACACAGTGGTATGTTTGATAAAAAATTATTGAATTACGCTTTGCACAATACCAATAAGTAATCCATAGATCCGCGGATGATGCCAATATCTGAGTAAAAATGCAAGTACAAAGGAAAAAAAACAGTTTGAAAAATCTTCCTCCGGCCGATATGTATTTAAAGTACACAACGTGAGAAATATTTCCTGATATTCTGGTTTCCGCTATTTCAACGGGTTCCGCATGAGATTGAATCGAATCGACACTTTGTACAGACATTTTACGATCGTACATATGCTCATGAGGTAGATCGAGACACGCGACGTTTCCGTTTTTATTGACATCCGGTACCACAGCTTTCTCGGTAGACGCTCGAAACAGTGTTGCAAAGTCTAAATCCGAATTCCGGAGTTCTGCATATGTGGCGTCCGCTCTTATTTTTCCCTAAATATTAATAACAATATTATGAACACTATAAATGTCTGTGGATATATTGTTATCTGCAATAGAAACGATAGGAAAAAAATAATGTATTTGCTTACATCATCCATTAAAATAATTTGGTCCACATTCGTCAATAACGGCAACTGGTGAGTTACGAGTATACGAATTTTATCTCTGAGGAAACCTAAAAAAAAAAATTTAATTTCAAACAAATGTTAACACGATCGAAAATGCTGTCGAGTCGAACCTTTGATACAAATGTCGAACAAGTGTTTTCCGACGTGCGTGTCGACGGCTGACAGAGGATCATCAAATAAATAAATATCGGCTTGTTTGTATACAGCTCTGAAGAGGAAAAAAAACAGAACATGTATAAATATACGAGTATTTTGTCATTTTTATCGTATATTAGTTTCAGGACCTGTAGTGGCGTGGCGAAGGGGATTTCAATAAGCCTAGGCATCATGGTTGAAATTAGATGAGTAGGTATAGGTTGGTGAGAAAAACACTAATAAATAATTGGTAGTTTTAATAATCAATATCAATAAATGAATTCATACTTTTCTGTATATTTCAATTATTAACCACTATTGTTTCGATACCTAAATCTTAAGTATCAAATTTAAGCGGTTTTATTGGCATTCGTATTTCACGATTAATTTTTTTATACCCCTATATACGTGCGCGGTATGTATAAAGATGGTTGAGAACTAAACTGGGACATTTGCTTACATTGAATTTATAAATTATAGGTATTTATTTGTTTTCCGTTGATTAACTCAAGAACATTTTTGTCTAAATGATAGCAATAAAAAAAACTATAAAGGGTTGATATTTTTTGAAAGGGGCGGGGTGGGTATTAAAAAATATTTTGTGCGTCATTGTACATAAATACTCGTCACACCATTAGCTGTATAGTTAGGTACCTCGCCAAATTTATCCTGGCCCTCTGACCTCCACTGAGCGCGACGCCCTTGTCGCCAACGAGCGTTCTGTCACCGTACGGAAGTTGTTTGAGATCCGTTTTTAACGCGCACACGCTTACAACCTAAATGATGTATAGTTCGCAATAATATAATATTTGTATCCATTTCATGAGACAAAATAATATCTGCTGACACGATATTATTATATAATATATATATTTTTTTTTACTTTTCTATAACGTTCCTTATCCATTGGTGACCCGAATAGAATGTTTTGTTGAACAGAACCGGCAAACAACCACGGTTCTTGAGCCGCGTATGACACCACACCTTGCACGGACAGTGTCCCCTGGGTGAGCGGCAATTCTCTTAAAATCAATTGTACAATCGAACTCTACCAAAAAAATCAAAAAAAAATCGAAATATTATTAAACTTATTCGCAATCGATTAAATGTGTGTGTTTAATATTTTACTTTTCCGGCACCGACGGGACCGATTATTGCAGTCAATCGACCTGGTCCAACAGTCAGATTAATATTTTCCAATGAGTTTTCTGGTTTAGCGTCCGTCCACTTGGCGGTAGCGTTTGAAATTACTACACCTAACGGTGGATTCGTAAAAACTGTCTCGGTTTGGTCACACGTTTTGTTGTTAGTTTTTGCGTCACCGTTTACATTATCGACGACTTTCTCTTTGACTTTTTCATCAAATAACATAAAATTCTTAAAAAAAAAAAAAAAATAACGGTATTTAGTAGAATGAATATTTTATTGACATTTGTACCGAAATGTATATTAATTAATACCTGCAGACGTTTTATGGAGACTAACATTTCAGCGAGTAATCCAATACCTTGAGGGAAACGTATTGTCATTGTCGTCTGTAATATACTGTAGTACGAAGCTATAACGAAAACCTATTAAAATAATATTACAACAAAATCAATATTTAGGTACGAAATTGTCCGTTGTCTTTTTTTTACGGGTTTTCTATTACTTTTTGCGCTGAAATTATATTGCCCAGGAAGACGTACGAAATTATACAGAAAAACAGCGAAATCTTCGTGTGGAACGCCATGAAAGACGACAGTGTCGCTCTTGTGTACACTGACCCTCTAATTTGCTGAATCTCTTTCCTTTAACAATATTTATTTTATTTTAACAAACCGATAATTATTGTTTTTACAATTCTCAATTATGCATACTTCCTTGCGCTTTGCACTAAATACGCAAACGGTTTTTCCCACGTATACATCTTGATCACTTGAATACCGGAAATAATTTCGTTCATCAGACGCACCCTCTCGTCTGTTTTCACAGCGGTCCTCAATCGAAATTCAGATGTCTTTTTTCCCAACCAACCTAAAAAAGGAATATTTTAAACGATCATCTTATATTAAATTATAATAATAATTTTATTTGTTTTTTTTTTCTTTCTTTTTTACAGACCTTGTATCGGAATGAACATAAAACAGGCCCCTAGTCCAAATACCGACGACACACCTACTTCTTTCCATATGAAATACGTGGCTAACAGTGTTTGCACGGGGCTTATCCACAAAAAGTGCAGAAACAGTAGTCCTGTATCAAACCGATTTACATCATTTGTTAACAAATTGACTATTTGACCGACCGTGGTTTCACCGAGAGCCGAATTACTTAGCCGTAACGCCTGAGTGGAAAACGTTTAAATTATATCAGATTATCATAAGTATTTTAAACTTGTCTGCTTAGAATCTATACAATAATTTTATATAATATTCTAGTCTAGCAATAATATGCCATCTGTATCACGATTTGAATTTAATTATTTAATTCCAGAGTCCGGTTAAATGAATTAAACTAATTAAATTGATTTGGGCGATTGTTTATTGATTAGAAACTAAATAAATAAACGTTGAATTACTGGTTAATTATTATTATAAAATAGTTTTTGCGAACATAATTGATTGATTAATTGAACTAATTAATTTAACAATATAGTTTTAAGCTATATAATATATTCGTAAATAAATTACGAAAATTCGTACAATTACACGCACAATTATATAGGGCAACGGTTCTCAAACTTTTTTTATTCGAGTCTCCTTAAAAATAGGAACGATTGGATTACGGCTTTTGCTGAAAATTTCGCTTTGAAAAAATATGACGAGTATTAATATACGCGAATCTTTGCTAATTTCGCGATATTCGATGTTTATGCGGAACCCGAAATCCGGAAAGTCTAACGGTCTGAACGATAAACGCGTAAAATATTTATTACACGTCTCTTTTTTGTTAAGTGGCTAATGCCTCACAGTTTGGGAACCGCTGACTTAGGGTATACATCGGGATCATAATAATATATACATATATATATATCGTCATAATATGTTTTTTTTTTTAATTTTACCTTTTTAAATACAGCCGAACAACAAGCGATCCGTGTCTTCATTCCGCAGTGTAACATTTCAATCATCGTACAATGATACATCGTCATCGAACTGGCCATGGTGATTGCTAAACCGCCGGCGTACATGTACGCATGTTTTAAATCGTTTTCGTTTGTTTCTTTCGTGTTGAAATACGTTAGTAATCCGCCGATCAATAACGGTTGTAATATTCTATAAACAAAATACAAATTTCGTTTTCCATCAAATACACGCCGTTATTATAATAAAAACGGTATATACCACAGAAAATTAATAGGAAATGAACTTGTCAGGGGAATGACTTTTGAGAAGGCTGCAATGAATTCGGTTGGAAGTCATAGCAAAACAAAAAAAGAACGTCCAAGCTTTGGGACGTGAAGAAAATTTAAATATTATGGCATTAGATAGCTGGAAGGATGGTTGTGAGATGGAATAATAGTGTAAATCTATAACTATTTAATATAGTTTCAGTCGGATACTTGAAAATAAGTCAATATTATGAAGTGTAGTACAACAAAAGTCATTTAATTTTAATTATTTAATAATAGTTTGTATACTTTGCTTTGCAGCTTTTTAATAAATATCATACATATTTTGTTCATCAAAACGTATTTATTATAAAATTATCGTATTTTACAGAGTGATTCATCTGTACTACACTAATTGACCCGAAAATACTTTAAATATTGCTAAATAATAGTATAAATAATAACAATAGATTTCCTGTCCGTGACAATTAAATTGTCATAAATGTCACCAAGGTAACCCATGAATAAACAAAAATAAATAAAAAAATTAGATATTCGTACCAAAAATAACTAAAAACCCTTAGTTTACCCTATTAGGGGTTAAATTTTCAAAAATATTTTCATATCAGACGAGTACGTCATAATCAGTATGTATCAAGTCGCTCTAAAATGTTAGATAACCATTATTTTTATCAACCTAATTTTTGGAGGTAAAATTACTATCTACTTTTGATTTTAAAATGGAAACCTATACTCAAATTTCAATAAATAGATGGTCTATTAATTTAAATTAATTTTGGTTCTAATATTTTTGGTTTCCATCAATTCGTTAACGAAATATTCCACTGGGTAGGAAGAGAGTAGTGGAATACTAGTAAAACGTTGCGCGTCTCGCCGCCATACGAATAACGCTCTACTACTCTCCTTCTACGTAAGCTTAAATGTGAAATATCTCCAATGAGCTGATGAAAATAAAAACATTTCTATTGTAAATGTGCAATCTGAAGATTGATAACATAATTTATACAAATATGAAAATTGAAAAATCGACAGTTGTTAAATATTATTATAATATTATATTAAGAATCAGAGTGACAATTGACAATAACGCGTAAGTATATTAAATTATATTATAATATATTCATAAAGAGATTATGAATTAATGAGTGGACGATATCATAGTTACAATGTATTGTAATTATTATTAGGTAAGCCTAGCTATGATATGTCATCATGTTAAATTTAATTTGCTTACGTTCTCGCACCGTCATAATAATAATACATAATGGGCCGCAGTAATGTAGTATAGTTAGGTATTTAAGTATTCCAAATTCTTGTGACCAAAATTTTAAAAAAATAACTTTAATTTTAATTATCATAATAGGTATCGATACTTAAATATCAATATAGGTATATGTATATAAATATATATAATAAAATGTTACAAACAATTACGTTACATATAATATGTCTATGTATAATGTATATATAAAAAAATAATTCATACTTTAGACAGACTTCACTGATTGCGAGTGTGATCCCAAATATCATGAATCGGAAACCGAACATTCTGTATAATATTCGCCATAAGCTTGGCTTTCGATTCACCTTACTTAATTCTATTTTCCATTGTCTTAATAAAGGGGGCGAAAATTGAATTAGACAAACATGTCATTATAATTTTATTGGATTTGGAAAATTACTTTTCTAATTCATCGCCCAATTTAGATGATTTGTGAGCGTCTAAAGTCGTGTACAGGTCGCTTATTTCCAACGTTCTTTTTCGTCCAGTTCTAAATAGTCTTAACAGCCAGCTAAAAGAATAAATTCACACACATATTCTATTAAACACTATTATTTTTTGCCCCTCTTCGAGCAATAGGAAGTATTTATTAATGGAATTTTGCTATTTTATCGATATTTACAAACCAAAATGTAAGCATGGAGTCTGCGTGATATCATTATAGGAAAATGGCAAATTTAATTTTTACGGCTTTGCAATTATTCATCTATGTAATTTTTTTTTAATAAATTAAAACATATTTGTGCAAACATATATCCGCGACAGTCATTTCTCTATTAAATTCTATAATGATATCTGTTATAATAAGTATAATACTTTTTAATAATCCCTATTTTAATGAAATTATATCGTACGCTGTTTTGAGCGCTGTAATTTTAACGCTTATCTCCGTCGAACTCGTATTTTTCTATTCCACGGGGATAGCATGGTTCTATAAACTATTAACAATTATTATTCGGTATATATGTGTATAATAGTCTTGATTATTAAAAATTTATACATTTTAAATCTTTATTCAAAACTCGTGCAGTGTACTATTTATGTTTCTCTTTTTAGAATTATTGAACATTTGTTGTAGAACTTAAACCACGAAATTGTTAAAAACAAAGTAAATTTAAAAAAAGCTTATTTTCCGATCCCGGTTTTTAGAATATTTTTCTGTAGAAAAATCGATTAAAATTGTCCCGTTTACAGAAGATGATAGTGCATGAATATTATTTCAATAGTACTATAATACGCATATAATTGTAGTTTGATACAATACCGTGTCGGAGTAATAATCATTTTTTTACTGAGATTAATATTTTATTGATTCGTTGTCAATAAAACATATAACCGACATTTCTAAATTTGATCTAATTACTCGCACACAAGGTTTTGTAATTTTTTCAGTTATAACTAATTAATACGATGTATTGTATACATACATTTTAAGTAGGTATTATGAAATATAATGTTGTAATAAAACAAGACAAACACGTCAGCGTTGATTTACCTGAATGAAACTATTTCGAACACATTTGCAGTTTGCCTAGGATGCGGCGATCGTTCTTTCTTATTATTACTGTCCATTTTTTTTTAAAATCTGAAATTTTAAAGGAAAACAAAACTGTTAGTTTAATATTGCATTGCATAATATTATATCTGTCTTAATAATTATTTGGGACCTTTCGTTACTTTCAATCATTTAATGCAATGCGTGCATACGAAATGGTTACGACATTTTTGATTATAAGCAATTAATTTATCGAATGCATATCGATTAAAAATATACATGTTTACACACAAAGCGATTATTAATATATTCGATAATTAATATGAAATGTAATAGTATTTCAAAAACTTCTCGCACAAGTTGATAAATATTATTCCGATATTTCTATTTAACACGTTTTAGTTTTTTTTTTTTTTTTACTGTATCGATAACGATTATTGTCACGCGAATGTGTTTAATTTTAAATATTTCAAACAAAATAATACTAGAATGTTCAATAAATAGGTACAGTATTATACTTATGTGTTATTAATGGACGTACACAATGGATTCATCTTATTTATTCGATTTTACGTCATTAATAATATTAGGAAATCCAAATTACAAATGAAGTTCTCGAGCAACCATCAGATAACTTCACAAAAATTAACTTTTTACTAGGTATAATTTAAAGAAAAAAAATTCTCAATAATTAGATTCAGCAACCAGACGAAGCATAGTTTTCTCGTTGAGAATTGGAGTTATCAAACTCAAATAAAGAGGGGGAAGGTACAGGGAGTCATAGCGCCCGGGCCACAAGACTCCAGCGGTCTCAATTTTTGCCACAGTATATATTCTTTATTTGTATATTTAATCAGTCATTTTATATTTTTTGATATTTTATTGCCTTTAATGTATTAGTTTTATTTTGTTAAATCATATTAAATAATTTTTTTTTGAAGGGCTTCATTGAAAATATTGACCATAAGGTCTATGAATGACTTAATCTGGGTTATCTTATTTTAGAATTTCGGGACCACCATCAGACACAGATACCACAACAATCGGATATCCGATATACTTTTGAAAAAAATTTTTGCCGCAATAATAATATAATGGCAACAAATAAAAACAATATTAGAGTTATCTGGTCATTTCTCGGAGACCTTCACCAAATCGTAATTTATATATAACACTAAAAAAAAATTATCTTCTATCTATTCGAGATTTCGTATGAAATAAATAGGTGATAAATATATAACATATATAACAATAACATAATTTATATTATAATTAAGAAGGTTTTTAATTTTCAATACAAAATCGCACTATTTGCTATTAAGTTTTCACAAAATGTTAATGAAATAATTTAATTTTACAAAGACACTCAGTAGCGTAATTAGGATTTTGAGAAAGTGGGAGATAATGAATTTATAAATCGTGTGCCTTATTGTACTCGTAAACGAGTTTACCCAGACTAAAAAAAAAAAAAAATTAATTTCTAATAATTTATATATTTTTGTTTATGATTTACAATTTTATCGACCTAAAAATGATCATCAATGAAATCGAATAACGAGCCGAATAATCGAGTAATCTAACTTCCTTTGCATATTATAGCAATTCGGATATTCGTTTCTGTTTTAAAAAAGAAAATGTATATGTTTCGGGGTTTTTTTTGTTGTTTATAAATTAACTAAATAGGTACCGACACAATACATTGTAGGTTTTTCCGACTAAAATTTAACGAAATTAGAATCTAAAAATAGTTAGTAATATAAATAATAGATATATTTGAAAAAAAGTCAAGGGGGACATGTAATATCTTCATAATCTACCCTCATAAATACGCTGAGCACTAATGCCTAATACTTATTCGTTTGTTTCGAATATTTCGGGTATACCTGTATATTTATTGAAAATAACATCGTGAAAGTACTTACTGTTAGATAAGTAAATAGTGTAGTATAGATTGAATGCGGTCCAGCACGTGCGTCAGAGTTGCTTCATATTCGACGTTGAACAGTTATAGTTACAACGTAGGAGGTGTCCCTTTTGCGTTACGGTGATATTGATTCGGTTTTGTTTAAACGAACTAAGTAGGTATACTTACTATACTACGGCGGTGTTTAAAGTGTTAATGCTAGTGGCCAAATCTCTATTAAAAAAAAACCCCGATATAACACGCTAATAATAAAAATGCGTAGACGATAAAATGTGACAATTATACGGTCCCAATTATTATTTATTATTAATGCATTATCGAAATATATTTAAATTAAATAATATTATATGTAATTATAATAATTTAATCGTAATAACGTATCATATTGTACGGTACCTAACCTTTGTGTCGAGTTATATACGAAACACCATTGCGATTATTGCTGCAGCAGTTGAAACGTTTTTGAGTATGTCGTATGTTCGCTGCAATGATCGATTCATAAAAAAGAATAGAAAAAAAAAACGCGCTGTTCTGGTTATCGGCGATTATACATATTTATTTACACAAAACAATTAGATGTACTATAGGTATAGGTACTTGAATAATATTAATATGATGACAGTTGAAATTGGATTCGGTGGCTTGTATAGGAATTCGGCGATCCGGGTACAACATATAAAGTGGCGCCCCTTTTCCGTTAACATAGACATAATATTAGAAAGTTCTATAGGTGACGTATAGTCTCCATAAAATATCCGTTACCATAAATAATTTCCCCCCTCCCTTCCAATCGTTTATCGAATTTTAACGCCCCAAAAGAGTCTTGATAATAAAACTGAATCCTCCTCATAATTTCACTCTTGACCTAGGTATTTAAAAATTAATACAAACCATCTGAATCAAACGATACATAAGTATAAATTAAAGAGCCATGAAATAATAATGTGTCATTTTCAATGTCTATTAAATAAACTAACTATATTATAAATACTATTGACAATAATTATAATTGAAGAACTTTATTAGCTACTTAATGTATTATTATACTGTGAATAATTTGTACACATACCTTTACATTACAATAAAAACGTAATAAAATAAAAAAACAATATGGTCAAATGAATAAATTGAACATTATAACAATTGTTGTATAATAATGATAATCGACAATATAATATGTTTTTAATTTAACAGATTTACACAGAATACATTATGAAAATATTTGTTATTCATTACTTCAATATAGTTGATAAGCGACAGTAGGGTAGCTTGGAATTTTAATTGAGACTGGCATTTTTTTAAAATTGTTGATTCTTTAAACCATGCAATAATAAATAAGTTTGATCACAGTGTGCCACGTTTTCGTTTAGTATGCTCGTCTCCTACACATCCGATCTATATCATGGTTCTTCACCATTATCGACAAAGGCAATATTAGCCTGTAGCGTTCCCAAGAATTATCAATGAGAGGGGATGTAGCAAATAAGAATTATGAATAAATCATAAATTCGTCTTCTCTACCTAAATTAACTATGGGAATTGGTTATTTAAAAGCCGGATCCTAAAAAAGGCCAATTTTTAATCAATATGTCAAGTTTTTCGTCGTAACTTGTCTAAAATATACGCATTTCAACATTGATTACTTATATATTTTTGTATTTTAAGCTAATAGGGAGGATATAACCCCTAACCTCCCCACTGTATACGCCACTGATGCAAGCTAACAAGAAAAGGATAACTAGGATACAAAGTGAAGTGAATAAATGTTAGAGGTGTGCGCATTAAAAAAACTGTGATCATATCTACATCTAATTTCCATTGATTTGAAATAAAAGATTCGGTTCAAAAGAGGCGATCGCCTCCCCCCCCCACCCCGAGAGAAGTGAACGTGCATTGGCATTTGCCATAGTCAATGGTTCACAATAGATAAAATCAATATTTTATTGACATCCATTTTTAGATTCTGAGTGTAGCGAAGAATGTATTGGTTTTACAAAGATGTTTATTTTTTTTTTATATCGTCAGAAAAATTTCTACCAGAAACCTTGCCCCGATATATACGTATGGCACCATTTTTGAAAGGAAATATTGTCTATTTTAAGAGGTAATTTTTGATTTTCAAGCGGTTTTCATAAAATCTGGTGAAACCCGGGATAAAACGTAAGAAGAACAAGAAATTTACTAAAATAATGTATTTTATTATTTTTAATTGTGTTAATAATTGGAATTCAGTTAAACATATTTGTAGAGACTTGAAAATTGGTACTTGAAAACTTGTATTTGCCTATTTTTACGTAATATAACTGTAAAATCTTTGAACCATATTTGAGCTATTTATAGACTCTATCATTTTGTGAGTAATTTGTATTTGGTTCTTTGTGGACAAAATTGTTAGACAAAACAGAAATGCTTGAAAATTGAACAGGAGGTTAATTAAAAGTTAGATATAAATTAAATAAATGTATGGATCCTATTTTCCAACTTCCTAATTACAACAGTGACACACCCATCAACAGTATCAGATCATTTTCGTCTGTCTACTTTATGCATTTTGGATTTATTTGTTGCACTGGGGAGTTCATTTTAGATTCTGAAAGGAGCGAGGAATGTATTGCTTTTATAATGATGTTTGTTTAATTTTTTTTATTTCTTTTTAGCTGTTAAAAAATTTAAAACTTAAAAACCTGAAATCTTGTTCCGATTTTTAAGTGTAGCACTTTTTTAAAATTAAATTTTTCTGTTTTATTGACATGGTCATTTTTTGATTTTCTCGGGGGTTTTAATAATAAATAGAAAATGCCATAAAAAAATGGGAACATTTTTCAAAATTAAATTCAAATTGTAATTATTACGGTTTTTCATAACGTGTATAACCGAACTTCACTTAGAATAATTTTGCATGTCATTTGGTTTACTTAGTATTTAAAACAGGGACTGGTATCTTCTGGTTTTTGCGGGTCCGGTACTTAATTATTTTTCTAAGAGGTTCTGGTTCCGGTTCAGATTTATGACAACGTTTATTTAAGGGTTCTAGTTCCGGTTCCGATTTCGGAAAATTAATTTAAGAGTTTAAATTAGGATTCTAGGTAAAACCAGTAATAAACGAATCCAAAAATGTATATATTTGTATTTATTCGTGCACGGCCTCCTGGTGGTTTTAGTAGAGTTGCTCATGTTCTCTACGAAGAAAAATAAGGCCTACGGATGGCAATTTTGTGTTCACCGTGAGCAACTTCCCCATATACAGACATACAGTCCACTGTCGATGACACCACAACTCGACAACTTGATGCAACTAGCTGCTCGAATGACGGCTAAACCAGTAGGTATGTTGATGTATTACAAAACCCTAATTCGCTGCCATGTTTATTTGTTATTTATTGACAATAGTCGATAAAATAATAATACGCTGTTGAAACTTTATACTAATAAGTATAGTACCTATAGATTATTTCTATTTTTACTTTAATATACAAAAATATAGTTCATAAGTTTTAAGTCATAAAATTACTTATCATCATTTAACAATCAACAGCTCTAAACAAAAATAAAAATAGTTTATGAAAGCAGTTGCATTTTAATCTGTGGGATAAACATTATAGCCGATAAATTGAGCACATGCCACAAAGGAAAAACAAAATAATTTATCAAGGTAAAACCCGTTTTTTCAATTTAAAAATATGGGTTACGGTTATTTGAAAATATTTAAATTCTATTCCGGTTCTCAATACTTAAAGGGTTTTGGGGTTCTAGAGCCGGTTCTTTTCAATTCGGTTCCAGTCCCTGATTTAAAAATAGGAACAAACTTGGAAAATCTACGGTTTCACTTATTTTCAATTTTGTATTTTAATTAAATTCCGTTAAAAATAATCGTAATGGCCTGACATATTTTTTATGTTGCACAATTTTCAAAACTATTTGGGGAGTTATTCATATATGATTGACGTTTCCAAGTTTTCAAGTTATAAATTGGTTTTATGTGGATGAATAATTTTTAAATGGCAATTTTATGATTCAAGGTTTATCATAAATTCTTATTATGCACTGAACAAATATCAAAAATTCGTATTAACTATTTTTTTGTCTGATGTAAATCACGGCATTTCCGTACTTACATTCAATTATCCGATCTATGCGAATAAAACTTATTTAGCCCAGCAAAAATGTTCGTAAATTTGACACAAGTTCACCCGGTCACTATAAGTTGTACTTAGTGATGAAAAAAAAAAAGCTTAATGTAATTTTTGTGTTTTTTTTTTAAAATAATGTTCAAATTTTTTTTGAAATCGTAAAAACCACGACATTTTAAAACTTGTTTTGTCAGACTTTGCTTAAAATCGTATTTTTTTATCAATAGTTAGCGTACAGATGTATATTGTATTACGCCTTTTTATATCCTATCTTCTCAAGTTTCCATCTACACTAGTAGCACACCCATTAAAAGTATCTGCTTTTTTATTTAATTATTTTCAGTCAGCATTTTGCGGCTGTAGTCAGTTTGCGAATTTATTTTTGAAGTGAATATGCATGTATTTAGTACTTAAGAAACTCTTTGATTTTGTTGACGTTTTGAGTTTAGTGCAAATTTTTTATTACGAACCGTATATTGCAAAGAATGACCACATTAGATATAATATTTCGATAAATATTTTACATTAATATTTTTAAAACATTTATAGACCGATAGACGACTACTTTTCATTTAATCATATTGTTAATGAAATTAAATACCTAATAGATTCCAAAGAGCTATTATAATACACCATTTTACTTTTAATATTTGATAGGTATGTGACACCGTTAACATTTTGTTATCGCTGTGATATTACGAAGTCGGAATAATAACTTTTCATTGTCCGTGGCTCGACTGTCACGTCGCGTCTTTTGATTTTCTTAGAATACCTACTATCTTTAAAAACCTTGCTCCATAAAAAGTGGTAGAATAGTATTATTCGCGTGACAGAATATAATAAATACCGATGACAGTCTACGTATTACTACAGTCTTTCACAGCATACTACAGGTCCCTAAAATAACTTAATATAATAAATTCCCGATAGTTTATTAAAGACACCTCGATAGCGTACAGCAACCCCTGGCAGCCCTTGGAATTTTATTTTACAGCTTAATAAAATAATAATATCTTGTATTGTATAGACTCATTAAGTCACTTATTTCAGTTATTCACCTTAATTACCTGATCTTACTAGTTACCAGATTTGCATAACTCATTTTTTATCGCGGCTTACTGAGAGATTTACGGGGAAATTATCAATAGACTGTATAATAGCTATTTTGTGTCTAGACCGATTAAATAAGATTTTTTGTATGTTTTACATAATTACATCGACATCATGCTTGCAATATTGCCCGTTAGAAAGACAGAGACGGCACGATTAGTGCACGATTCAGTATACACCATGTTTATTAAAATAAAACAAAATTCGAACAAATTATTATAATAATTAGGTATTTAGGTACCAGATTCAGTTGCGGTAGAGAAATAAAACAGCAGCTGAAATTAATCTCGTACCAATTGGGAAAATTTGAATTTGAAAAAAAAAAAAGTAGGTATAAATCGGTTAGATAATTGAATATTGAAAACAAATATTTATAGATATAAATATTCAAAGTTTTCATGTGGTGTACCTATGTATAATAATTTTATTATTCATTTTCCGACGAGCAGTCATCATCTGTATCCGAGACGGTATTATGGATAGTTGGATAACCCAATGTCGACGATTCGTCACTCTAAAAATTATTGTTCGAATATAATAAAATTATTAAAAATGCAATGTAATAATAATAGAAGTATAATTATTATTATTTTTACCTCTGCCGCTATAGTACGTAATGATTCGGCCATAGATCATTGGTAGACTAATTTGTAGAAAAACCCGTCTTTATTTTTCAGCAAATTTTGTGGACTGTCGAATTCGACTATTGTACCCATGTCCACTACGAGCACCTTGTCCGAGTCCATAATAGTGTTTAACCGATGGGCTATAGTTAACACTGTATACGATCTGAATTTATTTCTAATAGTGTTTTGAATCAAAGTATCGGTCCTGAATATATTTACACTATATTATTGTTATACAAATTTTAATGATTTGATTAATACACGTTACTTTAAATCGACATTTGCGGTAGCTTCGTCCAGTATGAGAATTTGGTTACTTTGCACCATCGCTCTGGCCAAACACACTAGTTGCTTTTGGCCGATACTAAAATTGGTTCCCTGTGCAGACATATTCGTATTTAAACCGTCCGGTAATTGCTCTACAATGTTTTTGAGTTGCACCTGCAAATAAACCAAATTAATTCGAAGACCTTATACATTGGCGATGATGACACTTTTCTTATTATTTTTAAATAACATTCATAATTATTTCATTAAGAAAAATATACAATAAGCAAATAGGTTAATATACAATAATTACTTTGAGACAGTAAGTAGAGAATTTATCTAGTGATAGGACCCTTAAATGCTGACACTTAAAATATTATACTATAGGTATTTACAGTAAATAATTAAGTAAATAATTTACTTCATCCAAAGCGTTCCAGAGGACGTGATCGGGGTATTCGTTGAACGGATCCAAATTCGTCCGCATAGTTCCCGAAAATAAAATCGGCTCTTGCGGAATGATTGAAAATTTAGATCGCAAATCATGTAGTTCCAATTCATGGATTTCCACGTCATCGATGATGATATTACCCTCGTTTAAGGCTAACCTAAACAACGCGTTTATTAACGAAGATTTTCCTGAGCCAGTCCTGCCGACAATCCCAATCTATAAATACACGCGTAATAACAATGTTAAATTCATTATCGAGTATACAAGGTTTAACGGAAGAGAAGAGGGAGGGTAAAATGTTCAATAGCAACAAACAGTTGTGAACGAATATAATAAACCAAATATTATTTGGTAGCAGCTTAGTTTAATGAGGCACTGCAAGTATTCGGAAACGTATTAATATAAAATAACAGGTTGATAAGTAAAAGAAATTATGAAAATTACCTTTTCTCTCGGTTGAATTTTAACATTAATATTTTTCAAAACGTAAGACGAATTCGGACTATATCGTAGAAAAAAATTGTTGAATATAATTTGACCTTTATTCGGCCATCCTTTAGGTGGTTTTTTTACTAAAACAAAAAAAGTTTGCATTTTATTAATTAAAATCGTATATGAAAATTAATTTATTCAGTGATTAATATCTCATGTAATGTTTTACGTTTTAGAATCTGAGCGAAGCGAGGAATGTTATACCAATAGACACGCCGTAAATATTTGCCATTTTACCTATAGTATCTTCTTTCGGGTTTTTCCCAATTATTTTAAAAACCCCATGAAAAATTAAAAAATGGCCTCCTCAGTGCACCAACTAGATAAAATTATCTTTTAGAAAAATGCTACACTTAATACTTAATACTTAATATTTTGGAGCAAGATTTCTGGCGAAAAAGTTACTCACAGACATTAAAATTAAATTTTAAAAAAAACAACAAATCCCTCGCTACGCTCCGAATCTAAAAAAATATAAAAACACACATTATATTAAAACTAATATATTCCTCGCTACGTCCCGAAACTAAAAATAACGAAAAGATCGGACCGGACTGTTCAGAGCATCTAAACACCATCGTAAACCATAGTATACACTCCGTTTTTTATTATAACTTATATCTACTAAATTAATACATTACACAAAGCAGATTCAGAAACGGATTCCTGCGAAAAGTTCGTGTATTCAAGTACTCTTTCGACGGATATCATTTGACTGTCTATATTTGCCATTTGCCTTATTCCGAATTGGAGTATACCCATTAAATTCATCGTTTGCGTGATAACCAATCCAACATTTCCACCGGACCATTCTAAAATACAAGTCAAAATTAAAATTTGCTTGATATAGGGTATACTATTTGTCAAACGTTTCTTACCGTTGTCTATAGTTAAGAAACATATTATCAAAACGGTTAAATATATAAGGCATAGCATATCAATCATAAAACCAAACGCATTATTTGAAGCGATTAGTAAATACCAAGCCGATGAATGTAAATCCTAAAAAAATATTTGACAAAACGTAAATTATTTGTTTGGGTGCAAGCTGTTTGGGTACTAAACCTGATTTTTAACTGAAAAATACATTATTTGTTTGAGAATTCACTGTGTTATTAATTATTATAAATACTTTCATTGGGCACCAATAATAATACTATGTAATAATTTATTTAGGCATCGTTATGCTTTATGTATTAACATATATATTTATAGATTTCAGATCCGCCGAAAAGGGATGTCCATTTGACATCTAGCATGTTAATGATTAATAATTATTAATTACCAAACGTTACCCTCAGAAGTAATTATGCGCTGGGGGGGGGGGTGTCATAATTTCTACTTTTTAATTAATACAAAATTTAGTTTCACAAAAGTCATTTTCTGAAAAAATAAATTTAATAATTGAGTTTAGTCGATTGCACACATATAATTTGCGAAAATCCAATGCACAAACATACAATGACTCTTAATATTATTGATGTTCAAACATATTAACATACTATACAAAAATGCCAAACAATGATTAGAACTACTATTAATTGTACTCGACGTTTTTCTCCGTATATATCTATTAACAATGATTTAATTAGGCGATTGTTTTTTTCAGTTTAGGAATATTTCGTAAAATTCAACAAAATAAATAATATTTATCAATTCTCACGTATTAATAACAATACAACAATCCAAAAAATTAAAAAACAGCCATATATTTCCAGACAATTGTATTGAATTATTACAGCCTTCATGTACGAGTTCAAGATTCAAGATCACGAATTTTTATGGTTAATAATATTATTGGCTAGTAGATTATCAAAAATTATTCAACAATTGTAACCACTTAGTAAAAAATAATATCACGAAATATCTGTATATATATATTATCCCATGCGTGTTATATAATAATATGTTTTACAGCTTTATCGATTATTTTGACTTATAGAATAGGTTCCATCATGATTTTCAATACAGTCGTTTAATAAAACGACATTGATCAAACATATGGGTGAACTGAAAAATAATAAAACTTTCGATTTATAATATTGCGGGAAGTTTAAGTTTTAACCGTTTTTTCTATAGTTATTATACGGCGTGGCATTTTATATATTTACAATATTTGCAATATTTTTTCATAATATCATATTAATATTTCATTATATATTTAATTTAATAAGTTATAATATTTGAAACTAAATATCTAGAAGAGCTGCATAGTACAATAATAAAAGGCATGGTAGAAGGAAAATACCTTAAATATAATATATCTCGTGATTCGTTTTGTCGGACAAAGGAAGGATACGGAAGCCGAAAGCTGCGGAGAACTGAAACCATTGTTGTGGGTGGGAAGTTGGGAAGGTAGGATACAGAAGGAATTTAGAGTATATCTGTAAGCAACGATAAACCATTGTTAACGAAAATATAATTCTGAGCGGAGTACGAAGTATGACGGATTGTTGCTTTATCGGCAATATATAATTTGTCATAATATGGTAAAATAATTACATTTGCATTATACTTGTATAATGTAAATTGTCTTTAATATTTGTTTAATATTGTACCTATTTTCCCGTTTTTCTTATTTTTTCTCCTAGTAATTATAAAAACAGTTGGAAAAATCAAAAAATGACTTCCTTAAAATACCACCCCAGTCAGATAAACCCCCTTTCAGAAAAAATGCTATAATTGGAAATCGAAGCAAAATTACAGATAAAAAAATAAATATCATTATAAAAAGAATGTATTTCCCGGTCAGCTCAGAATCTAAAATATGAGCTGTAAATCAATCTACGGGTTGAACAAAAATATATGTACAGGGTAATTTAAGTGATTTGTGTGATGGCACGGCGCGTAGCGTTTTATTAGTATTTCACTACTCTCCTCCTAGCTAGAATTAAAAGTGGAATAACTCGTTAACAGGTTATCAGAAATCAAACATTTTGACATCAAAATGTATTTCAAGTAATACTCCGCTATTTATGGAATTTTTAATATAGGTTCTCATTCGAAAAACTAAAGTTGGTGTCACCACAGGAAACTCATTAAATGCTGTGAAAAATCTATGTGTATTCAAAAATAACGGCTTTAAACTACACTTAAAAATTCCAAAAGTTAGAATTCAAATATATGCAATATTTAACCGAAAAAATGGGGAGGGCATATTTAATGAATCACTCTGTATATATATTTAAAACAACTATTTATTATGTAACAGAAACATATAAATGCATATATGCATATAAAAATCACTGTTATCGTTCAAATGTGTTTAAAATGTATCTTACCAAACATTTATCAAATAATTCGGCCAAAACAATTTCTGATTTGAATGTTCTAACCGTTATAATACCTTCTATTGATTCTTTAACATGTGCCAAGATCGGACTTTGGGCTGTAACAATATTAATTGTAGTATAAAAATATGCAGTAAATTATAATATGTGTTGGGCGCACACGTTTATACCTACAGCGAAATTGAATAAAAAATATTTACTTTTTATTTTGCACTTACTAATTCCTTCTAAACGTTTAATGCTACGTGACGTCGACAAATAATAAACTCCTACGTGATAACAACAAATTCCAGTGAAAAATGACGGTATCAGAAGGTATGCATCACTCCATCCGATTACAACTATTGTTCCTATCAGCGATAGTGTAACCTGTTATAAAATAACGTAAATCGTTGACAAATTACGTGTTTAATAGTTATAGGTAAATAATATAGTTTAAATTTATTACGTCTATAAAATTGATTATCGAGGACGGTAAACTTTCATCGATAGAACCAATGTCCTTAGTAAAGCGGTTGATTATTCGTCCTGGAGAGAAAAAAATGAATTGTTAAGACCACGAGATGATTAATTATTTTATTTTTAAAACAAAATACTATTTTAGGTACCGGTCGAGTTTGTATTGAAGAAAAACATTTTGACTTTGGTTATAGCGTTGAACATATTATCGTGTAAAGTTGTCGAAGTTTCAATGAAAAATGACACGAAATTTATACATCTAATCATGACGAACAACAGTAACATTACGTTCAATGCTACATAAACTATAATACATGACTGACGGGAAATCAAAAACCCCATAAGTTTAACAGAAGATTTATCGTTCATTGAGGATGTATCGTTAACTGAATATTTGTGGTTTACGTTTTGAAATACACGATCTTCTAGATTCACCCTGCAATGATAAAATAAATTTAAAAAAAAAATAAATCTTAAATATATTAGATATACAAATACTGTTTAAACTAAGTACCAATAACTAATCCAATAATCTTCACCGGTGCACAATAATTGGGTGAGAATGCATACGAATAATACAAATGATAACTTATAAATGCTTCCACCACCCAATAAGTATGAGAAATAAACGTTCAAAGAAACGGGCCCCGACGAACGCGTTTCCGCTGTTACGGACGATTCGTCTGGAAATCTATTGGATTCGAGTTCTCTAGACTTCGAATTGCCATTGAGAGAAGTTCTGGCAGATTTTGTCACAGAGAGGAGATCGTTGTCTACTTTATGAGTAATCTCGTTTGTTTGATTATGCATTTCTTTGTCCACATACATGATTGTTCTTTCATTTAAAGATTCAATTAATTTTAAAAAATCCATATTGATAGAACTGAGTTTCTCGTAAGAACCTTCAGCTAATTTGTTGGCCTGGAAAAATGAAAAAAAAAAAAAATGTTTCTGAAAGTACTTTTTACTTGCGGGTATAAAATCGAAAAAAAAAACAAACTAACATTTTCCATCAGAACGATTTGATCCTCTTCAGTCAAATACTGTATTTGATGTGTGACGAGAATACAAGTTTTCTTTTTGAGGAAACCTATAAGTGTGTGCACACATTGTGGCGTTCGAGATATGCATTAGAAATACAACTCGGTATTCATAATAATAAAAAGGTATACTTACTCTTAATACATTTATCAAATAAATACTTGCCAACGTGCGTGTCGACAGCTGACAGAGGATCGTCAAGTAAATAAATATCCGCTTGTCTGTAAATGGCTCTGTTTAAAAAAAAAAAAAATCATAAAACACTGAAAACAATATAGCGGTATGCCTGCAATAACCTCGCTAAATTTATTCTTGCTCTTTGTCCGGCGCTAAGAGAAACTCCTCTATCTCCTACGATCGTTCTGTCGCCATTCGATAATTGAAGTAAATCAGCTTCCAACGCACATACGTTGATTACCTTTATACAATATTAATATATTATTTTATACAATATACAGTGGTAGATATAATGGGGGTGAGTTCGGTTGGTTAATCGTGACCCCTTAAACCCCTTAACTTAATACTTAAGAAATTGTATCCCATTACCCCTGTAAATCTTATATTCGTTCCCTCTTTCAGAAATGGGATAAACCCACTACTGATTGTTATCAAAAAAAAATAAACAAAAAGATATAATTTAAATATCACTAGAATAATTGTACAGTCGTTTGTACTTTTAAATAACGTTCCTTATCCATCGGTGAATTGAATAATATGTTGTTTTGAATGGAAGAATTGAATAACCATGGTTCTTGAGACGCATAAGATATCTTGCCACGTACTGAAATGCTCCCTTCCGATAGCGGCAATTCTTGTAAAATCGCTTTTATCAATGAACTCTGTAATCGCCAAAAGCCAGCCGATATCGGTGTATAAGTAACAATATATAAAATATTATTGTATATAATATTAAACACTTATATAATACACGCGTATATTATGAATATATACACGTGTGTTACAGGCAAAAACCGAAATCTTGATTAATCATAATATGACAAGTTGTTTTGGTAGTTTTTAAATCCGGGCCTTTACAACTTGTGTAGACATAAACTAATACATTCTTTTCGTTTGTTTAATTATTTAGAAATATAACATATTATATTATGAATATACAAAACGAAATAGTTTTATTTTATCAGAAGATATCACGACGATATATGACATTCACTATGTTCAGATATGCTGAAAGTGTTATCAAAGTAATCATTTTTTGGTTATGTAAATTAATAATAATCGATTTTATTATTTAAGATTAATGACGGATTTCGATGAAGTAAAAAGACCACAAAATCCAAGAGCCAATACAAATATGAAAATGCCCTCAGAAATGACCGGGTATAAGGCTAAGTCCTCACGATACTTTGGCTAAACGTCTTATAACTGATTTTACCCGACTAATGTATTAAATAATTAGTAACCAATATCACTTGGGCAAAACCGTAGCGTATACATTTTAATTTTTCACAGTAAAACTCGTATAGTAGGTATAGATTTCAAAATATAACCTAAGAGAGCGTGTATTGTAACATAATATGTAATATGAGAAACAAATTAACAAATATAATATTGATGTCGTATTTTCGATTTTGAGTGAAGTGAGGAAAGTTTTGGTTTTACAATTATATATTTTTTTTTCTGTGGCTAACTTTTCTACCAGCAATTTTGTTTCGATTTACAATGACAGCACTTTTTCTGAAAAAAAATTTAGCTGGGCTGGTATTTTAAGGAGATTCTAATTTTCTAAATAATAAATAGGAAAATAAACGGGGAAATATTTGACATGCATGATTTTTAACTCATAAATATTACGACCTTTTAAACCATGTATAACCTAATTCCGCTCAGAATTTTTTCTTTAGCAAAGATTAATCGTTGCGTATAAATATACATTAAGTTCCTCTCTATAATCCTACCTTCCCAACTTCTCACCTACAACAGTAGCCCACCTATCGTGCGAAGTATGTCAGTCTTTTTTGTTATAAATCAGTTAACAATTTTTTTAAAAATTAGAAATTTTGACAGAAAACTTTTATTGATGTTTTCTAAACGTCGTAATATTTTAAAAACACTTGATTCTTTTTTGGACTATTTGTAGATATCTTAATTTTGTGAATGTTTTTTATTTGGTAGGTATACCTTTGCAAATAATATTGTAAGGTTTAACAAAAATGCTTGGAAATTTAACAGGAGGTCCATAATAGTTATGCATAGTGGTAAAAAAAAAAAGTGAGCGTCAGTGTAGTTTTTTTTAAGCGTTTTAATATAAAATTTTGACGAAAATCGTAAAAATTACGGTATTTCTAAATATGTCGGTCTTATCGAACTTCGCTGTGAATCATTTTTCGTATGCAAAGATTTCTTTTTGCTTGCAGATATAAATTCAATATATTTATGTAACCTAATTTCCAACTTGTACCTACAACAGTAGCACACATATCCCTAGGATCAGCTTTTTTTTTTAAAGGAACAGTAATAATTATTTTCTGTGCAATATGTAAGAAAAAAGTAATACTTACTTGCTTACTGTGAAAAAATTGAAATTAATAGACAATACAGCTTTGCGCAAAATAGGTTGCCCGGACAAAAGTCGAAATATGACTTTTTACCCCCTTTTGCACATTACGTTTGTTCTAGTTTCGGCTTTTGTCCGTAAGATATATAGTATTATATAATTTATATTCACTTTTCCGGCTCCCACGGGGCCGATAATCGTGACCAATCGACCCGGTACGGCGTTCAAATTAATATTATTCAAAGAGTTTTCCAATTGGTCGTTCTTCCATTTAGCCGAGACGTTTGAAATGACTATTCCGAAACTGACGGATTGTTCGACATCGTCATTTTGATTATGACACGCCACGTTATTGATTGCGGTTATTTCTTGTTTGTCGTTCGCGTTTTGTTTTTCATCGGTTAACAGAAACGTCTTCATAATAATAATATGAAAATATATAATTATTTATATGTTTCTAAAAATTTGTATTGTTTCAATCGCCAAAATAGGTAATAAAAAAAATCAGTTACCTCACGGCCCTCTTATAAAATAAAAACTTAATTGAGTCTAATTATTAGTTACAAAATATTTGAATGATATATTTTCACATTTAAACAACTTGAATATAAATTTAAAATTCCGCAAAAAAACACCCTACTAATGGTAGACAAAGTTAATGCATTTATCAAAAAATTGGTTTGGATCATTTGTTTCAAAATACGATATCATTTTGATGCATTGGATTTGGCTTCAAATTATATCAATAAAAATGTAAATTCAAAAATTGTATTGTTTAGAGAATTGAAAATTCAGTAACTAAAAAATTCCTTAACGATGACTTCTTGGAAAGATGAATTCTTAATCCATTTGATGAAAATATAATGGCAGTTGCCAAATATTTAATTGAGATTCGCCATTTTCTTATAGAGTTATCAGCATAATATACGTAAAACATTATAACTACAATTTTTATCCTTAGATTTAAATAAAATTAGTTTGCTTGGCTAAATGGTTATAGAAGCCTAGTAGCCTTGTAACAGATAATCATTGAAAACATTGATTCCATTCACCACTTTTTATTTATGCAAAAAATTATTCTCTTCCGTGGTCTTTTATGGTGACATTAAAAATTACATACAAACATGTTATTGTTTATAACATGTTCTAGTTGTCACTAGAAAATAATTTATGTTTATGTATTCCAAATATTGAACTATGAATAAATAAAGTATTAAACATAAAACAACCACAAATATCTCATTAGTCATTGCTTATCATTTTATGGCGAAAATCGGTATATTATTCTGGATACTTACATCCAGCATGTGCCTTTTCAGGAAAAAAAGAGCTCAGTTCTAGTAATAAAATGCATCCTATCAAAGTAATAATATTATCTATATTGTGTCTATGTAAGTTCTTTCTTTAGTCTATAATCTCACTTCATTCCAACATTCATGAGTTACACTACACTTTTATTTTTGTTCCTTAACACTTGGAAGTCAAAGGTTTTTAAGTTATACATAAAACAGATTTATTTATGTATTATCGCTACTCTGTTAGGGCTTCTGTTGCGGAACTGAGTGTACAGAATTAGAATATACGACTTCATTAACACAAACATGGCTAAGTAACATGGTAAGTTGTCATCTTGAACTGTGCATATCAGTAACGTCACGCTGTCTCCTAATAATCCGGCCTATTTCGAATCGTAAATATTATGGCCTTTCAAAACAAGAATAACCGAACTCCACTCAAACTAGTTTTCGTTATGAATGATTTATCGTTGCTTACAGATATACATTAAATTTGTTCTCTGCCTTTCCAACATCTCACCAACAACAGTAGCCCACTTACCGTTAGAAATATGTCAATTTGTTTTTTTTTTCTTACGGTTTACAATAATCGTTGTATTATAATAATATTATTTTGTATTAATACCTGGACGCGTTCAATGGATGCAAACATTTCAGCAAACGATCCGATACTGAGTGGGAAAAGCACTGTCATAGTTAACCTTATGTTTATGTAGAACGTTATCATGACAAATATCTAAAATATTATAATTTAAGTAAATTTGTAATAAGAAGACGTTACAACCACATTAAACCATTAAATAGACTGTAGCGTCTGTAGTAACTCTACAGTCTGTTTAACGAGCAATTTAGGCAAAATTACGTTACGTGTAAAACACAAATTGTGACGTTGCGTATTAAATTAGAGTATAAACAAAAATAATACAATTTAAAGAAGACAATTTTATCGAGGATAGATAAAACGTAGCTTTTTTTATAATATTATGAAACAATTTATACTGTACTCAAAAATAATCTATTTAAATGATGTTGTTTGTATTGAAATTCTTAAACTAAACGCCACAAATTATGTTCTACATATTATATGTACAACGTAATTTTACTGTGTATGGTTGCTGTATTCGTATTGTTTGTCAGACTGTAACAGTAGATCCATCCATTTAATATTAAGATTTTTATGTTTTCATTACTTTTTCTGTACTAATATTACTTCCCAGTAATATATATATTAGAATGCTTATCATTAACGCTAATCTCGTATGGAATATTTTGAACGACTCCTGAATAAATTTGAGACACATGGTTTTTTTAATATCTCGAAGTTCCTTCCTTATATCGTCAATTGAAATATAAAACAATTAAATTATGTTACACATCAAAATTATCCAGTAACAGTTTAAGAAATTAAAAATTAGTTGCACCTACTTTCTCGAGTCTTTTACTAGATGAACAAATTTTTTTTCCCACGTATACATTTTGATTGCCTGTATACCGGAAATTATTTCGTTCATCAGTCTAACCCTTTCGTCGGTCCCAAGACCTATATTAGATCTAAATTGGAAAATCTTCTTGCTGATAAACGCTGTAAGTAAATGAATTGTTATATACCTACTATTAAATTAAATTTAATAGTTCGTGTTCTAACTTTGTAACGGGATAATAATAAGCACTCCAAATACACCAAATAACGAGGACACTCCGATTTCTAGCCATAATAAGTACGTCGCGAAAATCGTTCCCACGGGTGCAATCCATATAATATGGAATAATCTGAATGCCGAATCTATTCTTATGACATCGTTTGATAGTAAATTCATAACTTGACCGATTGAATTTTCTTCAAGAGAACATTTACTTAACCGCAACACCTATACAACAATACAAAGTATGATAAAAAAAAGATGTCCTAGGATAATGGGACGGGTATAGTCACTGTTATAGGAAATTGAATGTATATTTATAAGAAACGACATACAATTGCTAACGAAAAAAACGGTTCTGAGCGGAGTATAATAATATATTATATATATTCTATTATATAAAAAAAAAAATACTGCATTACATTCAATTTTTTACAGTTTTACTACTAAGTACAACTTATAATGAATCTTCTGTTCAATTTTCAAGCATTTCTTGTAAGTCTTACAATTTTATTCACAGAGTACCTACCAAATAAAAAAAAACCGTGCCAAAGCAAATTTTTTTCAAGAGAAAACTGTTAACTATTATATTTAGCATCACTGGAACGAGTATATATTATTAACCTTTTTGTATATTATAGAACAGCAAGCTACGCGTATTTTCATTCCACAATGTTCTACTTCGATTTGCACATATCGACTGATTACAATGACGATAGCCATATTAAAAATTAATAGCGACGCAGAAATTAACGAGTTCGTATTATTGGTCTGGTTGTACCCAACTGGATTGAAATACGCCAATATTCCGCCAACGAGCAGAGACCGAGGAATTCTATATACGGACATAAAAATTAATTATAATAATAATATGAATACATTACATAATAATATTATGTAATAATTTCGTATAAGAGGTTGCAGTTGCTGGTAGGTTTTTTTGACCATTATGTGTTTACGTAAAACAAATGAAAAGCCTTTAAATTCGCGTTTCGAGTTGAACCACCAATTATACATTTTGCAAATGACGACATTTCAAAGACAACCTCATGGATGTTTTACAATTATAATCTAATAATATATTCAACTCATTATCGAAGTTATGAAAAATCTTATTTTTTAAATAGATATGGTTTTATTAAATAATATTCCAAGACACGCCGATCAGGTTTCCTTAAAAATAATCTCATCTGTGAATTGAATTGCGTTTATGTGTTTTAAGGTCCTTTATACCAATTTCGCAAAGGCGTCATCGGGTAAATTCTACAGGAGGGAAGGAGGGGAGTAAAATATTAAAATATTTTATAAGACAATAATTTGTTTTTGAAATAGCTGTACTTAAACAATTAGATATTTCGTAATAGAAGTATGTTAAGTATATCATAACATGGCACATGAGGGTCTAGGAGTTATCGGCGCTACTGTAATTAATGGTTTTTGAAAAAAACAAATGTATAATTGAAGACTTGATATCAATAACGTCAAAAAAAAAAAAAAAAACTGAGCTATGTACCATCGCCAACAACCTATAAAGTGTGTACAAGACCCAATAAACTAACCTAAGAGCTATGTGTCGTAGCTACCATGGAAATTATAAAGAAAATAACTTGAAATCAACAGGTAGGTTAAGTTTAGTACTTAGCCCGTTATTGATTTCAAATCTTCATTTCATTATTACAAAAATATTTACATATTTTAACCTGTATTACTACAACCTACTCGACTATTATAATATAGTGTGTCCCACGAAGATATATCCCTTGAATATATCCGGAGATAATAAAAGATAATTAAATTATGTTTTTTTTTTTTAATATTACTCACAGAGATGAGGATTACAAATATGTATTTTTAAATTAAATTTGTTTAGTAAATCTTATTGTTTATCCCTTTCTATTCGTTGGTTTTAAATTAACACATTTTTTGCTTAGTTGCCCGTTAGAAGATCAGAGAGGAAAATTCAATCGTAACGACTTCATGAATTCGCAATCCGAGTAACTCCATTATACTTATCATAGGTACCAATGAATTAAATATCATATAAAATGGTTGGTTCAAGTAAAAATATATATATATTTTTTTTTTTAGAACAAAATCCGTAGTTACTGAGGCCATTGGAGTTAAAAATAAAAAAAATATCGTAAATCTATATACTGAATGATCCATTTAAGTATGTACACTCGATATCTCGGAAAATATTTCCTTTTTTAATTTTTTTTTTTTTTGAAAACTTAAGAAACAAGCTGCTCTAGAATTTAATATTTACATTATTTTTGTTCACCCTAATTTTTGGGGGGTGAAACGACTACCGGCTTTATAAAGTAGTGGTATATCATTAAAACCTTGCGTGTCTTGCCACCACACAAATTATACTAAACTACTCTCACCCGACCCAAACTTAAAAGAGGAATATATTATATCATTAACTGTTTGACTTAAATCAAAAATTTCAACACCAAAATGTATTTTAACTAATTCCCCATCTATTTAAAGAATTTTTAATATTGGTTACTTTTAAAAATTAAAAGTAAGTAGTTAATTCACCCCAAAAAATTAGGACGACAACAAATAATGTGAACATTAAATTTTAGTGCAGCTTGTTCTTAAATTAAAAAACAATTTAAAAAGTAAATATTTTCCGAATTATCAAGTGTGCTCATTTAAATGGATCATTTTGTACATAAAAAAAAACCTAAAAAGCAGGTTAACATATCGATTTAATATTTAATAATTGAATAGGTTTTGGCGAAAATTCACCAGAAAATAATATTAAAAATGTAGGTAAATATAATGCCAAATCAAATATTTATATTTTAGGACTTAAGTTACTGGAGTCTCGATTTATAATTCGATATTACCTGAATATTATTTCATTGGTTAATTGTAATACTCCGTACCAAAACAATTGAGTACCAAACATTCTGGCGAGAGCTCTTAACAAACTGGGTTTTCGACTCTCTATTTCTGCCTCGTCCAACTCGTTTATCCATCTCCTTAAATCAGACGAATTTTGGTTGATAAAACAAAATAAATTATTAAAATAATAATTATGCATAATATTATACTTTTCTAATTCACAGCCCAACAATGACGCCTTATGATTATTTAACGTTGTATATAAATCGTCTTCTTTTAAAGCTCTTTTTCGTCCTGTTGCGAACAAATTCAATAGCCAGCTGAGAACAGAAAATAACGAATTGTATTTACAATGTGTTAAATAAAATAATTCAGTTGGTTATTATTTTTGAGTTTGTTGAAATTATACATAGATAGAATCATTGTAATATTTCGTACCTAAAAGATAGTATTTCAAAAATATTTGCATTGGCTCTTGGATTTTGACGTCTTTTTACTTCATCGAAATCCGTCATTAATCTTAAATAATAAAATCGATTATTATTTATTTACATAAACAAAAAATAATTACTTTGATAGCACTTTCAGCATACCTGAACATAATGAATGTCACGTCGTGATATCGTCAGATAAAATACAACTATTTCGTTTTATATATTGATAATATAATATGTTATATTTCTAAATAATTAAACAAACAAAAAGAATGTATTAGTTTATGTCTATACAAGGTGTAAAGGCCCGGATTTAAAAATTACCAAAAAAATTTGTCATATTTTGATTGAACAATATTTCTAGTAGAAAACAATAGTTTGAACAACTATTAAAAACAGTGAAATCGGTAATGCCACGGCACCCATAAATATTTGCTGTTTAACTGTAATTTTCTTTCCAGTTTTTCCCAATTATTATGAAAATCCCTTTGAATTTAAAAGAAAAAACCTCTTTAATGCCGACAGGTACTAGATAAAATTTCCTTTTAGAAAAGTTGCTAAACTCCGTTAATTTGAGCAAGATTTAGGGAAGAAAAGATGTTTGCAGATAAAAAAAAAATACACATAGCATAGTAAAATTAATAGTTCTCTTGCTACGCTCTGAATCTCGTAAAGAACACACCATAGCAAAATCAATATATCCTTCGCTACATTTCAAATTTTTAAAAAAAGCACACATCATAATAAAATGAATAGATCCTTTATTTAATTTAACTCCTAATTTAAATTACGAGTAAATTACGGTTCGGTGTTCTTTCTACTGGTGCCAGTGTTGTACCTGCGGAGAAGGGAGGCGAGGGGGTATTGGCCACGTATATATGTGCATTGTTATTAATTGTCTTTAGTGTTTTCATAATTACTTTAAAATTTGATTTTTATGAAGTAGCTAATAATATTATAATATGGTTAAATCCATAGATATTAAAACATTTTTGGTATCGATGGTCGAACCGAGTTAACGTTTTTTGGTGTTGTTATTTTATTTCACATTTCTTCCCCCTCCCCTGTAAGAACTGTCTGACAGGCGGGTTCTCGAGACCGCCCGGCCAGGGCCATGGAAGATTCACACAATATGTAGCGAAACATGCAAGTTATAAGTAATAATAAAAAGATACAGACATACTTCACACGATGGTCTAATGTTGTAAATGAGAAGTTGAAAGGGTATATTCTTATAGAGGGGAATTTAATATATATCTGTACGTAACAATTAATGTTCACTAAAGAAAACAATTCTGAACGGAGTTTTATTACATATGTTTTAAAATATTGAAACTCCTGTTCAATTTTTAAGCAATTATCTGTTTAGTCTAATAATTTTATCCATAGAGTACCTACCATATACAAATTACGTAAATAACTTGTTCATTTCCTTATTATTAGAAAAAAAAAACAATAAATATTGTAACAGCAAGAAGTCAACTAGGGAGAAATTCAACTCTATTGCTCATGGATTTTTCTACTTTTGCTAAAATTAACCTAGAAATGTACAAAACCTATGAATCTTTATTTGTTCTTAATTTTTTGATTTTTCAATAAACAAATTGGGAATCTAGAAAACATTTTCAGACGTAGTGTTACTGGACAGAAAATCCGAATTACTTTAGATACGGTAGCAGAAATCAGAGAATTGAAAAGCATCTTATTGTATGTAAAACTTAACGATTCTTCGCTACACACAAAAATGTAAAAGTGTATAATGTTATTCGTTATTCTTACGAAAAACCAATATTATTATTTATCATCTGCTCCTACTTATACAAAATAGAATTTTATAGTACAATATAGTACGAGAACTCTAACTAAGAGATAAAAAAAAAAACGTGTGAATAAATCAGACAATAAGCAATCAGTAAATAGTCTAAACATAATAATTATTATCAATAATAATAAATATATTTAATAATACAGAGTGATAATTCCGAAAAGTATTAACTTTTTCCAGAATTTATTTTCTAGAATTTTTAAGAAAGAAGCTGCTCTACGATTTTATATTTATGTTATTTTTTGTAGCCCTTCTTTTTAGAAGTAAAACCACTACCTAATTTTGATTTTCAAATGCTAACCTATATTAAAAATTCCATAAATAGAGGAAGTATTAGGTAAAATAAATTTTAGGGATGACATTTTTGATTTTCATTGACGAGATCTTCCCCTTTTAATTTAGGTTGGAGGAGAGTAGTGGAGTGTTATTTTTATTTGTGTGGCGGTACGGCGAGCAGGGTGTTATTAATGCACTATTACTCTCTTCCAACCTAAAATTAAAAGTGATCTCGTCAACGGCTTGATAGAAATAAAAAATGTCAACACTTAAATTCAATTTAACTAATACCTACTCCATCTATTTATAGAATTTTTAATATATGTTACCATTTTAAAATCAAATTTGGGTAGTGGTTTACCCCTAAAAAGAAGAGCGAAAAAAAATAACATAAATATAAAATTGTAGAGCACCTTGTTTCTTAAAAATTCCTAGAAAATGAATTCCGGAAAAAATTAATACTTTCTGCTTAATTTCTACTTAATGAGAGTCTTATGATAGATTTATCACTCCGTATATCCCTAATGGCTTAGCGTTCCAACATTATGGGCAGATAAAACAATATTGTATTTCTAATTTATTGATCTCGTCACCATTTGCAAACTCATTACAAAGAATACCTACAACCGTTAGGAAGAAGTCAACGACGTAATCGTATTAAGCGACAGAGCACCCCGTGTCTTACCTTCTTACATTATTATCACTCTTATACATTGCCTTTGTATCTGCTCTTACCTTTGGTTAGTTACCAAATTAGTATATAGCTGGTGTATATTTGATTAATACCATCATTGAAGTGTACGACTGACCATGGACGAGCAATGATAATGCCATACACCTAACCGCGTCATTGAACACTGCGACATTAAACACCGTTGACCGGCTCGGCACAAACCTTATCAAGTTATTACATACTCTCTAAACACACATGTTTTACATGTTACATATTATATACATAGGTATTACTTCTCTATACTATACATTTTTTTGTTTTTCTAAACAAAACAATTTTCATAGTAAACTTGTAATCAGTATTGTAAGAAAAGAAAGAAAATTGTTTAGGAAAATGACGTAATGCATAAAATTAATATACCTTTTCGGTTCGGAGTGGAGCGACGAATGTATTGGTTTTACAATAATGTTTATTTTATTTTTTTTTTTTTTATACATATTTTGAACAACTTTTTTCCCAGAAATCTTGCTCCGATGTTTCAAGTGTAGACACCCAGGGGCGCCATTTAGAGTATTGCAAGATATACGGTTGACTGCGCTGTTATTTTCAATGTATTTTTGGTATGTTTTGAATTCGAAGGAATGTATTGGTTTTACTATGATGTGTATTTTGTTTTTTTTTTTGCGAACAACTTTTCTTCCAGAAATATTACTCCGAGCGAAAAATGACAAGAGATCGATTTTGTTTCATTTTTAATGTTGTAGGAAAGTAAGTTTTTGATTTTCTTTATAATTTTTTTAATAATTGAGCAAAACCTAAACAAAACGTAGAAAGAACGGACACATTTACGAAAATAATTATTTAATTTTTTAAAATTTAAATTCTGATTGGAGAAAGGAATTCATTGGTTTTACAATGATGTTTATTTTTTATTTTTCTGTGAACCACTGAAAAATGTACGAAATTTGGATATTAATGAAAAAATATTACGGCCTTCTTTTTTCCAGTGAACAACTTCTCTACCGGAAATTGTGCTCCGATTTATAATTATAGCACTTTTTCCAAAAGGAAATTTGAGTGAGGAGGTACATAAAGGAGGTAATTTTTTGATTTTTCTAAGAGGTTTCCAAATAAATGAGACGAACCAGAAAAAAAAACATCGGAAATCCGTAGAAAAAACGGGAAAATAGGTACAATATTAAACAAATATTAATAAAAAAAATATATAATACATTTTTATCTAAAATATGATATATATATATTGTTGACAAAGCAACACTATTAACCGAACTCCGCTCAGAATCGTTTTTTCGTTAGCAATGGCTTATCGTTACATACAGTAAAAAATTTAAGTTCCCCTCTACTACCTAATATAATTCATTTTAAAACATTCGTAGTGAATTAAAATGTTTTCAGAAAATGTACATTTACTTTTTCTAGACATGGTAAAAGGTTCAGATCATTCGAACAAATTGTTGAGTTTTTTATAGACATTTTAATTCTGCGATTTTTCTACATAATTTTTATTTGGTAGGTAATCTGTAGATAAATTGTTAGAACTTATAGATATGATAAGAAATTTGATAGGAGATTCATTAAAAGTCGTACTTAGTGGTCGAAAGAAAAAAAATTAGGTCACGGTAAAAATCAAGTTTTTATGAAAATCGTAAATATTATAAACTTTCAAAACAAGTATAATCAAACTTAGTTTCGATAACGTACAACAATTCGGAGTTAGGTTCGGTTATACATGATTTTAACATATTTAATTAAAAATGTATAAAAAAAAAAAAAAATTGAAAACTACATAAAACTATTTTTTTTTATCTGACCACTAAACATTAAACTATAATAAACCTCCTATAAAATTTTCAAGCATCTTTGTTAGTTTAACAATGTATTTTTCTGTAGATTGCCTACCCAATAAAAATTTCGTAAAATATTACAAAATTTAAATGTATATAATTAGCATAAAAACTGCCCAATTGAAAGTTTTACCACGTTTAGAAAAAGCAAATATAAGATTTTATTAAAATTTCAAGTCTCTATAAATATATTAAACTGAATTACATTAATAAAAAATAATAACAAAATTATTTTCGTAAATTTTCCCGTAATTTCTACGTATTTATAGGTTTCCCCCAATTATTAAAAAAAACTATAAAGAAAATCATAAAACGACATCCTTAAACAAAAAAGATAGTTTGATGTTTTTTTTTTTTGGAGAAATATTTATGCTAGAAAACATAAACCGTAAAAATCTAAAATAATGAAATCGTTTTGCCGGAATTTTAAAAAATACGTATATTTCGTAATTTTTTGTTTTTCCTAATTATTATCAAAAATGACCTTCCGTGGCAATGACGAAATATTAAAAGAAACAAAATTGAACTCATGTCATTTTTAGTTTGAAGCAATATTTTTGATAGAAAATATCGTGTATACGTAAGAAACATAATGAAAACGGTAACATCGTAGCGCGTTATAAATATTTTCTGTTGTACCAATAATTTTTCCTTCAGATTTTTCTCAACTATTTCGAAAAACCCTTGAAAAATCAAAAAATTACCTCCTAAATTTACCAAAGAGAAAATTACTTTTCAGAAAAAGTTCCATAGTCTATAATTCGGTTCTAGTATTCTGGTAGAAAAGTTGTCCACACACAAAAAAGAAAAAATACAAAAACAGGCGTCATAGTGAAACCAATAGATACGCTACGCTCCGGGTCTAAAATAAAACTCTACTATTATATATATTTAATTGTTTTCTCAATGGTTTTCTAGAAATTAAAATGTCTTCTAATAAGAAACTGTTTATCGTATATGAATGTATGATACATTAAAATGTTTAGAATAATATAATTTACAAAGTGGAAAATTAAAAAAATTATTTTTCAGTAAAGGAATGCAAAAAAAAAAAATGCATTTTTTTCTACACACGTGTGCTCCTCGCACATAACCCGATTGAAAAAAAAATTAATATTGAAAAAGTTATTTGTATAAGGATAACACTGTGAGACATTCTGTATTTCACGTGAACAATTTTGGGTGTTTTAACTTGACGGAAATGTGTTTTTACTTGGGAAAATAAAAACCAAATCTTAAGAGAATTGATGACAATTTTTCAAATTTTCTCTAATTTTATAAATTGTTAAAATGTTTTTTACATTTATATGACTACCCTAATGATATTCCTGTTCTACTAATTTACTCAGTGGCTTGCCCAGAGGGGGGGACGTTAGAGATTATATCCCCCTAATGGCTTAAATATACAACAAAATATGAGTAATCTAATATCGAAACTCATAAATTTCGGCCAATTTCCAAGAAAAAACTTGATGTATTGAATAAAAATTGACTATTTTTTTAGGATCTGGTTTTTAAATTACCAATTCCCATAGTCGAGTCAGGTAGAGAAGACGATTTTACTATTTTTTCACGATTTTTATTTGTTACATCCATTCCCATTAAAAATTCCTGAGCATACAACTGTATTTACTATCTAATATTAAATTAAAGGGAAAGGGTACGGCCGTTTCTATGAACGAATATCGAAATATAACGTTTTAGAATGAAAAGCCATACGAAACTATTGAAATTGTGGGATTTTCGTTTGAAAAGGTATTATGATTATTTAGGTTCTTTACTAGGATACCTTTTCTATTTTTTTAAAAAAAATTTAATTCTCTTTATCAAAAATAAAAGACAAAATATTTGAAGTACTCTTTTGATAATTTTTTAAAATACAATCGATTTTTTTTTATAATTCACAGTAAAATAATTAAATATTTATTTCCAACGTATCCTAGTAAAGAACCGAAGTAATTATTATCGATTTTCAAAATTTAAATCTTATAAATACAATTTTTATTGTTTTGTCTGAATTTTAGGTCTAAACCAATTAAAATATATGGTGTCACCGAATAGTAGTAAAACTAATAGACTCTTCGCTACAATTAGATAACAAATTTAACCAAACATTTATCTAAAACTATTATGGTTTTTATGTACTTACCATAAGAAAATCATTCAAAAATACAATGTAAGCCGGTATAATATGCGAATTCTAAACACAATGATGTAATTATAATCACTCAGGTACCATTAATCTACGTAGCGAATTCGTAAATAAATAATGACATTTTTTTCGTTAATTTTTGTTGCACTGCATTAGTACCGTCCTGACGTTAAACTGAAACATTCCGTACGTGCTCATAAAAATATTCAAATGCATAGTATATACGAGTTTCTATATGTATATACATATTATTGTTAATAATTATACAAATTCGTTTTGATAATAATAATATGATATGTTTCTATCTGCAATTAATATTTACATGGGAGTAATTCTAGTCAAATTAAATAGGTACTACGACAGTAGAAGTAGTAGTTTTTACTATAGTTTAGACGTATCAGTTTAATCGAATAAAATAAAGGACACTGTTCAACATAAAGGGGGGAGGAGGGGGTGCCATTATTAATAATTCACGCTCGATAGGTATATTGTTTAACCGTCTCGTTTTATCGCATGGTTTTATAATTCATTTCTTCCAAATTTCTAATAAGTTGTGATAACAGTTGTACTTTTTAGTATTTATCGTTATAGGTTAAACACTTTTTCGATTAAGAAAAATGATTAAATCTGTTCACGCAGCGCTTAAAAAAATATGATTTCTAGTGGAAGTTTATTTGAACTTTTTTTAAAATAGTCAGCTGCTTTTCTAAAAATAAAAAAAACTAATAACAAATGGTATTAGATAAGTTTATTTAAAATTTGTATCGATTTTTGAATGATTATTAGTATAATCAAGTTAAAAAAATATTTTAGTAAAAAATACAATATACAGATCCTATAGTAACTGCTTATATCACTGAGCTCTGAATCGTTATTTGATTAAAATAAAATTAAAGCAGGCGTTTTTTGTTGTTTAGGTATGTGTTTATCAGTGCATTGAAAAACCAGCGATAATTTGTGCAATTAAAATAAAACCTTTTAATGATATAATAAAACCTGTGGCCTTACTGAAATGTCTGGGTATATACTCGATTTACGTATAAATTACGATAAAATAATATTATTCGTTGTATCATAATATCGATATAAATTGGGGTTTTATATATTTTTATAAAAATGATTACTATGTTTAGAGCTACCTATGTCACGTGTACACATTTTCACGTATTTACTTGAAATGGACATCTGAATCTATAAAGCCATGTACTTAAAAAATCTCTATACGCGTGTAATTATAACGGTGTAAAAGTATATTTACGCATTCACGTATTTTAGTGTTATAATAACATTAAAACACGTAAACATAGATATTAAAATTTTATTCATTTGCAGAGTTGTATTCACGTATGTATTAATTCACATATTCAATGGAGACTTCTAATTATGTTAGCGATTGTATTTTCACGCAGTGACGTTATTAATAATATTTTCCGCTGTTAATGACTCATCGCTCTCGACGATTACTAATTAATATAACAAATTATCAGTGTATAATGTTTAAATTAAAACTATTATCATTTTTTCTTTTTTTTTTTTATGGTCGTTATTATTGTTTAGCTAACCTCTCAGAGGTTACCCGTTTGTTTTATAGGTATACGTACAATGTTTCAAAAGGCGTGGCCCATACGGTGATAGTTCCCATCGTGATAGTTATATAGAAATTCACAACCGAGATAGAAACCAAGGATTTTGACTTATATAGGATCAACTAGGTACGTAAATATCAGATTTTACAGTATTCACGGCGATGTTTGGGATTTTTAAGGTATCGGAGTGTGATTTTTCTTAATTTCATGATCAGTAGTTTTTTTAAAAAGGTACCACGGGTGAACATGATGCGTTATTATTTGATTTTACCGCGGTAAAATGTAGTTTCCATAAAACCTATATGAATGGTATTATTATCTTTAAAATGTCAAAACTAAATGAGTTAAGTTGGAACTAGTGATAACAGTTTAAAGATAACAGTTTTGTCGAAGTTTGAAAATCCGGATTTTTGATTTTGAAACATTGAATAGTATATTTTTATGTAATACTTATAATAAAATTTTTGGATTTTGAAATCCGTAAATTCGACATTTGGATTTCATAATCCAAAATCCGGATATAGTAGTTTAATATCCAAAATCCGAATTTTTTGGATTTTCGGATAATCCAGATTTGTCACATTATTAGTTGGAACACATTATCTATACTCGGTGCTTATAAATGCTTTCAACAAACCTATTGCTATACTAATGTTTATTGCATTGCACATGTGTTAGTAAAGTTGCCTATACTTAACATTATTTTGCGCAAAGACCTTAGTGTATTTATATAAACATTAATATACACGCTGTCCCACGAAGATGTACCCCTTGAATATCACCGGAGATAATAAAATATAATCAAATTCTGTTTTTAAGGATAAAGACTACAAATATTTATAATTGAATTCAATTTTTTTTTATTAAAAAAATAACTTTATTTTATTATTTTCGGAAAATGTTAAGATAGCGATGTTACAAAGCCCTTGTAACCCTCTTTCCCATTTTATGGGAGATATCACACCTCCCAAACCTCCCCTAGGATCGTCTCTATACAAAGTATGTAGCGAAACACGCGAGTTACAAATAATAATAAAAAGATACGGACATACTTCACACGATCGGTCACTGTTGTAAATGAGAAGTTGGGAAAGTAGGATATAGAGGGGAATTCAATATATTTCTGTACACAGCAATTAATGTTCGCTAACGAAAACGGGTCTGAGCGAATTTTTGTTATACATGTTTTGAAGAACGGAAACTCCTGTTAAGTTTGTAAGCAATTTTGTTTAGTCTTTATAATTTTATCCATAGAGGACCTACCGATACCTAATAAAAATTACGTAAAAAAAAGCCTCAAAAAATATTGTAACTGCAACAAGTCAACTGGAAGGGAAATTTGATTTCACAGCTCATGTGATTAACAATTAACAATTTATAATGTTATGTTCGTAATGTTATTCTTGCACAACATAATATAAAGAATTATTTATATTTATAACTGTGTGACTAAAAGATTAAATTCAGCCGATTACTTGATATTTTCAGTTAAAAAAAGTTAATTATTTAATTAATATAACGAAGCATTGATTTATTGCAAGTTGTGTAAAGCCCTTCGGCAGGACTTATAGGAAGTCACTACTTCTAAATATGTAGAAAAGCAGAGTAACATACAGATAGATACTTATTTAAGAATATGTGTTCCGAATATAGCAGCCTTTCTTCGGTTCTGCAACTACTATAATCAAACTCTTTTGGATAAATGTAGTTGGTTAGGTTAAAGATGATAGGAAAGGACTGGAGAAAAAAAGGGGGCTTCTGCTGGGCAAACCTAGAAAAAAAATGAGAGGTTACGCACTGATGCGTATGGTGCGTATGGTACGAATCATTCATAATTCTTATTATATCTCTTCTCATTAAAAATTCCTGGGCACGCCACGGGTAGTAATACAATATAGATAGTAGAAAAAAACTGTGAGATTTTGGCACTAAAATGATTCTCTTAAATTAATCTCTTACTAATACATTATAACTTACTAGTGTAAAATATGTAACTCAAGAGAGAGAGAGAGAGAGAGAGAGAGAGAGACTGATTAAGGTTCTTGTGAATTTGTACGATAGTATATACCAATACCAAATATTAATTAGTAACTATATTAAAGATATATAGCTAATAATGGAGAATAAAATAACAAAAATCTAATAGTTTATCATTAAATAAATAAATAAATATTTTCCATTCTGTGATAGTGAACCTATACTTATTATCGCACAAAAGATAATATTATAATCTAATGTACCTATTATTTAATGTATATTTTCAGAAAAATTATCAAAAATGAACCTACAATCAGACATTATCATCCCGACGCATGTATAATGGGGGGAAGAGGGTTATAGGGGTTCGAACCGCTACCCTCCGAAATTTCATTAAAATTATGATGAAAGTAGATTTTTAATAGCGTCTCAAAAGTGGTTTCTATCAATAAAGAAGTTGAATACAATTTTTGTTTTATTTTAATTTTATAACTAAATAGTAGGTTATTATTTGTTATTATTGTCATTTCTATTTTTTGAGGTATTCCTACTTTTAAAAAATTATAATTATTCGAGCCGGGAGCAGGGGAGGATTAATATATAGGAAATATAAGCAATTGCTTAGAGCGATACATTTTAAAAGGTGCCAAAAACTATTGCTAAAATCCACTATCCAAATCAAAATATAAAATAAAATAAAATATAAATAAAATTTCGGTTTTTGTAATGAATTTTATTGAAAATGTTCCTAAATGCATGCTTAACCTAAATTGTTTTGTTTGTAATTTGCATAAAAAATAGATGATAATGTTATATTCTTATCTATCTCCATTATTATGAATTTTTGATAACATGGTTTAAAACTGCTATAAACCATGGTCAGGTAACAAATATTATTACTTATTACTAATCAGTTAAACTTCAAATAAATGATCAAGACAATATCAATATAAAATATATAAAAGAAAAATTCATAGCAACACGCATACGTAAAAAATAATAGTATTATAGGGTAAAAAAATAATAAGTACAAAAACTATTGTCGGTTTGGAAGAATAAATAAATTGGCAAGGTAACTAACAATACCAAATAATAATAAAAAGAACTCACAATTTGTGTGGAGAGTAGACTGACCTAGCTGCTCTGCACCTATACCTAAATAATTTAATTACACACACGCACTTAAAAACTATAAATAATTATTTTAGACAAAATGGTAACGGCGGTGAAAATAAGCGTTCTCGCCTTTTACATTAAATAATGTTATTCACGACGATTGGCGCACACGATTTTATAATAACAAAAATAATAATGTTCATAATAATTTACGTATATTTTAACTGATTTGGCTATTTTAGCCGATACACAGCAAAAAATTACTTTATCGCAGTAACAGTTTTATCGATAGTTTAAATATACTTTTATAATTCACAAAAACAGATAACATTAACTTATAGTTTAGAGTTCATACCCATTGTGTAATGCGTGTGTGTGTGTGTGTGTGTGTGTGTGTGTGTGTGTGTGTGTGTGTATGTGGCCTACCAGTGCTTTCCCTTGCAACACTGACAAAAGGATCTTGACTGACAAAAATTAGTCATATAGTACGGGCTTTAACATTTAAAACATAACCGAGTAGATGGCACTCAATTAAAACACTCCACTTGTACCAATTACTTGAATTCCCTACATGCGTATATCCAATGCACTTTAGAACAGCACGCACAGGTTTCAGGCTCGGCATCCATCACAGCCAGCGTGACCTTACTTTCGGGCTGTGTATTATTCCAGTCCTTCTTGATCCCTGCCTTGCTACTGTTCCATGCTCCGATTTGCTAGAAATTCATCCAATTCTATGCTCAGTGTCCTTATGCGTAACATGATCAATCTTCCTGAGCAAAACTGTTACAAACCATGCATTCCATATTTTCACTGGCTGCTCCAATACTTTTAGTTTCAGAACATGAGAAACAACACTTGAATGCAGTATGGTGTATGGATAGTATAGATTCGACTTATGGACAATTCAATATATTCCCAATATGAAACTGTATTACCATAATTCTGTTCTCATACCATTTTTTCAATCTATTTATTGCTACGGCATAATTGGCTTCTGTTATTGGAATTGCCTTGATAATATCCAATGTGGCACCGGCTAAGAAAGATCTTAGATACGAAAACTTCTGCGCTGGCGGAAAGGCATCCTCGCTATATACCATAGACTTGAAGCAATTAAACTAGGATTCCCACTCTTGTTTATTGTCATCAAATCTGGGTAAAGGTGGTCCTAGCCAAGTTCTTTGAACCGGGGTAGATGCGTTCATGGAATTATTTTGCATAGATGAGTTGTGGCTCTTTTCTGCATTGATCAACTCTGCATTTTGAATTTGTTCTAATGGCAAAATAATTGTTCTCGAACTTCTCTCTTTCTAGCTCGATCGCTTCCGCATTATCAACGTTAAGAAGCTCTTATTTGAGATTGGATATCGTCAAATTTACAGTTTATCGCCGAAATCTTCTCTTGCTTACTTTTAACCAACGTAATAACCTCCTTTCTTACATTAAATTTGTTTATAAATGTGCAAATCCGTATCAACAACGATTTGATTCGCTTTTTCTTCAAATCATGTAGAACTTTATGGTTACATTCATCAAACCCCATCTTGAATGTCGATGCAATTTAATTATTTAAAAATTAGAACCATGTGAGACAAAGTACAGTACGTCCAAGACCTAAAACTTCACTATTAAATGCTAAGTAGACAGCACTTGCTTTTATTTTTAATTTTTTTCCTGTTAACAACTTTAATTCCTACAATTTTGCTCCGATTTACAATGATAGCACTTTTTCTAAAATTAAATCTGACTGGGAAGGTACTTTAAGGTGGTCATTTTTCGATTTTTTCAAGAGTTTTCTCATCAAATGTGAAAAACCGAAAAAAAACTGAGAAAAAAGGGAAAATGTACGAAATGTATTAATAAAAAATTCCGATATTTTTTTTCTGTGAATAAATTTTCTACCAGCAATTTTGCTCCGATTTAAAATGATAGCAATTTTTTTGAAAAGAAATTTGGCTGGGAAGATAATATTTCAATAAAAGCCTGTTTTGTTTTATTTACCTCCATTTTCATAAAACCCGTTTATTTAACTTCAAATTCAAGAATTAAGCTACCATACATGATTTAGATATAATAAAATTAATAAACCTAAACAAAATAGAACCGATAATGGGGACGCGTGTGCCGCTGTTGTAGATAGAATACATATATTTATTTTATTAATACCTGAAACTTGTATGCAACGATAAGCCATTGCAAACGAAAAATGATTCGGGGTGAAGTTCATTTATAGATTCATGCTACACTCCGAATCTAAAATAACACGTATTAACATATATTTTATATTTTTTTTTTTTTACAAATATTTCTATGGTTTCACAACGAATGTGTATACAGAAAAGTGTGATACAAAAATAATACGTATTTTTATTATTCGTTTTTTGGAGCTTTTAGATCCGTGTCAACTATTGGAAAATCTGTTATCGTACTTAAAGTTTTATAGCTCTGAAAATTATTAAAATATATTATAATTCGCTGTTATTGCAAAATATAATGTACAAAAAATAATACTATTGCAAACTCATCAGATACCTACCTCTGCTGCAATAGCGTGTAACGATACGGCCATGTCTCGGTCCGTTTGGTCGACCATTTTGTAGAAAAACCCGTCTATATTTTTTAACAAATTGTGCGGATGATCGAATTCGACCACCGTACCTCTGTCTACGACAATCACCTTTTCCAAGTCCATAATAGTGTTTAACCGGTGAGCTATTATCAGTATTGTGCACGACCGAAATTTATTTCTAATAGTATTTTGAATCAACGCGTCGGACCTGTAAACCAAAATAACGTAACAAATCGTACAATTTATATTATTTATTTCAATTCCATTAATAAAGCATTAATGCTCTTAACTTACATTAAATCAACATTGGCAGTAGCTTCATCCAGTATGAGGATTTTGTTATTCCGCACTATAGCCCGAGCTAAACAAACCAATTGTTTCTGACCTACACTGAAATTGGCACCTCCTTCGGATATCTTTGAGTTCAAACCACCCGATAAATTCTCTACAACATTTTTTAGCTGTACCTGAAATATTTATAATAATAATATACATATATATTTATATATATATAAATATAATTTTGCAATAATGTATGAACTTTGATAAATAATAAAAGGAAAAATATACTTCATCTAAAGCATTCCAAAGAACATGGTCGGGGTATTCGTCAAACGGATCCAGATTTTTCCGCATGGTTCCCGAAAACAATACCGGTTCTTGAGGAATAATTGAGAGTTTAGATCGCAAATCGTCAAGTAACAATTCGTGGATTTCTATTCCATCGATAATAATATTACCCTCGTTCAGGGCTAATCTGAATAATGCGTTTATTAAGGATGATTTTCCGGCACCAGTCCTACCAACGATTCCCACCTAAAATTACAAAGTATAGCTAAATAAGTAGCTGAGTTACTCACTGCCTAACTATATGTATACATTTAAAAAAATGTTCTAACAAATTCTAACAATTCTCTAACAATGTCTATTAAATCTGAATAAGGTTAGTTAGAGTGGTTTTGCAAAGTTTTGCTATGTTTGTAGTACCTGTTTCAAATGGATTAGTATAATTTACAATAGTATAATATTTTGTAATATACCTTTTCCATTGACTGAATTGTTATGTTTACGTCTTTTAAGATGTATGGTGAATCCGGAGTATAACGCAGACTGAACTTCTGAAAAACAATATTACCTTGGTTGGGCCATTCTTTTGGTGGTTTTTTATCTAAAACAAACACAAGTTAGATCTAGGCTTAAGGATCATTTTAATATATGTTTATTAGCTAATTAATTTTTTATATTACTAGGAGAAGAATCGAGAGCACATTCTTGTGGTAAATTGGTATATTCCAGAATTCTTTCGACAGACGTCATTTGATTTTCTATTTGTGAACATTGTCTTATTCCCCATTGAAGGTTTCCTATTAAACCTATTGTTTGAGTTATAATCAATCCGATGTTTCCTCCACTTGTATCTAAACAGTATAAGCAGTTAGAATAAACAATATATCAACAATTTTGTTATTTTGTTTTGTATTCTTACAATTTTGTATAACTAAAAATATAAACATTAAAATGCTTAAATAAATAAGGCACATCAAATCGATTACGAAACCGAATGCCTGATTCGAAACAAGTGATATATACCAAATTGAAGAATTTGAGTCCTAAAAATGAAAAAATTAATTAAATAATACTAATTTGTCCATATTATATAGATAGTTAAGGAAAATATAATGAAAGCAACGAGGAATCACTTATGTGGTACTAGAGTAATTATGTTCTTTAAATTATAATTGCCATTAGTTAGACTATGGTCTATTATACGTAATAATGTTAACATTATTTGATCATAACAAAATGACATTCATCGCCATAAATTATTTTTATAGCTTTATTGGAATAGCTATAATTTTCCTTACTTGGTGATCATCGAACGCTCTGGACACGATTTTTTCGGCTTCAAACGCTCTAATTGTTATTATCCCTTGTAACGATTCGTTCAAATGTGCAAAGATGGGACTTCGAGCTATAAATATTATAATAATTCAATTTAATTTTAATCGAAAACAGAACATAATTATAAAGTATATGAATTTGAATCATCACCATAGTTTCTATAAGTTTATGATGAAATGTGGTTTTGCACTACTTACAGACCGCTTCCAACCGTTGGATATCACGTGTTGTTGACAAAATATAAACTGCCACGTAACAACAAGTAACTCCGATGCATAAAGTGGGTATCAAGAGGTAAACGTCAATTAATCCGACCAGAACTGTACTCGCTATTAATAAAAGTCCGATCTAGTAAACAAAAAACAGAGTTATCATTATATTGTATTTTATTAGTTTCCATCGCCCAAAAATATTTTAGTCTAGTCGAGTCATGTTCTAGATCTTACGGCCATAACATCTGTAAACAATGCCGGTAAATTTTCGTCAATTAATCCCATGTCTTTAGTGAAACGATTAAGAATTCTCCCTAAAAAAAAAAAAAAACCCGAATGGTTTAGATAAGGCTAACTACGTATTTATAAAACTAAAAAATAAACAAAGATTATTACCTGAAGAATTAGTATTAAAGAAATACATTTTGGCCTTAGTTATAGCGTTGAACATATTATTATGTAAATTCATAGAGGCTTCCGTAAAAAATGATACGTGATAAGTGCATCTAATCAAGACTGCCGATAGAATCATACCGTTTAACACGACATAAATTATAAGACATAATTGATGAGAAACTGACCACCATAATAATAAGGATGACGTATTAGACGTTTCACCTGTTGTCGTTGTGCCGTTAAATGCACGTTCGTCGTTTGCACTACGAAAAACATGATCTTCTAAATTCACCCTGTGATTGAGAAATATTGTTTAATTTAGTTATGGATTTCATAGAATTAAGAGGACCCCACATTGACATCTCCGTCTTATAAACGCGAGACATAGTAAACTTGCGTTCAGTAGGACACATTTTGTGCCGTTAATTTTAATATTATCAAACATAAAGGTAAGATTGTATGTGCCCTAGTGTTGATGTTTTTTCGATATAATAATTTTTAAATTGAGATATTTCGCAAACACAAATAGTCATATCTAATTTAAAAATAAAAATATCGAAAAAACATCAACGCTATGGCACATATAATCTTCTTACCTTTAAGTTTAGTAAAAAGTCAATTAGATTTAATATTAAAACTAACGGCACAAAATTTGTCCTTCTTACTGGACGTAAATTTACTGTTACATGCTTGTAAGACGAAGAAAGTAAATTCGGGTGTGGCGTCTTCAATATAGTAATTATATTTTAAGTAGGTACCAATAACTTATCCAATATTCTTCGGAAGTACACAGTATTTGAGTGAAAACAGTAATAAATGCTACGGAAAATAGTTTAAAAATACTTCCGCCGGCAATGATATACGACAAATAATCCTGAAGAGAAACTTTTCCAGAAGTTCGTGTTTCCAACACTGTGATCGGCTGTAGTTTTTTTTGAATTCCATTTGAGTTATTTTCTTCGGCGGAGGATACCGAAACGTTTTGAGCGGTACATTGTCGAGTTGATACATGGTTGAGATTATCTAAACTGCTAGAATTAATTTTTTCAATAGACGTTTTGGTATCGTATGTTTCTTCCGACAGTCCGAAAGATTTGAACAAATCCACTCTATACGATTGGAGTTGGTGGTATGAACCCACAGCTATTATATTTGCCTTAATATAGACAAAGATTAAAAATAATTTATATTCGTTCTAAATTCATATGGCTTATATTATGTTACGGTCAACCTTTTCCATAAGAAGAATTCGATTTACGTTCGTCAAGTATTGTAATTGATGCGTGACAAGAACACGCGTTTTATTTTTGAGGTAACCTATACGTATTACAAAATATCATATTGTGCATATTAAACATTTAAGTATTAAAACACGTATTTTATTTTAAAATAATTCTAGTTGAATTAGCCGATATTTCCCGAGCTTAATCTTTTCAAAAACTAAAATCATAAAAAGGAATTAAATTTAAAGCTTATTCCCGTTTCCACCCTTATCCCAATCAAATTTAATCGTTATTGTCCCGTAATTTATCTTTTATAATTGTAACATCCCTATTGCAACTAAATTAAATAATATTAATAACTGTTATTATTCTTTCATGACACAAAATTAACCTATAAATCAACAAAAGAAAAAAGACAACTATTTATCCAAAAATACTAAAAACCTTATTTCAGCTACCATCTAGTGGTTGAATTGTGTAATAAAAAGTATCAGCGATATTCCTCTTGTGTCGAATGTCAAACTAGCTAAGTTTAATCAAGATCGGAATAAAACTGTCGGTTTATCTAACGGTCAAACTAAGAAGATATACAAACAGAATTTCAATTTTAAATATAAGATAACCTTACCATCGATACACTTTTCAAACAATTGTTTGGCGACATTCGGGTCGACGGCTGATAGAGGATCGTCCAGTAAATAAATATCTGCTTGTCTGTATACGGCTCTGTTTCAAAACACTAGAAGTAATAAAATCGAACATAGAACTTTAATATCACCTATTACTTTTACTTACCTTGCCAAATTTATCCTAGCTCTTTGCCCGGCACTAAGTGAAACCCCTTTGTCACCGACGATTGTTTTATCGCCATACGGTAATCGAAGTAAATCGGTTTCCAACGCACATACACTTATTACCTATAATATATAAAACACGACTGTGATTTTAATGTTTTCAAAAACATTTAAATATGCATGCAATTATACACTAAAAACTAACGAAGTATAAATTAAATATCGTCTTAAATTTCTTAAACTATACAAAAAAATATGCAGAAAAAATACAAAAAAAAAATCATAAATAATTATTTTAAGTTATGAGGGGAGGATCGAATTTCAAACTCACGAAGGTTCATGGAGTTCAACCCCTCCTACTATCCTTGTTGGAAATGTATTACTCTAATCGGTACAGAAAATATGTAAATTTTTAGTGGTTTCAGTTAAAACAATTGTTCATATTAATCCTACCATTTGAACATTTTTTAGCAAGCTTCAGTTTAAATCATTCCTTATTCCATTAGTTTATGCATATGTATTTTATAGTACAAACTATTTACCACTCATAAGTTATGTTAGGTTAAGATCTTTTTCTATTAATATTTGATTTAATTCATCTATGGTTATAAAAAAAAATTCAAAATTTAATCGTGAATACATTATAAGTTTTCCAATACTTAATTTTAATTTCAAAGTATTAAAAACATTATGGAAGTAAAAATTAGTAATAATTTTTTAAAATTGCATTTTCTTTTCTATGTTCATCCCATGCTGTCTATATTTTTCAATAATTAATATCACCCAGTAAATAAATTAGTGTAAATTTATATAATAATAACCACACGGAATATTAAATTACGAAAGTACACTATGAACGAATACAATAGAAATTAGTAACGATAACAAGGATATTGACTCCACCCTACCAAAGTATACCAATGAGACTGTAACAAGAAATTTGGGTTAATATGATAGGTACTAATATAAAGTGTCGAAAATATTTCTCGACGAGATGGGAGGGGGGTGATCACAGGCCTCTTTATATAATATAATATTTTAATGTAGTATAAATCCTAAAATCGAATATTTAAATATTATGCACGGTTCGTTGGTTCCTACTTGTAAATAACGTTTTTTGTCCATCGGCGAGCTGAATAAAATGTTGTCCCGAACCGAAGAATTGAATAACCACGGTTCTTGAGATGCATACGATATTACGCCGCGCAAAGAAACGCTTCCGCCCGACAACGGTATTTCCCCTAAAATCGCCTGTATCAACGAACTCTAAAATCGAAATTAATATTCAATTATGCTGAAAATATGCAAATTATTATATTCCTAACAGTATACATACTTTTCCGGCTCCTACGGGTCCGATAATTGCGACCAACTCACCGAGAGCGACGGATAAATTAATATCATTTAAAGTGTTTTCCGGCTGAACGTCCGTCCATTTGGCGTTAACATTCAACAAATCTATACCGTTTGATGTTTTTCGATTATCGATGCTAGTTTTTGAGTTTTTTTCGCAGGTCGACACGTTTACGTTATTAGCACTGGACGCTATATTTTTGGATTCTAAAAACTGCGGTGACGTTTGTGTGTGTTTCTCCTCGTACGATAGAAATTTCTTTTAAAAAACAGAATAGTTTAATTAAATAGGATAAACACACAATATTGGTTATTTTAATTTCCATGTTAAAATTTACTTGAATCCGGTCAACGGACGTAAACATTTCGGATAAGTTTTCAATGCACACGGGCAATGCGGACGATGAAATCTTCACTATATTATAATACGCGATCATGATAAATACCTAATAATTTTGTATTACTGTATAATATTGTTGTCACAATTGATATAAGGTTAATAATTTATTAAATCACGGTAAGTATTAGAAATTTCGTGATTCTTTATTTTACCTTTCGTGTATCAATGTTGTGTCCTAAAAATATGTACACTAAAATAGTAGTTAACAGGGCGAGTCTTATTTGGAAATCTCTGAACGATTTTAAAACCAATTTTCTAAACAAGGTACTTCTAATCTCTCGAATTTCCTGCCTTTAACAAATTATACAATTATATGTATAATGCATAACGTTGTATGAAATAAAATATTTAATAAATAATACTTTCTGGTGTTGTGCACGAGTTTTGTAAAAAATTTTTCCCACGTATACATCTTAATAACCTGTATACCGGACATTATTTCGTTCATCAGTCTCACTCTCTCGTCCGTCCTGAGCGCTATCTTCGATCGAAATTTTGAAATATTCTTTCCCATCCTGCCTGAAAGTGGAATTTGTTTTTATTTATATTTTTTATGTAAATATTAGTACAAAAATAACCATAGGTATATTATGGTTTTATAATATTATCAACCTTGTAACGGAATAAAGATAAACACCGCGGACACCCCAAAAAATACGGACCAGCCGATTTCTAGCCATAGCAAATATGCGATCAAAACCGTTCCTAAAGGACACATCCATAAATAATGGACGCATTTCAACGCCATGTCGAATCGATAAACGTCGTTTGATGTCAAATTCACTACTTGACCGACCGTTGTTACTTCAAGCGAAAGTTTACTTAATCGTAATGCCTATGTATGTACAAATAATAATAATATTATTATTAGTGTAACGAATGCCATTTTTATTTTTATTTTTTCATGAGATAAAACTAGATAAGACCTTTTTAAATATTATCGAACAACAAGCCACACGCATCTTCATGCCACAATGTTCCATTTCCGTGTGCACGTATCGTCCTATCACAAGTGTAGCCGCCATAGAAAAAATTAAGGCCACTGCATAAATGCACGCGTATATTTTGTCGATTTGTTTGTATCCGATTGGGTTGAAATACGCCAATAGACAGCCAATTAGTATGCCCCGAGAATTTCTATTTAAGTCATGATTTACATCACGTTTAAACAAAACACAAACATTGTAGATGAATAAAATCAAATTCGCTAATTCGATACTCGTTTCCAATGGTTTCCCGACTGTTCAATATGAGCGATACGATAAATATTCTAGAAATAGATTAATTATACTTTCATTAAATCTTACACCGAAAATGAATTGAAAACTCGAAAATTTAAAAATTATTGTTTATTTTTTTATATTTATATTTGCGACAAAAACCGTAGGAAAAAAGCAAAAGTCGGTCTAAAGTGTAGACCTTATGTCAAATTATACAAATTTCTTTCTAGAATCTTTACCAAAACACCTAAACAATTATACGTTGGAAGTGAACCCAGATTAGGTCGGACTAGTTATGAAATATAGTAAAATTACAAAATATATCAAAATGGATTTTTATTTGAGCATTTTTTCTAAACGTTAATTTACCTAAACACCATTTCATTAATTGTCTGTAGAAATGCAGACAACAACAACTGACCGGCGAACATTTTAAGTAAAACTCTCAGTAATCTGGGATCACGATTTGCATTCTTTGCTTCGACAAGCTCATTTCTCCATCTCCTAAATCCAGTTGAATTTTGATGGATGATAAATAATAAAATATATCAATAATATTTGCAATTATTTTTCACAAATTATCAGTTATATAGGTACATACTTTTCTAGTTCACTACCTAATAACGACGACTTCTGTTCCTCCAATATTGCATACACATCATTTTCGTTTAAATTTCGTTTCCATCCGGTTTTAAACAATTTCAATAACCAGCTATAAAAAAAAATAATTGAAATTATTATCGTTTTCAAAAAACAACGTGTTCAGTACATGAAAATAATATAGATACATTTTTGTAGAAATGTCTTGTAGTGTCACACGAAATCTTAACCTTCGATCTCAGGAGTGCATACATTCAAGTAATCGTCATAAATTGTTTTTTTTTTTTATTTTTGTCTCGAATAATAAAAAAATACGGACATACTTCTCACGATGAGTGGGCCACAGTTGTAGGTGAGAAGTTGGGCAGGTAGAGGGGAAATTTAATATATCTGTACGTAACGATAGACCATTGCTGACGGAAAACGATTTTGAGTAGAGTTCGATTATTAGCGTTGTTTTGTCAACAATATATAAGTCTTATTATGATAAAATAATTACATATACATAATATTTACTTGTATACTTGAACTTCGATGTATTACTTAATAATTATGCATCACAAAATAATTACATAATTTTTACTAAAATGATTTTCATCGAACTTTGATATTAAAATTCTTATAAAAAATTCATCGCACCCAATTTTTTTTTTTTTTTTGTACCACAAAGTTCGAGCTAAAATGAATTTATATGATTATGATTCCATGAATCCAGTTAAATTTTCTTCCATATATGTTATCATATTATCATATTTGTGTCAGAAACTCGCAATGTTCACAAACTCAGATAACTCACAAATTGATCATTACCTTCATATTATGTTCTTAACGTATGATGGTAATCAGTGGCGTGCGCAGAGGGGTAGGTTAGGTTATATCCCTCTTATTGGCTTAAAAATACAGAAAATATGAGTAATCTATAATGTTGAAATGCACAAATAGGTATTTTAGCCGAGTTACAAGGAAAAGCTTAATGCATTAGAAAAAGCTTTTTTTAGGATTCGACTTATTAAATTAGCAATTTCCATCATAATCAAGTTAGGTAGAAAAAATTATTTATTCACGATTCAGAAAAATTGCTATTACTTGCCGGTAGAAAAGTTGTTCTCAAATAAAAAAAAAAATACATCATATTGTAAAACCAATACATTCCTCGCTCCGTTCCAAATCTAAAATATATTATTACCTAATATACGTTTTAATTTGTGTCGCACTTGCCTAAAAGAGAGTATTTCAAAAATATTTGCACTCGCTCTTGGATTCTGTAAACGTTCCGTTGCATTTACATCTGCTACTAGTCTTTGATAATATAAAAAAAAAAAATCAAAATTAATAAATATACGTATTTATTTTTACATTAAAATATATTTCACTAACACATTCCACTAACCTGTACATGATGTGTAGTTGTACCGTATATTTATTGACACATTATAATAATTGATCATTAGTATTCCTAAAAAATTGAGAAAATATCAATTTAGGGTAGTTTATTAGGGTGGTCATTATTTTGTTAATTTCAAAATTTTCTTCAGGACACCCTATCTTGTTCATATGTTGGCCTATTTTGTGCGTGTAGTAAAAAATTATGTTCAAAGTTTGACATTTAGACAATATTTAATTGAGACGCGCGGTATTTTAATATTCGACTTCAAAAAGATTGCATGAAAACAATGAAAATAGTGTACAAACGACCACAGATCGTTTAAAATTAATTTAATTTTTAATAAAAACTAAGGACCTACTTTAATCATATTCTTTTAATATCTTTTTTATACCATACATTGGGATTTTTTAATTGAAGACGTTAAGAAACTTATAAGCTGTTTATTATTACAGCTAATTGTCACTACTTTTTTTATACTTGGTAAAAAGCTTTCACTAGTTTATATTTGAGAGACTCATATACGCCGAGTTTTACGAGAATTTCAAATTAATACAATTTTTATTCATAATAATTGGCTAGATAGAAAGTTAAATCATTGGGTTAAATATTCTGTAAACTACGTTTAATTTAGAAAAAAAAAATTAGTTTAGTAAAAACTACTTTGGTAAATACCAAAAAAACGTTAAAAAAATTATATATATGTATAATAATATTGAACATCTATATCTATTATATAATCAGTACTCAAAACAGGTACGGATTCAGAGCAAAGATCTGACGGAGGGGGCGAACAACAATTTTTTACAACACAAATACAATTAAAATATAATATAATACATTATGTATACTATTTTCTCATATAAAAATCGGAGAAATTATATGTCTTGGGGGGGGAGCTTGACCTGGATCCGTCCCTGGCTCGAACTGGAAAAATTAAAGTAGAGGAGCTCTTTCTCCTGCTCACCTCCATTTCTCCAATTAAAGCAATAATTTTAATATTATAATAAATAATAATTCATTGTATACTTTCGTAATTTTGACAAGTGAAGACCGCGACAGTTCAAAAGAAAACGAATTCGTGTACTTATGATTCAGTTTCATTCGTGTGTTTATCAATTAAGGAAAACATTGTAAAACATGCAAGATTACCAATTAACTCGAGATTTTTTTTTATCAATATTATATTATCATAATTTATAATTATTGTAAACAATTTAGAAATTCATGAAATGTACATTGAACAGTACAAAAATAGAATTATTTTGTGAGATAAGTAATTCAGATAGGTACGATAATAAAAAAAAATACATTTGATACATCATAGTAAAACTAAAATAAAAATATTAATATTAAATATAAAAATGTGAGGCTCCAATAAGCTCGAGGCCCTAAGCGAGTGTCTAATTTGCTACCCTCTTTCGCCAGCCTTGTATACATTATATAATTTTCAGGCAAAAATGCAAACAAACATTTGTTATCTTTATTAATATCTCTTATGATAATATAATATGCAACCCGTTTTGAACTTAAAAGGCAATATCTTTGAGTTCGTAAAATAAATTACTTATGCATTAAAAAGCTAAGGACTATATTATATGTTAAAAATTGAAACACATATGCAATAATAGTATACATATCATGAATTCAGTTGAAATCTTTCAAAAAAAAAAAAATGATGTAAAATATGTTTGTCAAAATTGTTCAATAGTGTGACATTTTGTTAATGGTAATGTAAAACTAAAAATAAAATAAAACTTTTTTTTTTGTAAAATAATAATTATTATTATGTTGATATAACCAAAATGTAAAGAAAAATCACTCGTAATAAAAAACAATTTTTAAACACGGTACCTATTAAAATTAATTTTTTCGAATGTTTGAAATATGGTATTTAAAAACAAAATTTACATAAAAAGAACAATTGCAATAATAACCAATACTTAATAATAATAAATCGAGGGTAGATTTGTATAAAAAAAATATGATACCGAACTATATAATGTACAGTACTACGTAGGTAATAGTACCTATATTGTTGTGTTTAATTACCTGTCTGGAAAATCGTCCTAACTCGAGGATCGGTGGGTGGTAATGCGGCTAACGATAAGAACCAAACAATCACGACTGTGTGTTTATAAGTACCTACGCATAGTCTCGTAGATAACTCGTAAGTGATTATAATTGAATATTCTGCTTTTCTTGAAGGGCACAGCAGTCGAATCAGTGTGCCACAAACAGGTCAGTTGTTATTCAGTGCGTCATAAAACCGTTGCACATATATATACTTACTGATTCCTTATATAACTATAAGTAATCGTAAGTGCACACTTCAGCGCTTAAACCGATAGCCTTTTTCAAGGTTTTTAACCTTGTTTTATCGTAATTCAGGTCTCGTTTTATAATAACACACACGAATACCCGATAACTTGATTTTATCTTTGAACTTTGAATGCAATACAAGCATTATTCAGGTATAATACACAAACACTGCAGCAGACAATGCTTATCATAATACTTATTATATATCATAATAATGAGTTGCTATACTTTTCAGAAGCACCTTTTATGTTATTATCAATATGTAAATTGTTTAAAAAACTAATGGACAATTTTTTTTTTTTATCCGAAAAATCTTAAAGCAGTGGTTCCGCGATACTAACAACTCACCTCCGGACGTCTACATACCGGTTTTTAACGGTACGTAAAATATTATTATACAAATATAGACAGCCAGATGTAGTGAGAGTCCGACAGCATCTGGAAACCGACTTTTTCGATTTTTATATAGTTGATGCTCACTGATCTCCCGCAGATTCTGAACCCAAGATGTAAAGATTAAAGTAATCATTAAATATTATTCTTCTACTGAACTCGATGACGAGACATACGGGGGGCGTGACGATAATATAAGTATTATTATAGCTTCGTCACCGTAAAAACAATACCATATAGTTTTGAAAATATCAAACTACACTATGTTTTATAATTCTAAACAGACTCACAACAACATTGACTGCAGAACGACTAGACGAATTAATAAAAACAAGGCAATGTAAATCAGTGGTTTTCAAACTGGATGTCGTGGCACACCGTTATGCGCGAGCATTTCTATAGGTGTGTTGCGATCTTTTCAAAAATTTGTTTTCATGATTCGTCGATTGCATTAAACTATTATATGTGAAAATAGATACATTCAAAAGTGTTTTATAACAAATTCGTTTATCTAATTTGGTGTAAAAAATTAAATAATAAAAAAAAAAATATTGTTCAAAAAGAGAAAAATGTATGAAGAGAACATGTGTCATGTTTAAAAATATTTTGAAAACCACTCTGCACTGGATAATATGCAATAATTATATTATGATGGCGGGTTTAGCAGAACCGCAAAAACTCGAAATTATATTCCTATATTATAAGTACCTCTTATTGTTATTATGCAGGTTAAATAACTCTTCAAATAATGCAAATATACAATTGGTTAGGTTAGATATTTGATTATTTGATATTTTACGGGCCTACCCGTGATTCTTGATTCCTACAGTGACTAATATCATACTAAATAGTTTAATGAATAAAATATGGTATTACAAAAAATTGGTACTGCTTACGAATAGAGCACTGTTAGACTGTGGTGGACTGGTCACGAGAGTTAGTGTGATATATCTCCCTGGGCGGGAGCCTGCTTGGGTGAGTCGATAGCTATGCGAAATGCACATGTATTATCGATCAACCTACGGTGACAATTTCAAATTGTGTTAATGAATAAATTTGGAAAGCCCGCATGCATTATTCCATATTCCAGCCTTTACTAATTAGCTGATGAACGATGAACGCTAACCTAACGATGTACATCTAATTGCATTGTGTGCACACGTCACCAACGAGTATTATTTGTTTTATCTGGAAACAACGACAAGAGTCATTGACATCTAAACGCTATAGGTACCTATAATTTATTACCTTGTTTATTTCAATTTATAATATTATATTCTGAAAAAGAAAACTGTTTACATAGCATATTGTATAATATATTAGATCATTTTTGTCGTATTTTCCCGAGGCTAGCAATTGCTGCAGCCTACAACATCCGTTATACATTATATGTATATATCTTTCTCAATCGATCAGAGTTGTTTACAGTCGAATCGAAGTAATAAAACTCGCGTTGAATTTCGCCGTATTTTGTAGCCAGATGGTGTATTTTTTAGGTTTGCAAACCCATACAGACCTTTCCTTCACAATCAATTTTTGTATATGCGTGGCGTTAGCATCTAATGAGTGCTCTTTGAGGAGTGTAATACGGAGAATGGCCAAGGTTTTAGAATTATAATTTTCCAAAATTACGCAATAAATTGTTAAATAATTATAGCATCGGTTAAATTAATCGGAACTTGTTTCGCTATTTTTATGTCATTATATAAATGACTTTGAAATTATATAACGAATATCTTAATAGTATATGACATGCGGATGGCTTTGCTATGACAAGACGTACGTTTACAAAGTGATCTTTTTAAGTGGATACACTCATTATCTCGGAACGTATCTCGGAGTATCATTTGTGTGGTGGTACGGTACATCACGTGTTAATTAAATTTAAAAAATAAAAATAATATCAGAATTATTTTCGTAAGTTTTCTCGTTCTTTCTACGTATTTTTGATTTTACTCAATTAATAAAAAACCTAAAAAGAAAATCAAAAAAGAACTTTTTTGGTCACCGACTAAATTAAAAAGTCAACAAACAAAAATCTCTTTATATTTTTCTATCAGAGCTATATTTCTGGTAGAAAACATAAGCCGTAAAAATTTAAAATAATGAAATCAAACCGTAATATGAAAAAAAAATCGTATATTTCGTATTTTTTGGTTTTTCCCAATTATTATGAAAAATACTTTAGATATTAAAAAACGAATCAAGGTTTCTATAATGATTATTAATCCCTTGCTTCCCTCATACGCACACTTGCGATTCCAATGGATAAAGCAATAAAATACATACATTTAGGATAACAAATTTTGAAAATACTTAATTATAAAAACACGCGTTCCTATACAAAAAATGCTGAAATTTTTGAAGTTTCACTCTAAAATATCGAAATGAAAATCATCCTACTTTTTTTTACATTTTTAATGTATGTGCGAAAATCCACATTTAAAAAAAAAAATCGAAATAATCGCCCGAGTGCTAAACTAGAATTACTATGGCAAAATAAAAAAAGGAAAATAATAAAATAACTTCCTCAAATCTAATTTGGGTTTTTGTTACTTTTCAGAGAGGAATAAAAAAAATATATCAAAAAACTTAGAACAGTCGTCGTGATATTTTGGAAAATTAACATTACTTGATCATTGCAGATATCATGAATATATATATATAATACATTTTTCCTTTTTATTACAAAAAGGTAACTTTAGATACCTAAATTCCTTATAGGTTTTTTTTCGTGCAGTAAATTCCAATTTTTTTTTCTATCCAAAACGAATTCTTCTATAATTCTATAACCAACCTATTTATCGATTTATTGTTAGCAAGAATCCCGTCGCCCCGTATCGGACTACATTGTCTAACTGTTCCCTGTACCTGTGATAAATTGTCTAGGTTTCGTAGGAAGCCGATTCAATTTAAAATTTGGTAAGCCTAAAATAAATACAAATTTAATTTGGGAATTATTGAATTATCAAAAATATGATCATAATTTTAGAGGTTTCCAAAAGAAAAAATTAAAAGTCGACTCTTAAGAAACTCAAAAAATGTGTTAACAAATACATACATTCTTCAAAAAGACGTCCTAGGATAATGGGGACGGGTGTAGCCACTATTATAGATAATTTAATGTATACCTGTAAGCAACAATAAACCATTGCTTACGAAAAAACGATTCTGAGTGGAGTTCAGTTGATAGTGATGCTTTGTCAACAAATATATGACATATTACCGTAAAATTAATTAAATAGACATTATATAATATTTTTAATAATATTTGTTTAATGCTGTGCCGATTTTCTTTCTCTAAAATACCTCGTTAGTGAAATTTCCTTTTAGAAACATTGCTGTTATTAAAAGTTGGAGCAAAATTGCTGGTAGAAAAGTTTTACAAAGAAAAAAAGAAGGCCGTATTATATTTTAACTAACACCTACATTTTTCCCGTTATTTTATTCGGTTTTTCAAATTTGATAATAAAACTCCTAAGAAAATCGAAAAATGATTTCCTTAAGTACTTCCCCATGCCAATTTCCTTTCAGAAAGGGTGCTACACGTAGTAATCCGAGCAAGTCTTCTGGTTTAGAAGTTGTTAATAGATTAAAAAAGAAAATAAATATCTTTGTAAAATTGTTAGCTTCTTCACTCAACTCAAAATCTAAAATTAAAAGTCAATATTGTGAAGTCTAATTAAGTAATTTAATACTGCTTTTTGGTCTAAAACGTATGAAAACTAGTTGTGCCATGACCCTCTTAATAATGTGATCTTATTAAAAATCTCATAACCGTTGTCAGGCGGTTTAGAACTTGTAAGTAAACCTCATGTTTAAGGAGCAGTATAACTAATACCCATCATGTTAATATTTAATAAATACTGTGCAGTATAGTTAATCCTGATGTATAACGTTAAAACTTTACATTATACTTTTACATAAGAGCGTAAAAAAAAAAAAAACTAGACAAACATTATACACATGCAATATTTATTCATATAGCATATTAGTATTAAATTTATTTTTATGTACAGCAACTTTTCTAAAAGTTGTCTAGATGGTACTTTAAAATTGAATTTTTGACGCCATTTTTTAAATAAAAGCATTTAAGTTGGAAAAAACGTAAGGAAACTTACAATTTTACGATTTCATTATTTTATAAAAACACGGACGTCGTTATCAACTCAATAAAATGATTTAATCGAAAAATCACAAGCCAACTTTTTTGTTGCCTTTTTGATTTAATTTCTTATGGTATCATTGAAAAACTTTTGAGACACTTTTCAGCTTTTAAGGCATTTTATTTTTGGGAGTTTAAACACGCATAGAGGCTTGAAACTTAGTAATAATTCTTTTATTGGACTTACTAGACGTGGTAAAATTTCCAAAAAAATCGGACACCTTTTTTTTTTTAATAAGCAATTTGAAATCAAATTTAAACGAAAATTGCAATAAAAATTACGGAACTTTAAATTATGTATTACTGAACTGCGCTCGGAATCGTCTTTCGTCAAGCAATGGTTTATCGTTGCTTACAGATAAAAACGAAATAACTGTATAAGCTTTTTTTTTTTTTTCATTGCCGTATACGAAAATTCTACCAGAAATCTTGCTCCCAAATTCAGAAAGGAAATTCTCTTGTGGTGATACTTAAGGAGGTCATTTTTTGTTTTTCTGAGCATTTTTCCAAATAAAAGAGAAAAAATGGGAAACTTACGAGAATAATGCTTTTATTATTTATTGTAATTTAGTTAAAAATATTCGTAGAGACTTCAAATTTAGACGTAAAACTTATGTTTGTCTTTTCTAGACATGATCAAATTTTCAAAATATTTGAGACTTTTTAAGGCTTTTTATAAAAATTTTAATATTTTATTAAAATTCATTTAAAAATATTCATATCGAATTTGTGGACTTGAAATTTGGGCAAAAAATTATATTTAACTTTTCTAGTCATGGTAAAATGTTAAAAAAATTGAAACCGTTTCTGGGCTATTTAATAGATATTTTAATTATGTGAGATTTATACGTAATTTTTATTCGGTATGTACTGTATGGTAATATTTTTAAACAGAAAAAACCGGAAAATGTACAAAATATATTAGTAAAATATTACGATATTTTTTCGAAATCTAACAGGGAAGATACTTTAGGGAGGTGATTTTTTTCATTTTCCCTAGAGTTTTCCTAGAAATTGTAAAAAACTGGTAAAACACACGGGAAAACCAGAAAAAACAGGATAATATTATAATACTAAACAAATATTACCAAAGAAAATATATAATGCTTATTTAATTATTTTACCATAATATGATATATATATTGTTGACAAAGCATCACTATTATTTGAATTGCATTCAGAATCGTTTTATCGTTAGCGACGGTTTATTGTTGCTTACAATATACATTAAATTACCCATAACAGTGGTTGCACTCATCTTCATTATCCTAGGACGTATTTATTTTTTTTATATTACTTATAGGGCAAGCATTAAAAATATTTATATTTCAATTAGTTTTTTATGTAAAACTTAAAAACTTGTTATTTTTTTGTTTTTGACAAATTTATGTATCTATATTATAGATTTGTTTACTTTGAAAATGTTGACGTATTAACTTTTTATTTTCATTAAATTCGTGATTTTTAAATTTTTTTGAATTTCAGGGGAAAAAGAGTATAGTCAATTAAGAATACTAATCAATTAGCGAATACGTTTAAAGCTTGCTACATAATTATAGGTACTTTTATCTGAACTTAAGATTTATTAAAAATCACGTATGTTTAAAAAAATTAAAAGTTGAAGTCAACATTTTGAGAAGAGTAATAAGCTCTATATAATGGCTAGATATCTTCAAACTCATTGATATATGTATAAAAGAAAAACATACGTTATGTTATTTTTTTATTATCAGTTATTGTTGTAATTTCAAATAATCAAATAAGTACAAATGTAAATTCGATAGACATTTAAGGTCGGTAAATGCGTTTAAATAATATAATATACGTAACATCAGGTACGAATAATATTTTATGGGTTTATATTTTTCTTTAGCCATCAGCTATAGTCGTCTAATCCTGACACGATCATTTTTGATGGAAGTTCTGTTGTCCCATTCAAAGTTTTATAACTCTATACACAAAGGTTAAATCATTATTTTAATTATTTGCTATAAAATTAAATATACACAATAACATTACAATCATTTGTATGTTTACCTCTTTCGCCATAGTACGCAACAAAAGAGCCGTAACTTCTCCCGTCTGATCGACCATTTTGCAGAAGAATCCATTTTTGTTTTTTAACAGACAATAAGGATGATCGAATTCCACCATCGTGCCACGGTCCATGACAAGCACCTTGTCAGAGTCCATGACAGTGTCCAAACGGTGAGCAATAGTTAGTATTGTGCATAATCGAAATTTATGTTTAATAGTATTTTGAATCAACGCGCCAGTCCTGATATATACAGATATAACATTACTGGAGTATATATTTTATAAGTAATACTTAAGAATAATTAAAGGGCCGGTAATATCTATAAATAGTACGGTTTTGGAAAATTTGTATTACTTTGAATCGATATTAGCGGTAGCTTCGTCCAATATAAGAATTCGATTACTTCGCAATATACCTCTGGCCAAACACACTAACTGTTTTTGACCAACGCTGAAATTTGCACCGCTTTCGGATATTTTCGCATTCAAACCGCCGGGTAAGTCTTCTACGATATCTTTTAGTTGTACCTAAAATATAATAATATTTATTATTTTTAACAATATAAAGTTAAGAAAACAAAAATATTAAAAGTTTTTCAGGTGTGATTATGGAGACATGCAAAACGATAAATTAGATAGAGTGGAAACAAATAAACTGTTACCAAGAATTATTAAAGCACGACGTTGGAAAATGGTTGAAATTGTTCCGAATTTATACAATATAACTAAAGCTAGAGGATACGGTGATTGGAGGGAAGTCAACTACGAGACGATCTCGTAACTATTGTATAGGATAAATTAAATATATTGAGATTCAAAAAATTTAGGAAACCTAAAATAAAGGCAAGTAAAGAATGGAGAACCAGTCTACGACAGTGGTAATATTACAAATAATTAAATAAATTAGTGTATATAGGTACTTCGTCTAAAGCATTCCAAAGAATGTGATCGGGATATTCGTTAAAAGGATCCAGATTCGTTCGCATGGTCCCCGAGAATAGTATCGGTTCTTGTGGAATTATTGAAAGTTTGGATCGCAAATCGTGTAGTCCCAAATCGTGTATTTCTACACCATCAATGATGATACTGCCCTCGTTCAAAGCTAATCTAAATAACGCACTTATTAACGACGATTTTCCGGCGCCGGTTCGACCGACAATTCCGATCTAAACGTACCAATAACATTTCCATTAAAACTTTATTAACTAGGTACCGAAAAATAATTATGTATCAGATATATTAATCGCCTAGCATTACTTTTTCCATTGGTTGAATTTTAATATTAACGTTTTTCAAAACATAGGGTGTATCCGGACTATAGCGTAGACAAAACTTTTTAAAAACAATTTGTCCCTCGCTTGGCCATTCGTCAGGAGGTTGTTTATCTTGAAAAAAAAAAATTAAACACTGTTATTTTTATCCCAATATTTCAAAATAATTTAAACTAAGATAGTCGACATTGTCGGTATACGATTTTTTTTTTTCTTGAAGGGTTATCTATGGGACTATTAAAAGCAAAATGTACAGCACTCATCCCCTCCTCCAAAAATAAGGAGATTCAAGAAGACATTTTTTTGCGATTCTCGTGTGAATGTTGCAAAGTGTCAATAAATATATATATATATATATAAACAAAACTTCGATTAGATTCATCTGACAATATGCAGCATGATACAAATACGTGACACTCATACAAAACACATACTACATTAAACTCAAACAATTAAAAAAAAAAAAATTGACCACGTTTAAACTAATAAAAAAAAATGGTTATACCTATACTATTAAATGACAATATTATTGTATATTTTAATAATTTACCCGGTGTGGACTCGAGGGCAGATTCTTGTGGCAAGTTTGCATACTCCAGAACTCTCTCTACAGACAACATAAAATTATCGATTTCTGTAGTTTGTAATATTCCTAATTGCAACATGTTCATCAAATTTATCGCTTGAGTTATAACCAAACCGACATTTCCGCCATATGTATTATCTGAAATTATTGGTACACAAATAATATTATCGTTAAACACTGGAGATTATTTTAGTACGTGTTTATAATTTGTAAACTTACCGTGATCAATAACTAAGAAACTAAACGTTAAAATACTAAAATAAGTAAGGCTAATCAAATTAATCACCAAACTAAACGCGTTCCTAGAATAAATTAATACAAACGCAGCTGAAGAATGTAAATCCTAAAAATAATAAAACAGACAGTATAAATAATAATAAAATATGCATTTTTTTATTTATAAATAGAATAAAGTTACGCTGTTCAATTCTTTGGTTTTACCTGGCGGTCATCAAACTCTTTGATCAATATGTCTTCCGCTTCGAACGCTCTAATCGTTATTAAACCTCGAAAAGACGTGTCCATATGTCCGTATATAGGACTTCGGGCTACGTATGATATTTTAAAAACAAAAATACAATAATATTATTTAGGTTATTTTGGTTTGAATGAAATATATATGTATATATTTTTATCTTATTGAAATACACATACAAACTCTTTCCAAAATGTTGATACTACGTGATGTCGATAAATAATATACCATGGTATAATAAGATAGTATTGTGGTAAAAAACACAGGGATGTAAAAATAGATATTACTCTGTCCGATTACGAATATAATGGCTATAAAACATAAACCGTTCTATAGAAAAGAAAAGAAAACAAATGAAATATTAGCTTTTATATTATTCTGAACCAGTGGCGCCGAACAAGAGATTTAGGTTTGGTCATGAGCCGGATGATATTTTTGAAATGACGACCCATTTAAATTAAATCATATTAAATTACGGCCTAGGTATATTTTATACATACATAAATTGCAAACCGAGTATATTGTATACACACATAAATAAAAACATAGATATATTTTACACAATTAAATTGCGTCTAAGACTTTTTTTTGCAAAATCAGTATTTTCCTTTTTATTTGTCAGATTTAGTATTGGAAATATAATTGTTTTAAGATTTGTATGGTTAAATATGGTTTAACATATTGGTTAATAGTTTTTTGTTTATAATTGAAAAATGTATTATTAACAATTAGTAATAAAGAATATCAGGTAAAAATTTGTATTAAAAATGTATAAGTAAACTATGTACTTATATCATTAAAAAATACGTCCTGGGATAATGGGGTCGGGTGTAGCCACTGTTATAGGTAATTTAATGTATATCTGTAAGCAACGATAAACCATTGTTAACGAAAAAACGATTCTGAACGGAGTTTAGTAGATAGTGATGATTTGTCAACAATATATATATATCATATTATAATAAAATAGTTAAATAGGTATTATATATTTTCTTTAATAATATTTGTTTAATATTGTACCAATTTTTTCGTTTTTTCTGCGTTTTTCTCGGTTTTCCAATTTTTTCCCCGGTTTTCACATTTTCCGGAAAAACTCTAGTAAAAATCGAAAAATTACTACTCTAAAGTACCTCCTAGTCAGATTTCCTTTTAGAAAAATTCTATCATTGTAAATTGAAGCGAAAGTTTTCTGGTAGAAAAGTTATCTACAGAAAAAGAAAACTTAATATTTTACTAATGTATTTGGTACATTTTTTCGTTTTTCTCCGTTTTTCACGATTTTTCTCATTTATTGGGAATTTCCTAAGAAAATCAAAAATTAACCTACTCAAGTTACTATGGAGATTAAATTTCCTTTTAAGAAAATAAGCTCCCATTGATACATCAGAGCAAGATTTTTGATAGAAAATTTTGCATAACATATCGAGGGGTATTTTGCGATTAAAATAGTCCGAGTGAGCAATGGCTTGGATCTTTAAGTACACTCAAAACGTATTTTTTTCCTTGTTTAGTTAAAAGAGAAAAAAATGTAAAAAGTTTTTTTTGAAACACGGGTTCAAACTCGCGAACTCTAGGGTAAAATAGGTATGCATACTATTTAGCTATTACAAAAAAACTTTAGAGAAGACAATACTTAGGGATTTAACGAAACATATAATATCCGCATACTATTAGAACTTTAAAAAACTATAATTTCGAAACTTAGTTAATCCGCTCAATTCTGAATTCACCATTTTGCTCATACTGGCATTATACATATGCTCAAAAAAAAAGAAAATTGAAAAATTAGATTTGTTCTACGTAATTTTTTACTCAACAATGTTCGTCAAAATTTGTTATTAAAATTCCTTTATAAAAAACAATACTTCATTAAACTCTAATTTTTATTTTTAACCACAAAGTAAGACTCTTAACGAACCTCCTGTTAAATTTTCAAGCATTTCTATTAATTTTAACAATTTTACCATAGAGTACTTACCAAATAAAAATTACTTACAAAACACACAAAATTAAAATGTTTACAAATAGCCCAAAAATGGTTTAAATTTTTTAAAATTTTTACCACGTCTAGAAAAATCAAATATAAATTTTCTGACTAAATTTCAAGTCTCTATGAGTATTTTTAAATGAATCACAACAAATAACAAAATTGAAAAATAATAGATGCAATATCTTTATGAAATTTCCGTTTTCTTACGTTTTATCCTGGTTTTTCCTAGATATTATGAAGACCGCATGGAAAATCAAAAAATGACCTCCTAAAAGTACTATTTGAACAATATTCCCTTTTAAAAATGGTGCCATGTGTAAATATCTGAGCAAGGCTTCTGGTCGAATTTTTGAACACAGTAAAAGAAAAAAAAAACATCTTAGTAAAACTAATACATTCTTCGCTACACTCAGAATCTAAAAATGTACTACCATGTATGTATAATTAAGAACCTGATTCAAAAATTATAAGAATTAATTTTTTTAAATTTAATAAAAATGAACGATATGAAAAGCGAAGGAATAAAAAGTTGAGATTGGTTGATGTTTTCGTTCAAATTTCGTTTTCACAATTGCTAAAATATTAATACAATTATATTGATAGTCCTATAGTCCTAAGTCTGAAAAATGGGAAAGATAATATTGATTTTGTAAAAAACGTCTTAAACGTAATTTACGTATACACAAAAAATATTTGGGCCTATAATATTCTACGAAATATACCCGGCCGCAATTTACATAGTATACGACTATGGCTTTTTTTTGAGAACACAATTTACCGGCTCCGATATTTTTGGTGTGTTGGTAGTTAATAGTTAGATAGAATTTGCCTTCCGTGTTTAAATATCATTTAGTATACAAATATATCAAGTATACAACCGTGATTTATATTAATATTATCATATTATGTACCCTGTGTGTTAATAAAAATAGAAAAATTGGAATGGTCTTATTGCAATAATATGTATACTCAGTAGCGTCGAAATCAACAGTCAAGGGTGACGGTCACCACTCTCTTTTTTATGGGTGGGTTTTGGTGGATCCATGATGGGTACCTGATCCATTTTTTTTTATTGAATTGGAATGCATGAAATATTAATTGAGTGTTGTATAAGAGTTTGTTTTCTAAATGAGGGTAGTGATCTATGCAACTTTTTACTTGTCTACCTTCTTAAAATATGGTTTGGCGCCACTGTGTATACTGTGGTAATTTATTAGTAACTGACGAAGTAATATCAACACTTGATAATTACTAAACAATATTATCATTAAAAAACGTGAGTTTCGTATTTTTATTGATAATTAGAATGAACGGAAATTTGCATTCACGTGCCTCATAAATAGAAACTTTTTCCAGTTCCTTGTTTCTATATTTGAAAGGAAGGCGCTCCTTTCCGACACTGTATAATGGACACAGTGACAGAGGTTATCCTGCTTATATCTATATAGGTAAGTGAGGGTTTAGGACTACTAAGACTTGACCATTTCAAAACTGATTCGGCGCCACTGTTCTGAACCATTGTGTATATAATATATAGTCACTGTATATGACAATTTTAAATTTTATTACAGATACGGTATCCAATATGGGCCGTGTTAAACTTTCGTCGATCGTTCCCATATCATTAGCGAAGCGGTTAAGAATACGCCCTAGTGAACAAAAATATTATTGTATACAGATAGGTTATTGTTGATTTCGATTGAAAATAACTATCATTTCAGGTTTGTTACCTGATGAGTTTGTGTTGAAGAAAAACATTGTAGCTCTGATAATCGCGTTAAACATCTTGTTATGTAAGTTTATGGAAGTTCTCGTAAAAAACGATCTTAATATAATCGTTCTGATAATGATAACCACTAAAAACGATATAATTAAAATGTTGTAAATAATAACGCACGATTGATGAGAAATCGGCCATAATAACGATATTTTAAATGGGTCGTTATCAATTAATGTATTATTAATTATAGTTCCAGATACATTTGTCACGTTAGAAAAAACATTATCTTCTAGAATCATCCTTTAATGAAAAAAAATACAAAAATCATCAACAATTAAAATTACCAACTGAACATTTGTGTAAGAAAAGTGGCTTATTCAACATACCAATAACTTATCCACCAATCTCCACCGGTGCCGAGTATTTCAGTCAAAATGCATATGAATATTAAAAATAATATTTGACAAACACTTCCACCGGCCGATATGTATGCCGAATAATTATTTTCCAGAGCGTTTCCAGAAGATTGTTGTTCAGTCATTTCCACTCGTTCTTTGTTAATTCCCGTTGACTTGTTGTTATTATCGGTAGCAGTTAGAGATAACACATGGAGAGGGTGCGAGTAATTAGATTCGGCCTCATTTTTACTGAGGGTATCTTGATCGTTTATAATCGGCGTTTCTTCCATACATCCTAATGATTTTAATAAATCTAAACTATTCGTTTGAAGTTCCTGCAACGAACCCTCTCCTGTTATATTTGACTAAAATGTAAAAAAAAAATGTTTATCGCTTTACCTTTGAAACTATTACATTTCGTAATAGTATAATAAAATTCCTTACTAACATTTTCCATCACGACAATTTTGTCTACATTTTTCAAGTATTGAGTTTGATGTGTTATAAGAATACGCGTTTTTTCTCTGAGGTACCCTATAACGAAAAAGTGTAACACTTAGAAATTACTTTATAAAATGCTATGAAATTAAAGATGGATGCTCAGTATGAAGGATTACGCAAAGCAAAACATTGCATTCAAATGATAAATTATTTTGAAAATGTTGAACCTGTCTTAATTAAAGTCAAAGAATATGATGAACACATTGGCGAGATGGGTTTAGTACTTTATTAATGATTAAACTAATAAACCATTTTACATGGGAGGACGAGTATTGCTGATACAGTTCCTTCATGTTGTGATTCACCCCCCCCCCAGCCCCTCAGAAAAAAAGAAAGCATTCCTTAAGATGTAGAATTTTTTTTAAATAAAATGTGTTTTTCACTTAATTTTTCATTCAAACTCTTAAAATGATTCGAGTTGATTTTGAAAGCAGTAGATTCTCAAATTTATAAATGGTAATTTATTCATTTTTCCCAACATGTTCAGTAAATTTCATCTTGGCAAATTGAAAACCCAATAAAAATTTTTCGATTTAAGATCACTGTACATAAAAGCTATTTGAAAATCGAAAAATAATAATAGGCTAGATGGGTTACCTACAAGTCTAATCTATTAACGAGTGACGAAGAAGGAAAAATATTATTTTTTTAAACCATTTTATTATAAACATTTTTACGTGCCATTAATACACTTGTCGAATAAATGTTTGCCAACAGAAGTGTCAACGGCCGACAGTGGATCGTCCAGTAAATATATATCAGCTTGTTTGTACACGGCTCTGTAACAAAACATATTTTTAAACAACAGTAATAATATTAAAACTTGTGATATCGTCATTTATTATACTATATTTTTTTTCAAAATAACCGACAGCAATAGGTGATCTGTTTTCACAATACATGCCTACTGCCGTTAGATATTTATTATAACTATACGGTCTCTTCAGTACTCACCTGGCCAAATTTATTCTCGCTCTTTGTCCGCCGCTCAAAGATACTCCTCTATCTCCCACAAATGTTCTATCACCGTATGGAAGTTGCGTTAGATCTGTTTCCAATGCACATACTTGTATTACCTATGAATTACAATAATCGGTAAAATATTTTATTCTAAAATAAAAAAACAATGCCATCACGTTCAATTATTAGGTGATTCGTTTATTTTCATTTCATGTAAGTACTTTTGAATAACGTGATTCATCGATTGGCGAACTGAATATGATATTTTGCCGTACAGAGCCGTTAAATAACCACGGTTCTTGCGAAGCATATGAAACAACACCGTGGACGGAAACTGATCCTTTAGAGAGAGGCAATTCGCCTAAAATCACTTGGATCAACGAACTCTGTGGTAATAGAAAGTTAAATAATAATTAAAAATAATACTAAACCTTTTTACTATCGTAAACCAGCAAAAGATTTTAAGTGAATATTTGATTTCTATTTTTTTTTTTTTTTTTTTAATAATAATAATGCATTCAAAAGAAGAATAAAATGGACAGAAACCCAATACCATAAAACAGTTTAGAGATTATATATTAAGAGATAATAAATTAAATAAACGATATAGTAGTTTTGTATTACTTAGTATCACATATAAATACAAAATTTTTAATTTCCGTTAAAAGTTAAAAGAAAAAAATCCACATTTCTTGGAAGTTTTTTACATAAAGCCATAGCCCTCGGAATAGGGGAGTATTTCAAATAATTTGTTCTGTATATCGGTATATAAAAAAAGAGATTAAATGATTATTGTAAGCTAGAATGTTAAAAGGGATACTAATTAATAAATCGGGAGCATCTATATTAAGTCTAGAAGCAAGAGTCAGAATACCTAAAAAGAACCTAACTCGCATATAATCATGGTTATTAATAATTATATTGAATTTAAAAACAATGAATCTCAGAAAATTTTTGGACGTGCTCAATGAAATTAATGTCTAATTTTTAATATAGACTCCAAATAGATAGTGCATATTCAAAAATGAATCTAACAAAATCATAATAAAGAAACTTAAATAAACGTAAATCTCTAAAATCCAAAATGTGACGCTTAACAAAACCTAAAACACAAAACATTGTTGTACGACACACTCAATATGTTCCCAAAAATTTAAATTACTTGTTAAAGTTATTCATATGTCTTTAAGTGAAGTAACTGCATTGAGTTTAATGTTATTTATAACAAACGTATGACTTATATGACCGCGGTTCTATAAAAACCCATCCAGTGTCATTTACTAGTATTAAGGCTCATTCCTCAGTTTTGGTAACAGTCGAATAAAATATTTAATTGCTCTTGAAAAACTAAACAGTTGTATGTTAAAGAAACTCAAGTTGAAGATTTTTAAATTTTCTGCAAAAAAAGAATATAACGTTTTTTTAAGAATCGAGAAGATATCATTAATAAATTAGACAGGTGATAAGTGATCACCTTGAGGGGTTTCTAAAGGAACTGACTCCTCGGCTAACTGACATACTCGAGAAGAAACCACGGACGTTAATTAACTGAGACCTGTTAGTGAAATAAGAATTAAACCAAGATAACAAAGGGTAGCCAAACCGTAGTTGGTCCATTGCCACAGTCAATAATTTATGATCGACGTGATCAAAGGCCTTCTCAAAATCAGTGCATATTATATCGACCTAATAATTTTCCTTAAAAGAGTCAAGTATAAATTACTGCAGAGATAAATTACATGTTTTAGTTGATTTTCCTGGCCTGAACCTATGTTGGCTTTTATTTAATATATTATAGGCTGGTTTAATTATGTCTAAAAACGAATTTTTTTAATAGTTTGCCAATTTGAAGAAATCTAGAAATCGGTCGATAATTTTTAACGTTAGACTAGTCATCTCTTTTAAAAACCGAGGTAATATCGCATATTTTCCAGATAAACAGAAAACCCCCTCATCGAATACAAAAGTAAAATCGGATAGTCTATGGAATCTAATAGGTTTGCAAGAAAGTTACTAGAACTCTGTCAGAGCCAGGAGACTTCAACTAAGTGTGCGTAAGCTATCGGATACCGCATCCAGAGAAATACTACAGTTAGACAAGGGGATATTATGTAACTTTTAGATGACAGAAAGAACGGTAGACGTATCAAATTAAAAAAAAGATGATCTAAATACAGAAAAGAAATAATTACAGTCCGCAATCGCCTTAACATCAATTTTACCATCAAGGAATATAAAATTTGGAAATTGTTTAGATTTGTAATCATTAATGAAACAATTAAGCTTTATTTTATCACCATTTTTAATTTTTTATACTTCATATACTTTAAATAAGAATGTACTTTTATTTTTCAAATAGAGACCATTTGAAAACCGTGGACAACTGATTCGAATATAGTAAATTTGTTTAGACATCTTAATATGCATAACACAAATATCAGATTTATTGGTTAAACATCAATTAAGAATAAAACTGCTATAACCCGGAAAGATCGAAATGTTTCCAAACAGGAAATTCCTAGGTATAAAACGCGATATTTCCGAAAGGTCTGTGTTGTTAGGGATATATAATGTTATAATTATTATGACGTAAGTATACCTTTCCAGATCCCACAGGCCCAATTATTGCTACCAAATGACCCGATTCGATTGTTAGTTCAATATCGTTTAAACAGTTTTCCGGTTGATTGAGTGAACATTTAGCGGTAGCATTCGAAACGACTATTGAACAGATATCTGCATTCGATTGTTCAGTAAATTGTCGGCCATCACTGTTGCACGAGTACGATATAACTTCTCCAAATAAAACGTTTTCATTGTTACACGATACGTTTTCTGCAGTGGGTTTTAAAAACAACGTCTCTTGTTTGCATTTTTCGTCATATAATAAAAAATTCTTTCGAAAATATTAAAATATAAGTCAATGAATAATAATAATACAATATCATCAATAATTATACAATATCATTTACCTGAATGCGTTCAATGGTACTAAGCATTTCGGATATGGCCGTGATACTCTTAGGAAAATAGGAAACGACCATTGTTTTTAATACATCAAAGTAAACTATTGTAATGTACATCTATAATTATTATATTATAACAATCAATATTGTTACCTATATCTTGAACTAGAGCATGTTTAAACATATAAATTAAGAAGCATAGATATTATTAGACGCATGGTATAACATAGAAATTTCTTCCCATATAATATTATTAAATTTGATTTACTTTTTTAGTATCAATTTTGTTTCCTAATAACAGGTATGCCATAATACTTAAAAACAACGCGTATCGAATGTAACATATTTTTAACGATTGTAAAATTATTTTCATATACGTGTTTTTTTTTAACTCTCCAATTTCCATCCTTTAACAATTAAATACGAATATTTATGTCAAATATTATAAATACCAAAACTAATATTACTTTCTTGCATATTGTACGAATAAGGTGAACGTCTTTTCCCAAGTATACATCTTGATCACATGTATACCCGATATTATTTCGTTCATTAATCTCACTCTCTGGTCCGTCCTTTGAGCTATTTTTAATCGAAATTCTACCATTTTTTTTCCCAGCCACGCTGAATAAAAAATAAATTTTAATTATTAGTCAATTTTATTAGATATGCTTATGATAGTCGTTTGAACCTTGAAACGGAATAGTCATAAGAACTACACACACTCCAAATAAGCACGAAACACCGATTTCTAGCCACATATAATAAATGATCGCGATCGATGTGAAAGGACAGAGCCATACATAGTTCACACATCTTAATCCTTCTTCGAATCTATTCAGGTCGTTTGACAATAAATTTATTGCTAGACCAGCCGTAGAATCTTCGAGTGACAACTTACTTAAACGCAAGGCCTAAAATAAAATACATATTATTTATTAAAATTGTATTGTTATTTTTCTCTTCGATTACGAATATTATTAAACGTACAGTTTTCACATATTTATTTGCATTAATTTTTGTTGTTTTTTTTTTTTTTTTTTAAGAGTATTTTTTATTTACTTACCTTTCTGTATATTTTCGAAGAACACGCAACTTGTATCTTCATTCCACAATGGCTCAATTCAGACATTACGTATCGGTTTAAAATAATACATAACATTAGGTTCATCACTAAGCCCAAAGCATACATATACGCATGTTTTTTATCGACGTTATTGATCCCAACCGGAGTAAAATACATAAGAAATCCACCAAATAGTATAGGTCGGGTAAACCTTTTATTTTAAATTAATAAATATACAAATCACTTTAAATGCATATAAAACACATTTTAATTTCAATAAAAAAACAAAGATGTCCTAAGATAATGGTGACGGGTGCAGCCACTGTTATAGATAATTTAATGTATACCTGAAAGCAACAATAAACCATTGCTTACGAAAAAAAGAGAGCAGTTCAGTGATTCTTTGTCAATAATATATATATCAAGTAAAATCATTTTCTTTAATAATATTTGTTTAATGTTGTACCAATTTTCAAAATTTTTCTGTCGAAAAATGACCTCCATCAAGTATTTCCCTAGTAAAATTTTCTTTCAGAAACACCGCTATCATTAAAAATTGGAGCACAATTTCTGGTTAAAAAGTTTTGCATAGAAAAAAAAAAATTATAATATTTTAATAATATATTCCGTACATTTCTCCGTTTTTTTTTTTTTTCGAATTTTCAAATTTTATAAGAAAACTCTTGTAAAAATTGAACAATGATTTCCACAAACCAATTTCCTTTATTTTCTGAAAATCTACAGATAGAAATTCAAACAAGTAAAAAAGTTGTCCACAGATGAAAAAAAAATTAACATCTTTGTAAAATCATAAGCTTCTTCGCTCCATCCAGAATCTGAATAATAGAATACACTGTTGTAGATGGGAAGTTGAGATGATTAAATGTATAGAGATTTTTAATTTATATCTGTACCCAACAATAATCTATTGTTAACGAAAAAGGAGTCTGAGTGAAGTTGTATTACACAACATACAAAGACATATCATGTAAGACCCATATACTTAACCATAAATATATAATATGTGATACGCGTTTATAATTAATTATGTAATTTTCACCTTAGTACCACATCGATTAATATTTGTACTAATGCAATTATCAAGATTTGACCCGCAAACATTTGGAACAAAACTCTCAACAAACTAGGCTCACGATTTGCATTTTTCGCATTGATCAGTTCGTTTTTCCATTTCCTAAAACCGGATAAATTTGTGATACAGAGATCATATACAACTGCAGTTGGCAGGATAATAAACAGGTGATAATTTTTAAAAGGTTTACTTTTCTAATTCATTGCCTAACAATGATGACTTATGATTGTTCAACGTTGCATACAGATCATTTTCGTTTAAATCTCGTTTTCGTGCAGTTTTTAATAAATTTAACATCCAGCTGAAAACATATTAAAATATTATAGTTACAATTTTATATTGTACTAGGTAATTTAGTAAATATTCATAAACATTTAATAAATAGTTATGATAAATAATTAAACAATAACAATTATATATGTTTTAATTGGCGACCAGTCAAAATATCTCCGACCATATCTTCGACAAAATATCTCCAATTAAGAATATCCCCTACAAAAATATCTTTAATGGAAATATTACACAGGAAATAATAACGAACCACCATATCAGTACCTATTGTATAGTATTATCTGAAATATTTGTCACAATTACGAGTGAATACGAGTTATACCCTACGAATCTATTACGAAAATAGAAATAAATTTTTCTGCAAGCAATAATAACATGATAAATCATGATAAACGATTTTATCCACAAATCAACAGTTCCAGTTTCATACTAAGTTTGAACGGATATAAGAATCAAGAATGCTTTTAGAGTTTATTGTAAGCCAAAAACGCAAAAATGTATTACTTCATAACGGGTACACTAATTTGTTTTACAAAAAAGTTATGAATAAATACATTTAGCGTTGTGCTGAGTACAAAAAAAATAAATGTACAACATGTCATACAACCAATCAACAAGAAATAGATCACTTTTACGAGTATATTATTTCAAGTTATTAGATAATTATCTATAATAATATAGATAATAAAAGATCCAAATAGTTAAAATATTATTTTATATTTTTTTTTTTTTTTTAATGTTATTTAGTTAATATATAAAGTTCCCCTCTATATCCTCAACTACAACAGTGGCCAACCCATAACACGAAACTTTTATTTAAAATTAATATTATTTATTTAATTTCAGGAAAAATAATAAAAAAATCTGTACACTACTCACACGCACTAGATATTACTAAAATTAGAATTAAAACAATTATTACAAATATAAAAGAAAAAGCAATAACAACTGTATTATCTCCCAGAAATGTGATAAGTCAAGCCGTGGAAACACTCTACGCACATAATTGGTCAATTACCAAATTCAGATAAAATATCTAAAACAATTCGAAGAGAAAGGACTAAAAATAAAAAACTTCTCGCTAATCCATTAAATATCGGTGATTTAATCGTTTCTGGTAAATATTTGGTAACAAGCAAAGGTGACATGTTTTTATTTTACGATAGTAAAACTCAAAAGCGTATATTAATATTTTAAACTTTAGAAAATTTAAATATGTTAAAAGAAGGCTCGAGTTGGTTGGGTAATGACACATTCCGTTCTCAACCAACATTATTTTCTTAACTTTATACTATACATGGTATATAAAATAAACAATATTTTCCTCTTGTTTATATTTTAATGGTAGATCGGTCCAAAGGTTCATATATTGAAGTTCTGAAAGCGTTAAAATCTTTAGTTTTCGATTTAACGCCCCAACGAATGATAATTGATTATAAAATGGCCTTCATATCAGCATTTAAAGATGAATTCCCTATAACCGACATTATAGGATGTTTTTCATTTCTAACAATGTGGCGTAAAATTCAAAATAGTGGTTTACAAAAAATGTATGGTGATGACGTTGAATTTTTTCTATAAATACGATTGTTGAGTGCTTTAGCGTTTATTCCAATAATTAATATTATTCGAACTTTCAAAGAACTTATAGATTCGACGTATTTTGTGGAAAATTATTAACTTTTATCACCGATAGTCAATTATTTTGAAGATACATTGATTGGCCGATAAAATCGTAACCATCGGAGGAGCCCCCCACAGTTTGATTTTTGTATTTGGAACTGTCACGACTCAGTACTCAAACATGAACCACGGACGAATAATGTGGTTTAAAGTTGGCATTATGCATTTAATGGTTTACTTTCAGCAAATCATGTTACAATTTGGAAATTTATAATTTTTTTAAAAAGAGAACAAGCATTACAAGAGGTATTTAATATACTATGTACGTATTTAAAATATATTACTAAATAATCTTACGTTTATGTTAAAATGTAACAATCTTTGTCGGGCAAACCCACTCAAAAAAAAAAAAAAGGAAAAATTACAATAACTACGATGTACGGCTGTTCAAATTTGTCAGTCAATACAACGAAATTGAAGTATTTAAGAAGGATTACCCACAATCTTAAATTAAAATAAAAAATATTCATATAAATCCTAGAGACATTATTTTTATATGAGATATTTTTTACCGAAGATATTTTTACTGGGAATATTTTGTATAGGAGATATTTTTTTCTGGATGTATTCTTAATTGGATCTATTTTGTCAGATATTTTTTATTGGAAATATTTCTAATTGGAGATATTTTAACCTGGAACCGTTTTAATTTGTGGTGCCTACCTAAATGTTAGGATTTCGATAATATTTGCACTTTCTCTTGGATTCCGAGCTCGTTTAATTTTATCGACATCTGAAATTGAACTTAAACAATAACAACAACATTAGAATTAATTAAATCGGCTAAATATTTGTATAAATTTTGGATAACTACAGCCAACTTACCTATACATCGTGATTAGCGTATCGTCTTAATAATAATAATAATAATAATAAAAGTTGGTTCTCTAATTACAAATATGACAAATACTCCTGGAAGATGACCCACAGATTGAAATACCGGTTCTGCCTTCTGAATGCTTAACAGTCATCACATGGAGTCTAAAACAGATCATATGGAAAACAATAAATAGCTAATAGGTACATTGACAACCGGGATGGCCAAAAAAAATTTACAACATATATTTTAATTGAGTCAGCGATGAAATTCAATCCGGTGAACATCTACTCCAGTGCGTCTTACAAGTTTCACCAAGATGCACAAAGGAATAATTGCCGCTAAAAAACAAAGAAGGTCATAAATATATCAGAAACAGTCCATTGTCTCAAACAGAATATTTAAAACGCCCAACACTAGTTATTAAAAATTGCGTGATTTATGTAATATTATATCCTTTTAGTTATTGTAACACAGTTCATATAAACGGAAATTTTAGAGGTGCAGCCGTGCAGGATAATATTTTAAAATACTTTATCGCATGTTAAAGTCATTCTCTACACTTACAAAAATCATCATAACTTAATCAGCGTGAAAAATCTTAATATGATTTATTTTACAAATTCTATATACGAATTTAATGTATAATGTATATGTATTATATAACCATTTTTTGTCCTTTTTTTTTTTTTAAGATAGATGAAAACCAAATCAATTATAATTTAATAACGAGGTTTAAACTATTTAACAAATTGTATTCGATATTGTTATAAAAATTATAACGAAAAACAAAAATAGCTATAAAATATGTCTTTACAGTAAAAATTGTATTCTATTAAAATATTATACTACAAATTTAAATAGAGCTGATACTGAGAGACGAGTATGGCCATTGTTATAGGTGGGTAGTTGGGAAGATGAAATACATAATGTTATTTAATTTATCCCTGTAGCCACCTTTATTAAAATAATTAAAGAATTATTTTTATAAATTTTCCTGTTTTTTTTACGTAATTTTCGGTTTTGCTCAATTTTTAAATAAAGTTCAAAGAAAATCAAAAAAATGACTTTCTTGATCACTAACTATTGATTAAAAATTCAACAAAATAGATCTCTTGTTGTTTTCTATTGGATTAATACTTTTGGTAGAAAGCGGAAAGCGTATATAAATTTAAAAGATTGAAATCGTAACGTCGTTAATTTGTCAGTTCTCGTTTTACGTTTCTTTTGAGTTTTTCTTAATTATTACAAAAATTACCAAGAAAATTGAAAACGAATTACTTACTGATAAACAAGATGAAAATACAACAAAAAAGATCACTTGTTTCTATTTTTCTATTGGAGCAATATTTATAGTAGAAAACATAAGTTACATAAATTAAAAACAATGAAAACTGTAACTCCGTGACGAGCGGTGCCTTAAATATTTGCCGTTTTACTTATAACTTTCTTTCTGATTTTTTCCAATTATTTTCAAAACCTTTAAAAAATCATAAAATGATCTCCTCAATGTACCAACTAGAGACAATTACCTTTCGGAAACGTTACTACACTTGATACTTTGGAGCAAGTTTTCTGGTTGAAAAATTGCTCACAGACACAAAAAAAAAAAACACATTTACAAATTTTAAATCAAATTATATAATGTTCACAATATAGAATAACCGACAAAAAAATTTAAATCATTTATTTTAAAACAATATCTGTACTAGGGTGTTTCAGAATTTTTATCAGATGTTCTTTTTCTCGTAACATTGCGTTCCTTAGAGTGTAATAACTTTTTTCAGATTGATAAAGGCAAGTAAATAATTATTAATTTTATACATAAATTGTTTTAGGGGTGGAGAAAGGTTGAAAAAGTTCCCCTTTTTTGATTTATTATTGTTGACATATTATTATTACATGTTATAATATTATGAAATTGAATAATTATCACGGTAATTTATTATATTTATGACTGTAGACTTATAATGTGTGAAATTCTACGCCCGGCCAACTTATTGCAACCGTATACTATGTAAACAATATTATAGAACATAAAGAATTACGTAGAAAAAAAAACATTCCGAAAGGAAGGAAGGCGATCGCTCTGTCAACCTACCCCTCCTCCTTGTATCCGCCACTGCGGTCAATTTGAATAAAATATAATATACAAAGGTATACCACACATATCTACATTATACTATACAGCGAACCCCGCTTATCGAGTGACGCCAACCTCTATGCAGCCGCCATTTTCTCGGTGACAAATATTGTGAATATTAAATGTAAACGTATGTATTTAAACGTGTTTCGAAATCAGTGCTGTAACGTAGATACCTACAGCTATAAAATACTTGATTACACAGAACTAATCGGGAACTGCTATTATGATAAATAATAATTGATGGTTCTAAAATCATAAAATTATTTTTGAAACTAAAACAAAAAGTATCAAAATATTAGAGGGAAATATCAATTTAGCTTTACGGTTGTAAACTCGTGCTTTTTTCACATGTATTCATGATTATTGTTTTTGAACAATTATTTAAAATCTAAATTTTTTTATTTAAATTATTAAATAAAATGATCATGTCCCGTGTGGCTTATAATTATATATAAATATAAATATAACCTGTGTGGCTCAAATCGGTATTCCGCCAGTAATTCTGCAATACATTTGTTTCGGTGCGTACGAATAAAATATATATTTGATTAACTCTTTAAATTAGATAATATTTTTTTTTTCTAATTTTATTTAACAATCATTAGGTAAAGTGTGAAATTCACTTATATATTACCTGTATCATAATTATTACCTATATTATGTTTTTATTTTGTATTAATTTTAAAACCTGCCTCAAACCCTGCGTACCATTTGTATACCTATATGTTTACACAGGTAATCCTATTTTCTCTGAGAACTTTTTCTATCTGCCAACGATTGATCAAGTATTAACGTAGTTTTTTGCAGAAATAGGTAAATCATTAGTTAACACCGGAAATTCAGAAAAAAATTCTCAAAATCTGACTACGGTATACAAATTAATCAATGTATTATTATTTCTCATGACACAGTTGATGTTTTGTTACCGAAAACACGGCGTGATAAGAAAGAGCGTGTCGCCCGGGCGTCACCATTCCCAATGTAAAACGCCAGCAGTACGATAACTAATAAAATATAAATACCAGTGATATACACGTAAAAAATAAATAATATAATACTATGGCTATTATCACTTACCTGACGACAAAAGTGTACACTTCGAAAACCAGTTAACGCACTACAACAAACACGTACCGGCTGATGACGACTGGCGTGTCGCGTGCGATGTGAATTGAATAATATTATCCGAGTCCAAAATATTTTACTCTAATAATATACACACGACGGACGTGATATTAGAGAAGGAGTGAATAATCGGCGAGCCGAATCGACTCATCATCAGCTGTTGCATTATCGCAATATTATAGTAATAATATTTATCGAGTATCTAATCGGTATTATATTATCCGTTGTCTAACGTTATCGATAATAGTTCCCAGTATTATGAGTTATCGTAGGTAGGCACCTATTATTATGGTAGTTCTTCCGATATGATAATCATTTTTCATTTCCTGCCGAATAAAAACGGTCGTCCCCGTAGGTAAGCAGACACGCTCCTATCTTCGTATTATTGTTATTATTACTATTGTCGAATAATATGTTTTGTAATATAGTATTATATTGTGCACGTGTAAAAAGCGGATTAATTTAATATTCAAGATTTCTAGAACATTGCCAGTCGATAATGCCCACGGGTAGGTCGCTGGTGTAGCTGCATAGTCGATAAGATAAGATACCTACATACAGAATAGTTCATTATGTGTATAAGACTGTAAAACACCGATAAATAACCGCAAACGAAACGATTGTGAGTTGAGTAGTTTTAGTCGTAGTTTTCCTATGGGTGTTTAGGCAACCCAGAAAATCGTCATAAATAAAAACAAATACCGAAAAATGCGTGTCTTTTAAGACGTGACGTGATCATTTTTATTAATACTTTTGTTAAAAAAAATAAATATTTAAATTCAACCAGATATATAGATAATAGTGCAGTGATATAAGTAACTATGAAATAATGATCTATTTTAAAGCGAGGTCGTATGAGAAGGACACAGTCTACAAATTTACATGCATCACAAATAAATCCGAAAAAAAAAAAAAACATAAGTACAAACCATTTGATAACAATAAACACTGTATTAATCGTGTGTACTAATAACCGCGAGCATATATTTTATTAGGCGTATTACGCATAGTTTCGTAATAATATTACGGGCTGCGTTATAGACTACTCTATGTTTAAAATCAGATGTAATTATGCTTATAACGTGAAGAATCATTTGTACAATTTTATATTTTAAATGATATTCTGATTCCGAGCGGAGAACTGGACAGAGTATTGGAATTGCGTGATTTTGACTACCTACTTTGAACTTTCTACTCTGGACCAATATCAATATTTTGTAACTCTTTTGTAATTTAGATTTATAATTCGTAACTCCAAACTTTAACCTCTGTCAAAGTTTTTAATAATTACTTTTAACTTATAAAAATCCCTACACAAATCCATATAAATCCATGTAATATACATTTATTTATAGGTAAAAATAATAATACATATATACTAACTATTGTTAAAATATTTATAAAAAAATGTTTATAAAATAGTACAACATTTTTATATTTTAACATTAAATATGCAATTTAAATAAATCGTCATGTAATTTTATTTTCAATGTATTGTGAAAATATCAAATAGGTTATTAAATGCTCTCAGAGCTTCACATACATTATTAGGTGTGGATTAAGATGATTTTCTTATTTTTTTCCCAAACTGCCGAAAGAGGTAATGTTTTTCGAACCTACCTACGCATGTAAGTTCTTTGATACGCTCTGCAGTCTAAACGGTTTGATGGATTTTAGCATATTATATATTGTGTCATTAGATTTGTCTTAATTGTAGGAGTGACATGGGGAATTTATAGAATTTAAAAAAGGTGTCTACGAAAAAAAGACTATCGAATCTATTTAAATGTTAACTTATTTCTTAAGGCCCGAATGAACAGAAAACAAAATGCAGTGTAATATTATGTTCACAAAACATACCTATGTACAATTTATTGTTTTTATTATTATAACAGTGTCGCTAAAAGATTCAAATACAGCCGAGTAATCGGTATTCTCTAATTAAAAAAGTTAATTATTTAATAAATATAACGGCATTCACTGTTCGGGAGGGATACATATTACACTATTTACAAACAAAATATTTTAAATAGGTCAAATATACTAAAAATTTACGACATCCACTTAAGCCCTCCGAGGACACTGCCACGCCCTTGCTATAGTCGTACTCCGAGTATTATTATAATGTTCATACAAAATCCCAACAAATATAATTTTAATATAAGTTATCTTCTATCGACACCGATGCGAAGGCTAATCCCATTTATTGCTTTCCCTAGAAACAGTTCAATACAAGTCAAATAAAAATAGAGATTTAGGTACTACGTCTGTAAATGACACCAACGTCAGAATTTGACACTAGGTACTTTCATAATTATTTCCATATAAAATTCAAATCAAATATAACGAATTTTTTGTCCATAGATAATAGATGTATGGACAGGCCATATAAACAGGCTAGATTAACATTGTATGAGATCACGTTCTTTTTTATGGAAAAGAAAAAATATGTTCTCTCACCCTGCATGGAGTACTGTTTAAGATTATGTTCAAACATCTATGTATAATCGTTGACATATTTTATATTAATTTTAATAATGAGAATTATAACTCTGTGAATGAATCATACAAATATATCATACACAACGGTAAGCATTGTTCTTTGTCCGGTGTATATTGACTAAATAATAAATTATATATTATAATATTTTGTTTTGGATGTTTTGATCATAGGCTATGATATATTAGTTTTAAATTTCTTAGTCCGTGGCTTTTATTAGTAGTACAGTTCAAATGTTATATATCTGTGCGTAAAACGTGTTTACTTCAAAATTGATATTAATAAAATAATGCATAATAAGCTTCAATAGCTTATCGCAGATATACATATTATAGTATAATGTGGATATCTCTGAAGCCTATCCATCTGTTTATTGTCTATGGTTTTTTTTACAGAAACTCGAGCATAATAACTCCAAATATGACATTTTATATTGATATGTTTTGCATATTAAAAGTATTTTAGAATTTTAGTGCTTTTTTTTGCTAATATGTATAATATATATTATAATGATTTATTTTGTATTTTTCTAAATGGTAGAAAAAATGTGTCATTCATGTGAATCCATAAGAAAAATACCTAGGTACGGTTTTGTTTCGTATTATAATCTATTTTTAAGTAGCCCCGCGTATTGACCCATCAAACAGTCTACATTTATGACTTCTTATGGGTTATATTTATATAAATATATTAAAAAAATATATATTTCATTTTTTGCCGTTTTTTTAATGTTTTTATGGCATATTATAGCGTATAATTTTGTTATTTATTTATTTATTTTAATTATTTTCAGTGTTATAAAACTAGAGCCTTGATGATAACAAAATATTGCACCATATTTTTTCATTCTGGTGACTCGAGTCGAATTTTGCAAGAAATATTATTCTAAAAATGATTTCATATAACCCAGGTTTTAATGATAGCAAAATAATTTCAAAAAAATTTCCATTAGAACACCACAGTGAGTACGCTTATACTAGTGATATTAATCCCTTTTATATACGACTTTTAAAAGAAGATATTATATTATATTTCCAATACAATTATTAATTTAGTATTAAAGTAATACAAAAAATAATAAATATATAATAATTGGTAGTTAGACACTATATGTAATTACGGAAGACAAAGACAATTAAAATAAAAGGATACTATGTAGAAGTATCTACAAAGAATAAGATAGAAGTGTAGGTATACAAATGTACCTATGCAATATAAAATAATTGGTTTACTTTTTGGTACTACCTTCTTTCCGATGTTTGAATGGGAATCGGAGTCGTAAATCCGAGAATGGTGTCGAGATCAATAAATAAAGAAAAATATAATTATTTTACCAACCCATGGTGTTGGAACAATAGGGTGTATACCTGTAGATATTCTCATGTGATCCTGGAGTCATTGGACGGCAGTCACAATTCATTTGAAGTAAACTAATTTAATTAATTAACATTATGCACCTATGTGCATTCAGATAAAAAATTCTTATCTTTAAATTAAGAAAACTGAAGGTTGAATTATAAAATAAATTAATAAAGAAATCAAACACGAATAATTATAATTTTTAAAAGTCGGAGCTAGCTATTTTAAAAGAAGTTGGTAGAGCGTAGTAGTTGCTGTGTACTGGGTTTTTGACAGAGTATTCGTCTTGGGATTTCTCGAGACGCTCGATTTTCAATTAAAAAAACCGTTAAATTTTATATGTTTAAATAAATAAAAAAATAACCGTTAAAATTTGAAAAGACGGAACATACGTTCGGTTGTCGGTATAATAAAACTAATAATCGAATTGTAAGAATATGATGCACAATAGTATGACTGAGGCGGCAGTGTCCTCAAAGTGCCGCAGCAGGTAGCGTGGATTTTTACTATAATTGACACATTTTAAATTACTTTGCTTGTAGATAATAATGTATATATCCCTCTTGAATAGCAAACGCTTCGGTATGTTTATTAAATTATTTGCGTTTTAGAAAATACCAAGTACTCGGCCATATTTGAATCTTTTAATTACACTGTTGTGATAATATAAATAATAAATAGTTGTACATGGATAATTTTATGTTATGTGCACATAACATTATAGTATATGGATGTTTATACATAGGAAGTAATTATTGTTATTAGTTCAAAATCAATCCAATTGCACTCAAAATCCACAAAATAAAAAATTATTAAAAAATCAAAAATTGTAACAGAAATTAAAAGCCCTTCACCTTCTAACAATTCTAATATATTAAATAAACTATCTAACATTAAACTAATGACTAATACAAAATAGTTTTTAAATAGAATTGTACGTATAATACGTTAGAGTTGTTAAAGAGGGTGGAATTAAAAACCTTTCTACAAATTTTGATTTTTAAATATTTTTAAGCGCCTTTTTTAGGACCTTGTTGAGGATTTTAAGTGCATTTAATCTCGAGACCAAATTATTATTATCGTCTATCCATAAAAATGATTTCTTGCGATACTATTTTATTCTGTGTGTGTCATGTTACAACATATCGACAATATACGTATTTTCAATGTAGGTAATATTTTATGGTGCATTTCGATTTATACGAAATTAACCCTAATGGAGTGTTCGCAATTAAATCACTCAAAACTATTTTTAGATTCTGAGCGTAGTGAGGAATATATTGGTTTTTACTATGATGCGTGTTTTTTTTATTTGTTATGTCTATGAGAAACTATTTTCCACTAGAAATCTTGTGTCAATCAAAAATTGACAAGAGACCTTTATTGTTTAGTTTTGGATCTGGCTGGTGCATTGAAGAAGATCAATGTTTGATTTTCTAAAGGAGTTTCATAATAACTGAGAACAAAAGGAAAAAACGTATAGAAAAGATAAATATAGTAAATAAATATATAAATAAAAAATGTACATATAAAAATAAAAAATAAATAAATGAATGAATGCGTCGCATAGCCTGATGTATTATAATAAGTGTATTGTATGACCGGTGTCGAATTAAAAATTCATCATCAGGTATATCATAGTCACAATAACGCGACTGAGTATAAAAATTAAATAAAGGAAAATAAAAAAAAAAAATTGTACGAATTAGTTTTGTTTTCATAGAAATAATTTATTTTATAGGAAAGATTATTTAAAATGGGTTATTATTAAACATAGATATGTTAGGAAATATAAATTATTTGGTTATTATTTATTATTTAAAATGTATTGATATAAGATATTATTTTAAAAACTGGTTCGTACATGTAAATTGTATTAAAATAATTTTTTTTTTACTTTATTGTATATAGATACGTAATTCTTCTAAAACTAAATTAATGTAAATGTTATTTTGGGCATTTAATACCTCTAAGTCTGTATTATATCAAAGCTTATATTGTGGTTATTTTCTAAAATATGTTTAGCAAAATTGTAATTAGGAGCAGTCTTTTTTCATTTTATTTCAGAAATATGTTCTTTATATTTCATTTTAAAATTTCTATTTCTCTTACCTACATATATAAACTTAAATGTAACTGCAATAAATTTGTATATCTAAAACGACCAATTTATATAGTTTTGTTATTCTATGTATTCCTTTATTTAATTTTTTATATTCAGTCGCGTTCTACATTTAGATATACCTGATGATGAATTTTTAATTCGAAACCGGTCGTATAATACATTTATCATAATACTCCAGGGACGCATTCATTTATTTTTTTATTTTTTATTTTTATATAAACATTTTTTATTCATATATTTATTTACGAGTATTAACCATTTAAATAATTTTGTTTTTACTTTATTATTTTATTAAAAAAGATTAAAAAATATTTACAGCATTCTAACGATTTCGTTATTTTTAATTTTTTTACTTTTCGTTTTCTACTAGAAATCTAGATCTAAAAAAACAAATCTTTGTCTAGTTTATAAAGAAGATTGGGTTTTAATTGTCCGTGTAGTTTTCTCAATAATTAAAAAAAAACTAGGGATAAAACGAAAAAGGTGTTAACCGTTCCGTTATTTTTGATTTTTTTTTGTAATTCAGTTAAAACAATTATAGAAATTTGAACTTTTTATAGAGTACTTATATTAGCTTTTTGCAGACGTGATAAAATTTGCAAAACATTTTGACCATTTGGTATTGATAAATATTTAACAGTTTACTTTTTAAATTTAAATTATTTCGAATCAGTATCAACAATATTAACTGATAAAAAAAAATCATAGCATTAATTTACACTCAATTAATTAAAATTAAACTATTTTCAGTAATCGACATTTTTTTATTATCCGCGTTAGTAAGAGAATTGCTTTTCTTGTTATATTTATTGTTCAAAAATAACATATAATAACCTTCTACCAGCCATGAATCTTTAGACGATACAGAATGAAGTATAATAAATAATCGGAAACCAATAATTAGCTATAATCCTTTAAAACAACTCTAATATTATAGATTTTAATTAAAGATAAAACGGTTATCTAAAATAGATTGAAAATATATTATTATCCGTTACTATAATGTTCTATTTTTTCGCTTTGTGTAAAATAATTTTACAATATAACTTTAAATCAAATTCTTCATAATTTAATCATAAAAATTGTAATGCTTCGTGTTTATTTCAAAAAAAATGTGTATAAGTTTTATAGCCATAAGATTTCAAACCGATCTCATTTTTGGCTCAGTTCCAGTCCGATCTGAAATGAATTGTTTAACTAGTGTCCTGTATATAAATATTAATAAACGAACAATTACAATAATAATACATTTTCGAGATAATAAAATAATTGAAAAATAAAATTATTAACTTTTTCTTTCGAGTATGTTTGGTCGATCATTTTGTAGAAAAATCCGTCTTTATTCGCCAACAAATTATTCGGGTGACCGAATTCAACTACTTTACCGGCATCCATGACGAGCACCTTGTCTGAATCCATAATCGTATTTAACCGATGAGCTATTCTTAATATCGTACATGATTGGAATTTTTTTTTAATAATATTTTGAATCAAACTATCAGTCCTGTAGAAACACGAAAGTTCACGTTGTATTTTTAGTACAAGTATTAAAAATATAATATCATATGGGAACAATGTATTACTTTGGATCGACATTAGCCGTAGCTTCGTCTAATATAAGGATTTTTTTATTTCGTAATATAGATCTGGCTAAACACAATAACTGTTTCTGGCCGACACTAAAATTAGAACCTCCTTCAGATATTTTTGCATTTAGACCTACAGGTAAGTCCTCTACAATGTCTTTTAGTTGTACCTGATATGAATATTAAATATAACGTGTTAATAACAATTGCAGTATTCAGTATTTTATAAAACATTTAAATTAAAAAAAAAAAAAAAATGTATGACAAGAAATTTTACTTCTTCCAATATGTTCCAGAGAACATGATCGGAGTACTCATTAAAAGGGTCTAGATTTTTTCGAATAGTCCCCGAAAATAAAACTGAATCTTGAGGAATTATTGACAGTTTTGACCGCAGATCGTGTAATCCCAATTGATGAATTTCTATACCGTCGATAATAATGGAACCATCGTTTAGAGCCAATCTAAACAATGCATGAATCAATGAAGATTTCCCTGCCCCTGTCCTACCAACAATACCAATCTATATAAAAAAAAAATAATAATTAACGTAACATGTATAAAATTATTATTAACAATCGGAATAAATTTTTGAAAAACTCTAGTTACTTTTTCCATTGGTTGAATTTTAATACTAATATTTTTTAAAATATACGGTGAATCTAAACTATAACGCAAACAAAGATTTTGAAACACAATTTGCCCTCTACTAGGCCATTCTTTTGGCGGTTTCTTATCTGAAAATAAACAATTATCACAACATTATAAAATAACATTTCAAACATGTTTTTAATAGTTAATATATCACCCAAAGAAGATTCGAGGGGTGCTTCCTGTGGCACATTTGTGTATTCAAGTACTCTCTCAACAGATGTCATTTGATTTTCCAATTCGGCTGATTGTCGTATTCCATATTGGATATTGCCCATCAAATTAAGTGCTTGGGTTATAACCAATCCGACATTTCCACCAAACGTATCTGAAATTTAAGAAACAAAACTCAAAATTCAAAAAAACTGTTTGTAATTTATTTTATTGTTATAATATTACCGCTGTCGATATTCAAGAAACTGAACATCAAAATACTTAAATAAATAAGTAGGATAAAATCAAATACAAAACCAAACGCATTGTTTGATGCAATGTATAAATACCAAGCTGAAGAATGTAAATCCTAGAAAAATAAAATATGTTAATAAATAATATTAATGGTTTTAAAAAAAAAACTCAATGCCATTATTTCTTTTTACTTGGTGTTCATCAAATTCTTTTGACAAAACGATTTCTGCTTTAAACGCTCGAATGGTGATTAAACCTTTGAGAGTTTCATTAAAATGTGTAAAAACCGGACTTCGAGCTATTGAAATATTTATTTAAACAATAATAATAATAATTATTATAAATACAGTATGTAATAATTGAAAAATATTTAAAACACGTGGAAATACATTTGTATACTTAGTGCTTACAGACTCCTTCCAACCGTTTGAGACTACGCGATGTCGACAAATAATACATTGCAATATATGCACAGAATATGCCTATAAAAAATGTGGGTATCAGAAGGTAAACGTTGATTATTCCAACGACGACCAAAGTTCCAATAAGCGACAATCCAATCTAGTTTAAAAATTACACAACTGATTTTAGTTATAAAAATGTAAATAGTTATATTATTATAAAGTATAGGTATAAATTGTATCATATTACACATTACATTTATAAAATTAATCAAGGGCGTTGGTAATCTTTCGTCGATAGCACCAATGTCTTTGGTAAAGCGATTAAGAATTCGTCCTGATTAAACATTTAATTAAAAATATATGGTTGAACATAATTTATTTAAAGTCAACAAAACATAATAAAAATACATTACCAGACGAATTCGAACTAAAAAACAACATTGACGCCCTGGTTATGGAGTCAAACATAGAATTGTGTAAATTCATAGAACTTTTCGTGAAGAATGATACAAATACAATACATCTAATTAGAATAACTACTAGAACCATAATGTTTATTGAAACATAAACTTCAATGCACAATTTACGTGAAACTGACCACCACAGTAAACTATCAGATAATGATTCATTATTTATCGGTCCGCTAAAAGTTGTAGATATGTATCCTGTATTACGGAAAACATGATCTTCTAAATTAACCCTGAAATTATAGTATACTTACTAAAAATATATTTTTTACTTTGATATTATAATATAATGTACCAATAACTTATCCAATAATCACCACCGGTGCTTAACATTTGAGTGAAAATGCATATGAATAACAAAAATAATATTTTAAAAACACTTCCACCGGCAAAGATGTACGACAAATAAACTCTAGGCGAAACATTTCCAGAACAACGAGTTTCGATTACTTCGACCGGTTCTGATTGAATCTGGCTTAACTTATTTTCTCCCATAGAAGTAGAAATACTATGATGAGAATTTGATCGAGAAAATACAGGGAGAGGATTCAAAGTGACTTCATCTTTATCGAAGACATCTTGGTCTTCATATGTTATTTTCGACTTTTCCGTGGATTCTAATGATTTAAAAAAATCTAAATTACCCGACTGGAGTTCCTGATACGAACCTTCGGAGACTATGCTCGCCTAAAAAAGAAAATTGCTAAATAATACGATACTACATTAAAATGTGTTAATTACCCTGTAAACCAGTATACTAACATTTTCCATTAACACTATTTTTTCTACTCTTTTTAAGTACTGAATTTGGTGCGTAACAAGAATACATATTTTCTCTTTAAGATAACCTTTATAAGGGAAATATACATTTTTTTTAATTGCTAAAATAATATATAAACTACATTATAATACCATTAGTTCTTTACCATTTATGCATTTATTAAATAAATGTTTTCCAACACACGCATCGACAGCAGTAAGAGGATCATCCAGTATATAAATATCAGCTTTTTTATACACAGCTCTATAAAATAAAATAAAACATTTAAAAAAACTAAAATTGTAATGCACAGCTTATTTTTTACTTGCCTAGCCAAATTAATTCTCGCTCTCTGTCCGCCACTCAAAGAAACTCCTCTTTCTCCTACGATCGTTCTATCGCCGTACGGAAGTTTCAATAGATCGGATTCTAATGCACATACTTTTATAACCTAAGTTGATAATTTTTTCATTTCAAATATTTGATAACAATAATAGGCTAGATTCGCCTATCTATCTTTGATGCTTTTTCTATTATACAATATACAGGGTGATACACTAAACGTGCTCATTCCATTTTTTTGGTTAAACTTTGCATATATTCAAATTCTGATTTTTGGAATTTTTAAGTGTAGTTAAAGCTGATATTTTCAAATACTTAGATTTTTCACAACATTTAAGGAATATTTTATGGTGATACCAACTTTGGTTTTTCAAATGAAAACCCAAATCCACAAATAGACAGAGTATTATTTTAAATATATTTTGGTGTCAAAATTCTTGATTTCCATCAATCCAGTAATGAAATATTCCACTTTTAGATTTAGGTAAGGAGAGAGTAGTGGAATATAATTTTTGTGGCTACACGGCACGTGACGTTTTATTATTACTGAATATCACGTTAACGGGTTGATAGAAATCAACCATTTTAACATCAACATTTATTTAAAGTAATACTCCGTCTATTTATTGAATTTTTAATATAGGTTCTCATTTGAAAAACCAAAGTTAGTATCACCACAGGGTTTGAATCAGAGTTTGAATGAATGCAAAATTTAAAATTTAAAATTTTGTTGATTATAACATGTTATAAAAATGTTATGAACATTATGGTTTTGTGGATTTTGGGTTTTAAATTTTATTATTTTACATATTCCTTATATTAAATAAATTATACATAAGTTCTGTTAGCTATTATTTAGTTAAAACAAATCCTATGTGGGTTAATTTTTTGAATTTGTACTTGTAAATAACGTTCTTTGTCCAACGATGAACTGAATATAATATTCTGTTTAATTGAACCGTTAAATAGCCACGGTTCTTGTGACGCGTATGAAATTACACCATAAATGGAAATGCTTCCCTTAGATAAGGGCAATTCTCGTAAAATCGCTTGTATTAATGAACTCTGTAGCATACAAATACATACAAATAAACAAATAGTATACGAATAAATATAAAAATATTGAAATAATTTGTTTTACATACTTTTCCGGCTCCTACGGGTCCAATAATCGCGACCAATTGACTTGGTACAACAGTTAAATTAATATTATTTATCGAGTTTTCTGTTTGATTGGGTAGCCATTTAGCAGAAGCGTTCGAAACATTTATACCAAAATTAATACACGGTTGTTTGATATATTTTTCTCCGTTTTTTGTTTTATCTTTTTCACCATTTTTTACATCATTATTCGATTCGTTTTCCGATTTTATGGACAATGTCGACTGGTGGTATTGTTCGTCGTATAATAAAAATGCCTTGATGGAATACAAAAATGTATTATTTTTTATTGTAGTTTAATAAGACATTTAATACGACGCATTTAAATACGACACGTATTTAATTGTGTTAGGTTTTCTTATTGGCTAAGCAGGTGATTAAGAAAGACCCTGGAGTGGAAAGACCTTCTGGGAGACCAAAGTAAAGGCGGGAAGATTGTGTTCAGATTTAAGAAGGACTTTCAGGCATCTAGTATGGTAAAATCGAAAATTCAATGGGAAGAAGCAGCAGAGAACAGGAATAAAATGTGGAATATGTAGATTTCGTATTTAGCGGTATGGTCTTAGAGAACAAAGTCAATCAAGAGAAAAAGAAAATTTTCTTATTATATAATTTATAATTATGTTTTGTACCTGAATACGTTGAACCGATATTAGCATTTCGGCGGTTGATCCAACACTCTCAGGAAAAAGGCCCGTCATGGTTGTCATTAATATATTGTAGTATGAAATAATAATGAATACCTAAAAAATTACGTATCTAATGCATTCAGTGACGGACTTCAATTTTGACAATAATATCATACAATGATATGGCTTTACTTTTTGTGTATTAATGTTGTTTCCTAGAATTATGTACACCAGAATACTTATAAATAACGCGAATCTTGTGTGAAATATTTTGAATGATTGCAGAATATATCTAATGTACGAAGCGCCTCTAATCTCTCGAATTTCCATTCTTGAACGATTCAAATGTATTAATAGTTTTAAAATATCTAGTAAGTGCCTAGGTAATATTATAAAAGTACACCTACTTTCTGAAATATTGTACGAGAAACGCAAACATCTTTTCCCAAGTATACATTTTAATGACTTGTATACCAACTATAATTTCGTTCATCAATTTTACTCTCTCGTCCGTCTTCGGGGCTGTTTTTAATCGAAATTCGGACGTTTTCTTTCCCAGCCATACTGAATGTAAACGTTTATATTAATTTACTATAGATACCTACATTATTTAATTACTATATCGTATTTCACATTAACGGTTATCATTTAAACCTTGTAGTGGAATAATCATAAGCACAGTAAACACTCCAAATAATGACGATATGCCGATTTCTTGCCACATAAAATATGTGATCACAATTGCTCCCAAAGGCCCGATCCACAAGAAATTTAAAAATTTAAACGCCATGTCGAATCGATTCACATCGTTTGACAGCAAATTTATCATTTGGCCGACCGTAGTTTCTTCTAGTGATAATTTACTTAACCGTAAGGCCTAAAACAAAATTGTACTAATATTGTTCAATTTTTATTTTTGTTTATTTAATTTTTTACTCAGTCCAATAAATACAAAATCATAAACTATTGGAAATTATAAATATTATTTGTATACATTTGTTGGTATCGGTATACATTTTGAAAAATAATTAATACAGATAGGTACTTTTCTATAAATTGCTGAACAGCAAGCTACTCGTATTTTCATTCCGCTGTGTTCCATTTCCATTTGTACGTACCGATGCATTAAAAGAAAAGACAACATATTTAACAGTAACCCGAACGCATAAATGAACGCTTCTGATTTGTCGATTTGATTGGACTCGACAGGGGTGAAATACGATAACAGTCCACCAATAAGTAGAGGTCGAGAAATTCTACACACAAAAAAGATAATCATTTTTTCCGTTTTATCTTATAAATACCCGTACATTTTTTATACAGGTTTTATGCACATTGTATAGGTATTTGAAATCCAAAAATTTAATCTTATAAATGGGTAGACAGTTTTTACCTCAATATCATTTCGACAACCGTTTGTATCGAACCGTAAAACAATAACGTAGAGCCGAACATGTTAATCAAAACCTTTAACAAACTTGGCTTTCGGTTGGCCGTTTTTGCATTAACCAACTCGACTTTCCATCTCCTTAAACGGAAAATATTTTAGTAGATAAAATATTCAAATTGAATACAGTTAATAGGCTTATACTTTTCTAATTCATTGCCTAATGATGATGAAGTGTGCTCGCTCAATGTTGTGTACAAATCGTTTTCCTTAAAACCTTTTCTTCGTCCCGTTTTGAAAAGGTTTAACATCCAGCTTTAAATTATACACCATGTATAAAAAATAAATTTTTAGATAATCGTTTATTTAAAATACATTGGCTGAATGCTAAATTATATCAAATAATTGTAATCAACTTACCTAAATGTGAAAATTTCGAAAATGTTGGCATTAGCTCTTGGATGTTGTGGCCGTTGTTCTACTTTATCAGAATCTGTTATCAGTCTGTATATCAAAAGAGTTAAAAATAATAGTTAAGCGTTTGGTTGAATAGTTTTAATATTTTGTCAACTAACCTATACATAGTGCGTAGCGCGAGTTTTTTCAATAGGTCAAATATATTTCAATTACTTGTTATTTCCGACTTTTTCTTCCAAAATCATTTATGACAATGCGTTATTTACTTTAATGATGAAACCTTCTACCTACAGCATCAGCAAATATTATTTATTAGGAATAATCAGATATTTAGACAAACCCCACAAGCTTGTAATTTATTTTTCATTAAAAACATAAAAAGTTTTTTGATACAATCTCATTTTATTAGGAGTGTATTATTTTAGGATGACGTTTTATTAACAAAGGAGTAATAATAAACAAAACCTATAAAATATTTAATTTTAAAAAAAATTTTTTTTTTTTTATGAACATCAATCAATTTATTTTTAATATAGGGTGTTTTAATTAAATTATAATATTTAGGTAATATATAGTATACATAGGTAACGTACAGAAAAACTTCGTACATTTTAATTTATTCCAAAGTGTTTGTATTTGTAATAGTCGCCATCAGTCAACAATCATCGCAATTATATTACATTATTATAAATTATTATTAAAGACGCTTACAAGGGGGACAGGGAAGGACAACTCCCCCCTAGCTTACCACCAAGTTAAAATAATTATGTACAAATTTAATATCTCAAAATCCCAAAATTCATTATTGGTACCAAGGTGTATTGATATTTATCAATACTTTATTTATACATCTTGATTGGTACCTAGTCGGTAAACCATACTTCATAGCATTAGAATTCCACTAATTTATTATCACAATGTATAATAATTTATGCACTATGATTTGAAGTTAGTTAGTTATGATTCGTTAATATTTTTCATGGATAGCTCGCTTGCGGTTATCTGATGTATGAGAATCGTTTATCTGGATTATGTATGTTAAGATGACATAGAAAAAAAATCGAAAAACTTAATGTAGCAGAGAAAGTTATTGTTGAATTTGGGAAAAATTGAAAAATATTATAATTTATTTTCAATTAGTTACTATAAATGTAAAATTTAATATTATAATATTTTTAAATTTTTTTGAAAATACACATAACACATTAATAAAAGTTTTCGATTGTTAATAAAAATTAAGACTGCGCTCCTGAATTTTCACATACGGGAATCCTTAATTATTATTAATATATTACACTATTTGGTTAGTTAACATTATATTATGAAGAACTAACTGAGATAAATAAGTGGTTACAAACAGAAAATAGGTGCTTTTTCAAATTGATTAAATTTCTAAGACCGGAAATGATATAAATTAACAAAAGAATCTGAAGATTCAATTGTACCGTACACTTATTCGACCGGTGATAATATATGGATGTGAAACCTGGACATTACGCAAATCCAAACAAAATAAACGGTCATTATCAAAAGAAAAATACCATGAGGACCCTTCGAGCCTTGTCAGTATGAAAATACAGAAAAACGGATAACGTGTATCAGGTACCGGATATAATCGGGAAGGTAAAAAAGACAACTAAAGTGGGCTGGTCACACATGAAGAAATGAAGGATATCCAGTACGCCCGGTCTAGCATCTATTCCAAGTGGAAAGATACTCTTGGTACGTCCACATAGTATGAGAATGAAAGATCAAATAAAACGTGTTATGGAAAGGTTTGAAACCTGGTTAGACACAATTTGGTGATATACGAGACGACGTTAGATATTAATGGTTGTGGACAAAGAATTTCGTTATATAATCTAGTTATTGATTATTGATGAAACAATGAAGTACTTACGCGTATTATTATTTATTAGCGGCATAAAATATCAGTAAAAACCGTTTTCGTTATTTAACTCTTACATAGGTACCTGACATTGTAAATGCAAAATAGATATAACTATAACTATTAGAAATAAATACTCACTATTCAGTTAGGTATACGTATGCAGTAAATACAGAGTTTAAAAAAAAACACCATTATAGTAAGTCTGTTGAAGTGTAATGAATTAATATCGACGTCAATAATATTATATAGTTAATAAAAATCAAACAATTGACAATGTAGTTGTAATCGGTGGATGTCATCGAAAAAATATTGATTCTAGTTTATAATCGTATACGGTAAAAACGATTTGCGTACATGGTTATCATTCCAAATTGCCAATAATTGTCTTTGCCAAGTACGAACCATATAGTTTAATCACGTTATAGGTTAGGTCTTATGTTACGATTTTTTTTTTTTTTTTTAAATTTTATTATTGCAATATTACACAATATCTAAACTACACTGACACCCATATACAGTATACAGTTAATCTATATTTTTGTAGATAATTGAATTTTTAGAATAAAAAAATATTAGCATATCTAGAATTATTATATCATTATTGATCAAAATATTTATTAGAAACAAAAAAGTGATGACTGTATTTTTTTCTTATCTATATTATTGTTCCAACATAAGCATTAGATTTTAAACTATCAATTATTTGATTAATCGCGTCATAATCATAATGCAGTTAATTTATGTAAATATCATAAATAATTGTTTATATCGATCATGTTTTTTTTTTTAAAAAATTAATTTAAAAATAAATAACACAGTCGTATCGTAAAACTGATTACAGTTATATCGATTATTTTAGAATACAATATACAGACTGAATAGAGTGTAATTGAAAGGTTCCAACATTTACTATGCAATTGCATAGAAAATTGTCAAAACCCGCATATACGTCTGAATATTAATATATATTAAGTACTGTATAGGTATATTATAGCCTATATAGATTCATATAATATTATATTCCAATAGTAAAAATAGTAAATCTCACTAATTTTTAAATAAAATTATTTAAAAATAAAAATAGTTTTACCCCCCCCCCCCAATAATTATTGACTGTAGTATTACAGTAAATTATTTTTTTTTAAAAAAAAAACCTAATTAACGTTATTCAAAAAACAATATCAGTGGCTTTATTACTTGATGTAGTAACTCTGAAAAATGATATTAAAATTACATTGTATCTATACAATATAATGACATCGAAATCAACCAAAAGCGATACGAATATATAAATATACAAATTACACCATAAATGATATAAATAAAGTAATGCTAAAAAATAAATAAATAAAAAAATTATAATATAATTATTATAATTTACCGACTGAAGTATTAATTCAAAATAATTGTAATAATTAATTGACTTATTTATTTAAATAATTGTACACGCCTATAGAATAAACGTGATTCTATTCGAATTGAGCCTGATCGACCAAATCGGCAGCAGTTTTTCGTTAGATAAATTAAATTTTTCAGCTGTACTGAGTTATTAATGATGTATTTTTATAACTAAATAAACTATAAATATCTATAACAATAGAATAAACAATAACAAAAATGACGACTCCCCTCAACGACTTGGCCGTTTTCGGTTTTTTCGGTCTAATCATTGATATCCCGTTAGGAGGATAAAAATGTTTACTATCATCAATAAGACTAACCACTAAAATATCTCAAAAGTATTAAAAAAATCTAAAAAAACTATAAGGTTGCATAATTATAAAATTGCATGACTTTTCAATAATTTAGAATTTGCTGAATCAAAGATATTATACTCACCCATCATTAAATTTAAAACCACAAGAATTGCTTATACAATTAATAATTATAAAAAAAAATATTTAGACCGATTTATTGAAATTTAATAACTATTATTATAAAAAAAATAGGTTTGATAACATTATAATTGTAAATAGAGTCAAAATAATTCGTTTATACAACAATTCATAACTGTATATAATATACAGTTTTATTAAAGTAAATGGAGGTGATTCATTCAACACAGAGTTTACAGAGAAAAGTTGTTTTGCATATTTTAATTTTAAAAATAACCAATTATCTACTATAACAACGATTTTTTGTTCTACTACCTATTCACTACTTATAGAATACTTACTAACGATTAGGCCAAGAAAAATGTCTTATTTTAAAATTACAGGGAGGAAGATAAATGTACGTGAGTTTAAAGTATTTGTACATATGTAAATTTTGACTGTAGGTATCCAATAATAATTATAAATTAATAAATAATAATAAAAGCTGTAGTTATTTAAATAGGTGTAAACTTTAAATTATAATATTAAAAAATGTTCTTGCCTAAACTCCAGAATTTAAACCCAAATAGATTGATACGTAATACTATATATATGCTAAGTGACAACGAAAGGCCCAAAACAGAATGTTGAAATATGTTGACTTATGTGATAAGTTAAACAAAATTTCACTACAACGTCTGTGTTCGATAACTGAGTACCTATACAATAAACATGTATGTGGTTTAGACTAGATTTAAGTTTAAAATAAAATATTATTGTATTTTTTTATTAACTTTAAATATTCGTGTTAACACGAATTTAAATTTATTTAAAATATCCAATAGCAATATTTTTCATCGGCCCATTTTCGTTAATATAAGTAGCGGCCCACCGGGAAAATCCCGGTATACCGGTAGCTCTATCCGCCGCTAAATATGATAGTCGAAGTACCACCAATGGGTGGCCTCTTCACTCGAAACTTTTTCAACGATAATATTAATACATTTCTCACCATTTCGCTTATTGTACATTTTATTTATCGATTGTGTAATAAATATATAAAAAAAAAAAAATGAGAGCTAACCCTCAAAAATTCTATTAAACGAATAATTGATATACTTAGATATAAGTTTATAGATCACATAATCTAGTTAAATGTTATATGTGAATGTATTAGGCACTGTATTATGATTTTGAAGTTGAATTCGTACTTTTTATTACCATGTCAAACATTTTAACACGGTAATAAAATTGGCTTATACAAATCGTTACATGTACCTATTTATGATGCCATACGATAATAAAAACAATAGTAATTTTTGAATACACTATAATCACATGCAATTTGAAAAATTATTCATTTGATATTTTCAGTTCTATTTTAGGTTTATCAAACAGTATATGTAAAATAAATTAATTAATTTATATAATAGTTCTGTTATTTAGGTGGTAAAGTCTATTTTGATCATGATCAAAACATTATTAAAGAAAATGCAGAAATGTTATACCGTACTTTAGTCAGTTAAAAAAAAAAAAATCAAATACAGATAAGTCGTTTATGTTACAGAATAATTGAATACGGATTTTTATATCAGTTTATTCATATAAAGCCGAATCTATACCTGTGCATGTATGTGTATGTGTGTATGTGCGTGTGTATGTACAAGTTATAGTTTAAAATTGTAATTTAGTGCGCCAGATCGAGCGTAAAAAAGTGACTATATTCATCAAACATTGATGGTCGTTTCCGAAAACTAGCTAAACCCTACAAAACAATCAAAAAATTCTTCATGACATAAAATTTCTAAAATATTTTTTCCCACACACATTTATTCATAAAAATATTACGCTAATAGAATTTAAATATAAACTACAACTATTGTCCCGCCCTCGTAAAAAATAAAATGTATATTATCTAATATGCCTATTCTATAAAAATAATGTAAAACATAGTCTACAGATTATGTACAATCCTAAAAGTAGATATTGAAGAATGATTTGCTTTTGATAAAATCAATTAAAGTTTTTAAATTTGCATTGAAAATATCTCAATAAACGGTAACTAAAGCATTCCCCTGGACTTTAAATACCTAAACGTAAAAAGACGGACTATTTTACTTTAAAGAGAAGGGGACTCCGTCCCCCTCTATCCCCCTCCCACTTTAACCACTGGTGTACAGTAAGCAATATGTTCAACTCGATCGTTGGCATTCGCAGCGTATTCGACTACGTCAGAAGTCAGTCCCCCGAAAAATATCAAAGGAATTGTATGTCCGACGTATGAAAATGTATACGACACAGCGCGACTTATAGCGCGCACAGGACCAGTGAATAAATTTAAATGTGTGTTGAAAATAGAATTCACTACGTGGAACACTTAGTACACTAAATGTACTCGGCTCAATATAATTCTACGTGAATAGCCAGACAAGTTTTATTGTCAACGATTGTTATATTCAGTAAGTTATAGTGTAATATGCATTGTAATTCCTCTTATATGCAGTTTTTAAAATACTTGAAGGTATAATGTATATTATATTATATAATAGGTAAAATGTACACAAAATAAAGTTCATAAAAATGTTAAACCGCTGTAAATACAGAGAAAAAAAACGCCGTAAATATATAATATAAGTAAGTAAGTAGTAGGTACTCACAATATTAAATGAAATATTATCATTTTCGAGACGGCCGGACAGGTACTCCCGTCGAAATTAATTCATCAACTGCAACAGTATACGTTGTAACGGGATAATGTATCGCAAATAGTTTGCCCAGAATTAGAAGTGTCCAGCACGATAAATATTTAATTTTAAAATATTATGTTCAACTTGGGACTCATAGATATAGACATGGACACAGTCTTCACGATTAGTTAAAAACGTATATTATTATTGTGTACTGTTAAAATGTGCAGTTATCAAGTAACCCGGTATGAAAATACATTTGATTATAATACTTCCTAAACAGCAGACACTGCGCTACGCAAAACCACAATTCGATATAAAACTAAAACACATTGGAGCAGGTCGTATTCGTTATGTTACACAAGTTACCTACTGTGATTAGCGTAACACCCAACACTCTACATAATAATATTATTATAATGATATTGTTATCAGTGACTATTATACGATACACCTATTCGCATTATTCTCTGATAGAGTAAGGCATTTAACAATGCGGTTTAAATATGATTATTAATATTTATTTAACCGGTGTCGTTATTTAAAGTGACGACGGGGAGGAGGTATCACGAAATTAAACATTATACAGCGTGTTTCACTTGAACAGTAACACAAAATATTTCGGCCAAATGGTCATGGATTAAAATGGGTTTATTTTCATGCAAATTGGAGAGTATAGAAATGTACAATTTGAGACAATTGTCGAAATTTAAAATTTTTCGATGCACTCCCGCATATTAAAACCTTCATTTTCATAAACGAAAACGCCTATTCTAATTTTTAATACTAGATTCGAATATTCAATTTTTTTTTTTTATAATGACTAACAAATAATTTTTTTTCTATATGAAAAAAAGTCTGTAAAGTCTATTACAAAATACGATTTTTTCTCGATATTTCAAATATATCGTATATAATTGTATGGACATTAGTGTAATTCTATAATAATTTTTACTTACAAATTTTCCCACAAATAAAGTAGCAACTTTTTTTATTTTTAAAATCATTCTTGTTAAATTTTTTGAAAAATCTTTTTAATCAACTTTAAGTAGCTGCATCTCAGATAACTTGAGATTAAGAAAAAATTGTGTTAGTCAAAATAATTGCTTGAAAAAAAATAAATAGATGTTTCTATTTCAAACAATTTAAGCTTTATATTAATTTTATATGAACCCTCGAGAACACAGCCAGGGTTAAAATTTATAAAATCTACTCAAAATGTACATAACTAGTACTTTCGATCTCGCTAAAAAGAACCCATTACAATAAATATTCGTCCGGCTGAAATAATTCGTGTGAAACATACTGTATATTATTATGTTATTATATTATGTTTCTCTCTGTCATTTTTTATTTTTTTCATACGAATTTTTTTTATAAAACGAAATGAATAGATAATACTACTATATACTGGTTTTGTCTTATCTACTTTTTTTTAGATTATCCTTCAATACTCGTTTACCATTGGAAATCTATATTAACGTAAATTAACGTAGTATATGTAAAGACACAAATAAGGAACCAATAACTCGAATTATGAGATTTAAACTTGGCATAAAAAAATGGTTAAAAAAAAAACTGATAAATAATTTATTAAAACGATTTAGAGCAAAGTTCGGTTATACATAATTTGAAATGCCGTAATATTTACGATTTTTATCAAAATTTGAATTTAAAACTAATAAAAAAATACACCACATTACACATAATTTTTTTTTTCGAACCTCTACGTACGACATGTTTTAAACATCTTGTTAAATTTTCAAGCATTTCTGTTTAGTCTAACAATTGTATTCACAGAGTACCTACCAAAAAAAAAAAAAAAAAAATACGTAAAAAACTGGCAAAATTATTTCTAAAAATAGCTTTAAAATCGCTCAAATGTTTTACAAATTTTACCACGTCAAAAAAAAGGGAAACATAAGTTGTGTCCTAATTTCAAGTCTTATGAATATTTTTAACTGAAATATATTTTAAAAAAACAAAATTTAAAACAATAACAGAATTATTTTCGTAATTTTTCCTATAATTTCTACATATTTTTCGAATTTGATCAATTATTTAAAAAACTACAAAGAAAATCAAAAAACAACTTTCTTAGTCACCAACTAGATATAAAGCTCAACAAAAAATATATGTTGTTTTCATTTTGGTTTTTAAAACTACTTTAAATATATAAAATTTAAATGACCTTTGTCAGCAGCTATAATCGATCTCTTGTTATTTTTAATTGAAGCAATATTTCTGGTATAAAACAGAAGATTAAAAACAATGAAAACGTTATCACCATGACATGCCATAAATATTTATCTCTAGTAATTTTCTTTCAGGTTTTTCCAAATTATTTTAAAGACTCTTTGGAAAATCAAAAAATGATCAAAATCACTCGCAGAATCTGTAAAAGGTTGACAATTTATAAAATATAAGATTCGAAGCAAGATTTCTGATTAAAATAATGAAATGTTTTTTGCCATATTTTGTCCATGGCTCCTCCTACGTTTTTTCCGAATTATTATGAAAACTGTTAGAAAAATAAAAAATGATCTTTCAATTGATTAACAAGATCCAAAATAAAATTGATCACTCAATTATCGTTTTTGTATTGGTTGTTTAATTTGTATTTTTACACAATTCATCATTGTAGACGAAATACAATGTTGAGCGAAGTTCAATTAAACATGTTTTGAAATACCGTGATTGTTACAATTTTCTTCAACATTTAAAATTAAAATAACTTATGATGTACCTTGTGTACAATTGTCAAGTAATTTTATTTGGCCAAAACAATTTTATTTACGTAGTACCAAATAATAAATAAAAAGCTGTGCTAGGATAATGGAGACGGGTGTAGCCACTGTATTAGGTGGACAGTTTGAAAGGTAGGATACAGAAGGGAATTTAATATATGGCTATGAGCAAAATAAACCATTGATAACGAAAAAAATGATTCTGAGTAAAGTTCAGTCGATTGTGATGCTTTTTCAACAATACATAATATGTGTCATATTTTGGTAAAATAATTAAATAGGCAATATATTATATTTTCTTTAATAATATTTGTTTAATATTGTACCGATTTTCCCGTTTTTTTTCACGTTTGTTGATACAAATATTGTAAGCCAAAAAAAAAAAAAAAATCACACATCGTAATTACTATATCGCTCGGAATCTAAAAAGTTATAATAATAAAACAAGCACCTTAGTTGAACCGATACGTTCCTCGTGCGCTCAGAATCTGAAATTCAAATCTGAAAATTACTTTTCAATAATTTATTTAAATCTATAATTTATACCATTTTTGGCGTAGCACTTGGGTTTTATTAAGGAAGTTGGGAAACTGTTTCGTTTCTGATTTTGATAACAGTATGGCTCTTTTGGTTTTATACTTAAACGAGCAAAGGAAACCGATGAACTTAAACACAATTCAAAATAATTAAAATTACCAAATATTTAAAAATATATAATAATATGTTAATACTCAAAAACTAAATAATATACATATATACCTACAAAGAATTAATAATATACGTGTATTTTTATACATAAAGTGAGATTCAATAGATACCACTAAGTAGTAAATTAATTCTCTACAATAAAACGTAGGATAATTATGATTTTTCTTGAATACAAGAAAAACCAAAATATTTTATATATTATACAATATATGACTTGTGTCATGTTATACAAATTCTATTTCCTGGAGTTCAACAGTTGTTTTATAATATTATGTTGAACTGCTATACGAAAACACAATAATACTTATTATTATCGATTCGTAACGTATTTCTCATAGCCAATCGGGAGATTAGTCGTCGTGTTCTTCGTTCTATAACTCTGCAAATATGTAAATACATCTCGATTAATTAATCAGATAAAATATATACCAATAAAAGGTATAACAAGAGGAAATTATAGGTACCTCTTCCGCTATACTATGCAGCCAATCGGCTGTAGCCCGTCCTGTTTGTTCCACCATTTTGTACAAATATCCATTTTTATTTCTTAATAAATTATATGGATGGTCGAACTCGACCATTGTACCGGTGTCCATGACGAGCACCTTGTCAGAATCCATAACAGTATTCAAACGATGAGCAATTGTTAAAACCGTACAATTTTGGAATTTTTTCTTAATAGTATTCTGAATTAACGCATCAGTCCTGAAAACAAACAGAACGGCATTATATAGTCCTAACACTAATAATAATACTAATTTGTTTTATAAAATAATAAATTCAAAGTGTGTATTACTGTGAATCAACATTGGCTGTAGCTTCGTCCAGTATGAGAATTTTGTTACTTCGCAATATGGCTCTAGCCAAACACACTAACTGTCTCTGACCAACGCTAAAATTAGAACCACCTTCGAACATATTTGAGTTCAGGCCGTTGGGTAAATCTTCCACAACTTCTTTAAGTTGCACCTAAAAATATTTGCCAATTTAAACATTTCCTTCAGGATATCCACCTATTTTGTATCGTTTAGTAAAAAAAATTATCCTCAAAATTTGAGACCATTTGGATAACATTCCGTGGAAGCGCGCAGCGTTTCAATATTTAGTAACAAAAACATTGAATGAAATCAATGAAAATAATATACAAACAACCATAGATGGTTTCTAGATGGTTTCAGGAGCGATCAAGTAGGAAGAAATGATGGTGACATATTCTCCCATTAAGTCATTTTTCTTTAAATGCATAATAATATACAGGCGGATTTTTAAGCATGCTCAGTGTTTATCCCATTTTTATAGTTAAATTATGCATACGTTTAAATTCTGATATTTGGAATATTTAAGTGTAATGAAAGATGATATTTTCGAATACTTAGATTTTTTACGATACTTAAAGAGTAACCTTATGTAACACCGAATTTGTTTTTTTTTTTTAATGAGAACCTACATGTTTTAATGTAAATTGTCAATCAGGTGATCTTTATGAAAATGTTAACGTACTTACACGAAATTTGATCGAAAAGTTTCTGTGCTTAAATACTAAGGGCACTAACTGCACGATTAAATATAAGAAATAACTTATACACATTTAACAGTACTGGTATCAAATATCCAAAATATGCTATTATCCTTAGTATTTAAAACAGAACAACTCAGAGACTTTTCATTCAAATTTCGTTTAAATTCCGTCAACATTAAAAAAAAAATAATCTAATTAATAATTTGCAACAAAACATGTAGGTTCTTATTTAAAAAATCAAACTTGTTATGATCACAGTATACTTCTTAAATGCCGTGAAAAATCTAAGTGTATACTTAGAATATCGTATGAAAATATCGGCGTTTAATGCACTTAAAAATTCCGAAAATCAGAATTTGAATTTCTGCATAATTTAAATATAAAAATGGAATAAGCACACTTAAATCATCCTGTATATTATGTTATATTTTCAATTCTTCATAGTTATAAAAAAAAACTATGTGAATCGTTCTTAAAAATTATCCTTATCTCCCCCTTGACAAAATCATTTGACTGCCATTGGATCGTTTAGAAATGGTTTTTTTTTTTGATAAAAAACAAAGAAACTATTTTAATCCTAAGATATTAGAATCTTTTTGATACCATTTACATAAGAAATAGATTGTTCAAGAGATTCAAAAACCAACTGAAATTAGTATTTCCCTAAGAAATTACCAAATATTTCTATATTAAAATAGTTAAATTTATACTAATAATAAAATGCAGTAGAGTCGCAAATCAAAATAACTCGAATCTTGATAAGACGAAAAACTTGACAATTTTAATTTATTTTTGGTCTCTAGAAATTTTCATAAAACACTACGTATATGCCTCTCAAATGTATTATAAAATAGTGACAAATAGCTATTAGGTATAATAATAAACAATTTATTAACTTTTTAGTGGCTTCAATTAATATATCCCCACATATGGAATAAAAACGGACATTAAGATCTTACGATTAAAATAGGTCCTTAGTTTTTTATTTAAAAAATGAATTCTTAACGATCTATGGTCACTTGTACACTATTTTTATCGATTTCATCTTTTTTATATTAAAATGCCACATGCTTCCAGTCCTCCATTTAATATTTTCTAAATGGCCTCAAACTTTGAGGATATTTTTTTTTATATACGACACAAGATAGATTGGTGTCCCGAAGAAAATTATGAAACTCGCAAAATAAGGATCACCCTAATATGTATATATATATATATATATATAGTGTACTATTAATGTAACCGTTACAGATTACAATAAGAATTTGTTATTCGTTGTTATGAGCCATTAGTAGGTATTGGTGTAACATAACAATATAATTACCATTACATTTAACCGAAAAATAATATGTTATTTACTTCATCTAAAGTGTTCCAGAGATCATGATCGGAAAATTGGTCAAAAGGATCCAGATTTTTTCGCATTGTCCCAGAAAATAAAACCGGTTCTTGAGGAATGATTGAAAGTTTAGAACGTAAATCTTGTAATCCCAATTCGTGTATTTCTAAGTCATCAATAATGATATTACCATCATGCAGTGATAATCTAAATAATGCGCTAATCAAGGACGATTTTCCTGCGCCAGTTCTGCCAACGATTCCGACCTAAATGTACGATACACAACACCATTAAGCAACTAAATATGTTTAGGATCATACAAATTACCTTTTCTAATGGATCAATTTTAACATTGATATTTTTTAAAACATACGGCGTTTCGGGGCTGTACTGTAGACAATATTGGTGGAATACGATTTGACCTTTACTGGGCCATTCTTTTGGTGGTTTTTTATCTAAAACAAAAAAAAAAAAAACAACAATAGTAAATAAACTTAATTAAAATTGTATTATTCAAATAATATTTTAAATAATATAAACTCTCGTTTAAATACATATTTATAGTTCTTTTAAGAAATACAATACTTATTACCTAGTGAAGATTCATAACCAACTTCTTGTGCCACGTTTTTATACTCGAGTACTCTTTCAACAGATGTCATTTGATTTTCTAACTCAGCTGATTGTCTTATTCCCCATTGGAGCCTATTCATCAACCCCATTGCCTGTGTTATGATCAGTCCAAAATGCCCTCCACCATTTGATTCTAAAATATTAAATATATATATTTATATAACATTGATATATATATATCAAGCGATTATTTTAAATATATTTTACCCTTGTCGACGGATAGAAAAATAAAACATAAAAGACTTATATAAATAAGACAGATCGTGTCCAATGCAAAACCAAACGCATGACTCGAAGAAATGAATAAATACCAAGCTGATGAATTTAAATCCTAATATGAGGTCAAAGAAACTATTGTAATTATAATCAATATTTTATATTAGTGATACTCCGTTTTACTTACTTGATAGTTATCGAATTCTTTGGACAAAATATCTTCTGCTTCGAACGCTCTAATTGTAGTCAAACCCTGGAGAGATGCGTTCATATGTCCATAGACAGAACTCCGAGCTGTATATATTTGAATTATAAATATAATAATAAGTAAAGAATTTCTTTAACTTTTTAATATCAATTATGTAAAAATACATTTAAATGCTTACAAACGCCTTCCAATCGTTTAGTACTACGGGATGTCGATAAATAAATCACTATGGTATAATAATAGAATATGCCTATAAAGAACGTCGGTATCATAAGATAATGGTTGATACCTCCAACAACGATTAAAGTTCCGATTAGTGACAAAAGAGTCTAGTAAAATAAATAAAACATTATCTTATTAGTTTTATGTTTTATGTATAGCAAAATATAATAGCATGATTGATTACATTTACGAAGTCCATTAAGGGCATTTGTATCATCTCGTCAATTACTCCCATGTCTTTAGTAAACCGATTGAGAATTCTTCCTGATAAAAATTGAGTGTTAATATTAAATGTATTTAACAATATATATAGCATATTCATTACCAGATGAATTTGTATTAAAAAAGTACATTGTGGCCTTTGTTATTGAATTAAACATACTGTTGTGTAAATTCATAGACGAACCCATGAAAAACGATACAAATAAGACACATCTGATGACGACAATAACTACGGTCATTATGTTTATGAGACCATAAACTATGATACAATATTGACGAGTAATTGACCACCATAAAAATGTTTTAGGAGATTTGTAACTATTTGTGTTATTATTCATTGTAGAAGAAGTTATATTCGCTTCTTTATGGAAAAAGTTGTCTTCTAGGTTAACCCTAAAAATATTTTTTTTTACAAATTTACTTATTGCTTTAACTTTAGTTGTATAAAGTAAGTATCTACCAATAACTTATCCAACAAGCTCCTCCGGTACACAGCACTTGAGTTAGTATACATATACATACTAAACAAAATATCCTAAAGGCATTTCCACCTGCAGTAATATATGAAAAATAAACTTCACGTGAAACATTTCCGAAAGAACGAGATTCAGCGATTTCGACGGGTTCTTCATTGGCCTTATCGCATTTGCCATTTTCATCAATAGACGATGAAATACTAAGCATTGAATCTTTCAAAGGTGAAACAAGAGGAACCTCTAAATATAAATGAGATTCATTCTTATTATTAGTTTCCCCATCAGATTCTTTTGAAAATTCAAGCAATTTTGTAAAGCCCAAATTAGAAGCCCGAAGTTCCTGATACGAGCCCTCAGCTAATATATGTGCCTATAAACAAAAAAACTAAAATAGATGAAATCAAATGAATAAAACCTAATTATAATTATTACTGACATTTTCCATCAAAACAATATGATCTACACTTGTTAAGTATTGTACTTGATGTGTAATAAGAATACAAGATTTGTCCTTAAGGTAACCTGTAAAATAGTTATGCACCGTCAATGTTTGTTAAACTAATAATTTTATGAGCATTGATACCTTTGATACATTTATCAAACAAATGTTGGCCAACTAGTGTATCGACAGCCGATAGAGGATCGTCAAGTAAATAAATATCCGCTTGTTTATATACAGCTCTAAAATTGAAAACAATTTAATATGATGATAATATTTTTAAATTACGAAAGACTTTCTACTTACCTTGCTAAATTTATTCTTGCTTTTTGACCACCGCTAAGAGACACTCCTCTTTCTCCCACTATTGATTTGTCGCCGAACGGTAGCTGTACAAAATCCGTTTTTAATGCACATACATCTATGACCTAATTAACAAATACTCGTATTTATGCAATTTAAAACCATTCTGTAAACAATTAGGTAAATCTTCTAAAAAAAAAAAGATCTTTTACTTCTTTATAACGTTCTTTGTTCATTGGTGAACCGAATAGAATATTTTGTTGCACTGAAGCATTAAATAACCACGATTCCTGTGACGCATAAGATACAACTCCGCGTATGGAAATGTTTCCTTTGGAAAGCGGTAACTCTTGTAAAATAGCTTGAAACAATGAACTCTGGAAATAACTAGTAATTAATTATATTATCCAAATATTATTCTCCATAGTTCTTTTTTACTTTTCCAGCGCCTACTGGTCCAATTATTGCAACCAACCGACCGGGTCTTACGGTTAAATTAATATTATTTAAAGAATTTTCAGATTGATTTTCTATCCATTTAGCAGAAGCATTAGTAGCGACTATTCCGTAATCGTTTGATTTTTGAGTGTGGTTTTCAATAATTTTGTTATTAATCGCAGCATTTTCACCGTTTATTTTTGAAAGTTTTACACCATTAGTAGATTTGTCTTGAGCTTTTTGTGATGTTATTTGTTTCATTTTCTCGTCATTTAATAGAAAATTCTATTAAAAATAATTACCAAGTTTAATTTATTTTTAATGATTCAGTTTTTGTTTTAAAGATAGTTTATTTGAATTGTAATTATATTATTATAGGTTATATACCTGAATACGTTTAACGGATATCAGCATATCGGCTAACATTACGATACCTTGTGGAAAAATGACCGTCATTATAGACATAATATTGTAGTACATAAGCACAACGAATACCTATTAATTACAATTATAGCATAGGTATTTAAATCAATTTAATTGATGTAAATTTTGTATGTAAAGTTTACATGTCATATTTTATAATTTGATTTACTTTTTTGGCAGTGACGTTGTTTCCTAGCATCATGTATACTAGAATACTAATAAAAAATGACATCTTAGTATGAATTAATCTGAACGATTGAAGACCAATTCTGATATACGATGCTTTTTTAATCTCTTGAAGTTCCTTTCTTTAATAATTCAAATACATAATATTAATAAGGTATAATAATTTTATACAACATCAAAGCACATACTTTCTGGCGATCTTGATTAGATAGGCAAACGGTTGTTCCCAAGTATACATTTTAATCACTTGTATTCCTGATATGATTTCGTTCATTAACTTCACTCTCTCGTCGGTCCTAGGGGCTATCTTTAATCGACATTTCGATGTTTCTGTTCCCATCCACGCTGCAACAATTAAATTTGTATAAAATTATTTATACTCATATTAATATTCCAACATTTTATTTAATGGATTATATATAAACCTTGTACCGGAGTAACCATGAGCAATCCAGCTACTCCAATAATTGACGATATACCGATTTCGCGCCACATAAAATACGTGATCACGATCGTTCCCAATGGACCGATCCATAAAAAGTTCACACACTTCAATGCTACGTCAAATCGACCTACATCATTTGATATCAAATTTACTACTTGACCAACTGTAGTTTTACCGAGAGAAGATCTACTTAATTTTAACGCCTGAATAGAAAAAATAAATTATTAGGTTTAACAGTAATAAACTGATATTAAAAAATGTGAAAAAAAAAAGAAATTACCTTAACGTATATATTACCTTTTTTAGATTTGCTTCTGAAATTTGAAATATTTATTTTTAAGTTTTTCTGATGAAATACATAAAATGTAACCGTGTAGATAACAATTTATTTATTGTGTTTACTTTTTTAGAAAAACGTTAATACTTTGTAAAATAATGAGTGTTTAACTATAAATTAATCACTCTATACAGATATTAACAATAAAAATATCGTTGAATAACATTCAATTACATTTTATTAAATTCACAACGCCTGGGGGTTTAAACAAAAAATAATACCTATTTTGTGCACATATATTTATGTTTTTATTAATATTCTTTATATCAAAACGAATTTTAAAAATTTAAGTATTACGTTTGATTGTCTACATATTGCTTGTATTTACTAATCTAACTAATCTATGAACGTATTTAACCTATGAAGGAGAAATTCAAGAGTTGTCGTTTGAAGTAATATTAAAATTAAAACAAATATATATCTATATGTATCTATTGTATTTATATTGTCATGAGACGTAAATTATTGTCAATTGATCTAAGGTTACCTTTTTATATACTTGCGAGCAGCACGCGACTCGTATTTTCATTCCACAGTGTTCCAATTCCATTTGTAAGTAATGGTGCAGCAGAGTAGTGATCGACATGTTTAATACCAGGCCGACAGCATAATAATAAGCGTATTTTTTTTGGGGAACTTCTAATCCAACAGGGTTGAAATACGCCAATAACCCGCCAATGAACAGAGGCCGAGAAATCCTATACATGCGAGTACACATTAACAAATTGGGTCGAATTTTAGTTATTTTAGTCTTATCAAACTTGGGTTGAAAAATAAAGAATGGCACTCGGGTCGAAAACAAATAATGATCGAACTGTATTTACGTAAAAAAAATATTTTTTGTACAAATCTAAAACAGAAATTTGAAAATGGCTCCGTAATATGTTTTGTTTTTTAAATTAGGTTGATGTTGGCGATTATTGTACAAAAGTATTTATGTCAATTATTTCAAAAGGTAATGCTGTTCAAAAGATTAATGATATAGAATAATGATAAATGATTTAGGAGATAGTTAATATTTCTAATGAATCATTTTATCCTACTACTGTATAGGTTTTGAACACACTCTCTAGTCAAAGAAATATAATTGCAAATGAGAGTCTTTTCATAGAAAATTTAACAATTAAAATTACAAGTAGATACTATAAAATAAATGCTAAATACAAACAAAATAACAGTAGAAATCTAAATTAAGTTTTTTTTTTTCAAATATTCTTATTTCACCTAAATGAAGCTCGACCATGAAGTAACCCAAGTACAGATTGACCAAACTGTACATACATTTTTAACCTTACTGCAATATTTGATTACACCCACATAAACATACGATTAATAAATATTTTAGATTCGGGACGTAGTGAGGAATGTATTGGTTTTACATTTTTTTTTTTGTCTGTGAATAACTTTTCTATCAGAAATCTTGCTCCGATTTTCAAGTGTAGTACTTTTTCTGAAAGGAAATTTTTTTGGGTTGTTTTTTGATTTTCCCAATGGTTTTGAAAATAATTTGGAAAAACCGGGAAAAAACGTAGGAAAAACGGGAAAATTTACGTACATATATAAAAGAAACTTCATTTTGAATCGTTTTTCGTTAGCAATGGTCTTTTGTTAGGTACAGTTATTAAATTTCCCTCTATATTCTATATTCCCAACTGCTCACTTATAACAGTGGCCCACCCGTGATGCGAAGTATGTCCGTCTTATTTTAAATTCATATATATATATATATATACCTTTAAATATATTATAGACCTGCAAGGGTCATCAATTTTTGATCGGTTTGATCCAAGGACATTTTTTTGAAGACCTGTCAGTCCGGTACAAAACATTTTGTGATAAAAAAGCCCAAACCTGGCCCAAAAGCTATGAGGTATTAAAAATAATAATGATATATTATATTTTAGTAGTGAACAACAGTTCACATAATAATGTATAAATAGTTTTATTATACTAACGTTGATATGTGAACTTATCATAAATGTTCAAACACCAAGCCAAAAACGATATAAAAAAGTCTAGGTCCAGTCCGACGTAAATTCTTAAAAAGCCCAATCCAACTCCAGGTTTATTATTTGAAGTGTCGGTCGACCCTAGCAGGCTCATAATATATTATAGATATTATGACGTTCTCAACGTCGTACAGCCTAATTAAATAATTATACCGTACATTTAATAATAATTTTCATAGTATTTTTTTGTATTTTTCATTTTCTAGTCCACAGACAAGTTTTAAATATTTTTTTCACCGGGTGCTTATCGTATAATATAATGTATCGTGTCTTCTGTCTAAAGCGCAGATAAATATAAGATAGTAGAAATCTGTGATCAAGAGGTAACAAAGAATTATACCACTTGTTCGATTTTCTTACAAATTTAGACGTGCCAAGGCTATTTTTAATCAGCTGCATATTATACATATAATTATTAAATTATTATAGGAGTAATATTACTGATTAGTATTTTAAATACGGTCTAAATTATAATAATTTATAATTATTGAAAACCCGATTTATCAAAATATTATAATATAATAATATGTATTATGCAATAATGTATTATATTACATTATTAATTTATAATATAAATTTTAAATAAATAACGAATACTTACCTACTCAAATAAGTGTATTAAAACGATACATTGATGGAAACTTTAATTTATCCACTACATATGTAATATGTGATCAAAATTATTGAAGTAATAATGTCGATATGTATTTAAAACAATTTAAAAAGCCATTTACATCGGCATTTGACAGCTTTATCTATCTAAAAGGCAACACAACAAAAAACAAAAATGTTCTAAATACAGTAGTTAGTCTCTAATGGACTTTAAACAAAAATTATTTCACTAAATTAAAAACAATGACATTTGACATTTTTTCGATATCTGTGGTGAATTATTTTTTGTTTTAAGTCGATTGTAGAGCCTATTTACGATTAAAAGTAACATATTTTTTGCTATATTGTTCGTTATAGATAGACAAAGACGAAAAATTCCGATGTAACGTAATCATTTTAATACTGAAAAATGGCAATATTTGAATTTATCATATAATAATATTCTTTTATCAAACCAAATATATTATTAAGATCAAAGATTATTCGATCTTAACTTTAACCTCGTACTCTCCACTATAAGCAAATAATAGCTAATCAACCAAAGCAGATTTTTTACAAGTTACACCTATCTTAATATTGCAAGTAGTAGTAGGAAATTGTTGAACAAATAGAATTTTAGAATTTTTACCTTAATCCAATTTCAGTGAACACTTGTAACGATCCGTAAAACATTAACGTCGGACCAAATATCCGAATTAAAACTCTCAATAAACTAGGCTTTCGGTTTGCATTTTTGGCATAGATTAATTCCGCTTTCCATTTCCTTAATCGTGGATAAATTGATCAATAGTTTAACATAAAAAATTTAATGTCTGTGATGGGTATACGTTACTTTTCTAGAACACTGCCTAGATATGACGCTTTATGTGTATTCATTGTCAAATACAAATCTGTTTCTTCTAAATCCCTTTTATATCCGGTTTTGAATATGTCAAAAAGCCAACTAAATCAAATAAATATACGACGAATAAATATGTATTATTATCACAATTAAAATACAAAATACAATATACCTACATAAAATTGTTTATTGAAATTTATGCAATTTAGTTTAGTTTAATTAAAAATTTAAAAACATCGAAATTGAATTTATGGGTATTATGTAGGTACCTACATAAATGTAATTAAATGTACGAAAGTTGATTTCATAAATTTACCTAAATGTAAGCATTTCAAGAATGTTCGCTCTGATTCGTGGATTATCGAACTGTTTTAATTTACTGCCAGCGTCCATGGTCACCTAAGAAATACAATAAAAACAAACTATTATTGATGGCAAGATCAGTATAAGATTATATCAATTGAATGATAATTTATATGATTTGTAATATATACAAAATAGATATGTTTACATATATAAAAAAAATGTTTCATTCTAAAATTATATGGAAAGTTATCAGGAATTATCACAGTTAAATTGTATTTATATTTGTTTAATAACTGATATTTTTACTGACTTGGTTTTTAAATAAACGGATGAAAAAAAAATAGTTAACATTTTACGGTTTCTTGATTGCAGTAGAAAAAAGAAACAACGTACGCCATACATAATACTAATTTTAATGATAAGTGATTGAAACAAAAACATAAACGCTGTTATATTTTGATATAGATAATATATTCGAGAAATTCTTGCGTGCCTATAACTCGTTCGATAATAATATTATGTTTAAAACAATAACAATGCATTTACATAGATTTCATAGATTTTTTGTATTATTAATTTGGCACCTTTAGTAGCTTAGTAAAGGAATTTAATCATAAACCAATCGAGTTTTAACTTTACAATGCACGATAGAATAATATTTTTCTAATATTATTATATCGACCTCTGACGAAAATAAAATATTATTACCCTACTATCGAATAAAATGAAATGAATAAAAAAACTATAGTTAATATGTAGGTAAACTCAGTACTCTGGTGGGGGAAACATCTCATATATTGTATTTCGCTCGAACATTCCATGTAGGTATGTGATTTTATTTTACATTTTCAAATTGAATTGGTCGCGCGTTTTTCAGTCTATATTTAATAATTATATATGTAATTTGCCACCAGTAGTGAATCTGAAGTCCATTTATGGACAGGGTGAATTAGTGTCATAGATACTAATAAAGCCACAACTGAAAATAAATTTGGGGGAAGAGGACCAAATTAGATTTAATATATAACACGTTTGTATTTTTTTTAAACTTTTTAATAATTTCAAGGAGCTCTGGACTACTGGACACGTGTCAAGTACCCAGTTAAATAGTCTTTTACACTTCGAAATTTTGAGATAAAAGTATTTAGTAATCCCATTCCATACGTTTTTCTTTATACATTTACAAATAATTTTTTACAAAATTATTTTAAAACTATCGAGAGATAGCCTATAAAATTTTAATATCTACATAGTAAACAGAAAACAGAATATCTATTTTATAAAAATTAAGTGATTCCAGATTGATATGACGGTGATGGTAAAATTATTTTATCTGTTATCTATAAACAGCTGTAACCGCTGTCTACTAAAAAATATGGTCATAATTAATTTGTTTTAAACATAATACTATTTAAATTCAATAATATGTCTTGAAAATATAATTAAAAATATCAGAAGATCACATTGTTATAGTAGAGTATCAATTTCATTTAATATATTTTGAAGTTATAGTTATGAGTTTATGAATAGACACTGGATTTATATTCTCTTATAATCACAAAAACGCGCTTTAAAACGTAAAAAAGTCCCTGAAAACTGAACACTTACAAACATTTAAAAAAAGCAAAAATGATAGACGAGTTTAAAAGCTCTATTATAGTTCTAACTTATTAAGTTAAATTGCCTAGACACTACAAAAATTATTCACACAAAATAATTTCTTTTAAATAAAATCGTATATATTACAAAAAAGAATTACTTTTTATTAATCATTTTTGTAGTGTTAGAAAATTCTATTTTATAAACTAAATCCGTTAAAAGACTTTTAAACCGATCTATTATTTTTACTTTTTTAAATATTTTTAAAGTGTTCTTTTCAAGGCTTTTTTAACGTTTTCGAATAATTTTTTGTGGATTTTAAAAACATATAAATCCGGTTTCTACTTATGACTTATGAGATGCATATACGGCTTTAGTTCAAGTCTAACAAAAAAGACCAAAGGGGGGAGCGATCGCCATGTCTCCTCTCCCCACAAATCCGCAATCGTTTGTACTATTGCGGATAGTAAAAAGTACGAATTTTAATTTGCAACAGAATTAAAATCGATTGGTCTTTCGATAGTAAGTACGTATAGAAACACGTTCCGAATGTTCCCGAATTTAACTCATTTTGTACCTCTATACTGCTAAGTACCTATAAGTATATTTTTACTCGACCGGCGGATAATATGCGACGTATCAAACTTTAAATAGATAACAAAAATCTTTTTTTCACATAGATTTCCCGATAATCCTAGTATAAAAATGTAGAACGAGATAAATCATAATATTTGTATACAGTGGTTAATCTATTTGCATAGGTTTTTATTAATGAAGTCAATTAAAAGTTAGGTGATTTAAAACGAAATAATTATTATTAGTTTTATTAGGTTTAGTTAGTTATTGGCCTTCAATTTTTGGTAAATATAGTCACACTTCGATTTTTTTTTCCCACATTAACCTCTGGTAAGCTCGGTACAACAAGCGTACCGCGCCAAGTCCGCTTAGCCACGGGCCGTGGGAACTCACATTTAAACGTTACTATACAGAGTGATCAATCTTGCGTAAGACACTCATTATCACGGAAAATATTAACTTTTTTCGGAATATGTTTTATAGAAAATCAAAGAAACAAACAGCTCTACAACTTTACATAACTGTTATTTTTTTTCACTCTTATATTTAGGGTTGAAACCATTTTGAAACCTACTTTTGATTTTCAAATGGCAACCTATATTATACATTTCACAGATTGATGGAGCATTACTTGAAATGAATTTTGATATTAACATTTTTGTTTTTTGTCAACCCGTTGACGAGATATTCCATTTTTAAATTTAGGTCGAGGGAGAGAAATAGTTTTATCAGAAATTTTGCAACAAGAAACTACTTTTTGATTTCGGATCTAGTTGGTGTACTACATTTTCAAAACAGTTTTCATAATAATTGAGAAAACATGGAAAAAGGAACAAAATAAAAACAGACAATTGATCACGACTTTATGATTTTATTATTTAAAATTTTTACAAATAATGTTTTGTACAAGAAATATTGCTCCAAACAATAAAATAAATTTTTCGTTGCATTTGTTTTGCATTTTTAATTTATTCCATAAATAAGAAAGTCATATTTTGATTTTACAACCAGTTTGCATAATAATTGTGAAAACTCGAAAAAAAAATCGTAGGAAATACAGAAAAGTTAATAACATTAATAGTTTTGTTATTTTCAATTTTGGGTTTTTTGTTGTGAATCGGTTAAAAATTATCGTATAAAGCTAAAATGTTCATAGAAAATATATTCTGACTTATATTAACCTTTTCTATACGTAATTATTGAACTCCTTATAAGCATTTTGTTGAATTTGTATTTGATTAAGTATCTATTATATGGATAAAATTGTTTAACCAAACAAAAAGGCTTGAGAATTTGACACGTGGTTTATTATAAGTTGTATTTAGTAGTAAAACAAATTAGAGTATTATGTAAAAGTTTTTGTTGCATAAAAGTTTTGATATCAAATTTTGATGAAATCTTTAAAAATACGACAATTAAAAACGTGTATAACTGAACATCGTCAGCAATAGTTTATCGTTGCATACAGATAAAAATTAAACAATTGTATGCATTCTACCTTCTCAACTTCCCACCAACAACAGTGGCACACCCATCAGTAGTATTCGCTTTTTTTTTTGCGGTAAATCTATCAGTAGTATATCAGCTTTTTTATTTTTTTAATATTATGATGTAAATTACAGATTGCTCATTCGGATACCTCAGCTAAACAAACATATCCGTTTGCTAGTTCGTGTAATTCTATTATAAATACTCGGTATACACAAAATATCAATCAAATTATTATATTCCATTTGCCTATAGCGTTATAGAATAGTTGGATAACCCGAAATATAATTCGGAATTGCGTTGATCACAATGTCGTAACACGTATACGTAACAATATTACTAATGTAACAAAAAAACCGATAACACTGTATTATACTCAACAGTGTACATAAATTATACTCGTAATTAAAAAAAAAAAAAAACAAAACGAAAAAACGAAACGCTTAGATCGTTATAATTATTTAGACAGAATTAAATTTCAAATAAAATTATTGTAATACCGGGCAGTAAAAATCTTATTATTTTGATATCCGTGATGAAATTATAAAATTATAATAATGAAATCAATTATTAAAACATTTGTCTCGTATCATGTCTATTCGTGACGATTTAAATAAATTTAAGAAAAAAAAGACGAACATACTTCGCACGTGTGTGAGAAAATTCAATATATATCTGTACGCAACGATTAACCATTGCTAACAAAAAACAATTCTAAGCGGAGTTCGGTTAATAGTGTTGCTTTGTCAACAATATATATGTCACATTATGGTGAAATAATTACATATGCATTATATATTTACTTTAATAATATTTGTTTAATATTGTATCAATTTTCCGGGTTTTTACTGTGTTTTTATATTTATTGGGAAAACTCCTGCAAAAAACCGCTTTAAATTACCATCCCAGTCAGATTTCCTTTCAGAAAAACTACTATCATTGTAAATTAGAGTGAAATTGCAAATAAAAAAGTTGTTCATAGGAAAAAAAAAGGCCGTAGTACTTTTTTACTAATACTTATGTACATTTCGTACATTTTCTCATCTTTTTTCTGTTTTTTTCCCTGTTTTCCCCATTTATTAGGAAAACTCTTGGGAAAATCATAAATGACCTCCTTAAAGTAGCACAATAGGAAAATTCCCTTTCAGAAAAAATACTATATTTGATACTTCGGAGCGAGATTTCTGTTAGAATTGTACACAATGTAAAAAAAATAATTAAAAGAAAAAATCTTTGTAAAACCAATACATTCCTTAGAATGTACACTCAGAATCTAAAAACAATAGTTTGATTGATATACTATAACCAATATAAAATAAAAAAGATTAATTCCTATGGTATGAAAAACTCATCAAACTTATTATGATGGAACCACACGTGGGTGTCCTGCATCTACTGTCTCGGTATCACAGTCTAACCACGCATACGTTTCGTTGAGTATAAACTATAGCATTTAGATTGAGATTATAATTTGAACACGAATAACAAAATGTATAATGGAGAGTATTTTCAAGGACAGCATGTTGCTGTTTTCTAAAATATTGTTAAACAAATTAGTTAAAAAAATATTTTTAAAAAAAAATCAAAAACGATTCATTGCTGTGAAAATTGTAAACTCAGTATCGTGTTAAAATTAATTTAACGCTGTGTTACTCAAAACTAACTTATTATATTATGTTTTTAATGTCAATACAAAATCATAGGTTAAAATATATAGTTAATTGACTTGTAATTCTTGAATTTATTAATGTCCACAATTGGATTGATGTTTGTCTTCTCTAAAATAATTTACGACTTACTATATTATCATACGGTTAGGAAAATTGTAAACAAAAATCATACGATTTAAAATACGACAATACAACGCCAAGAGTAATTTTTATTAAATTTAGATTTGCCGATTTACTCAAAAGGATGCGTCCCACACGCAATTGTTTTTATCGTCTTACGAAAGCACGCCTAACAAATTTACATTCAGCAGAATCATTATTTTGTGCTTTTTTTTTCATTAATATTCGAATAACTTTTACCAGTTTTACCTTATACTATAAAACTTATTGCACGTTATATTTTTTGATATTTTTATTCGATATTTTAATTTTTAAGCCAGATGTTTCGCACAGGTACACTCATATTTCGCTTAAAAACTGAAATATCAGAAAAATTATCGTGTAAACATAGCATGCAAATAATGTTCTTACTTTTGAGCTTCAAAATAGGTCGATTCAGTCCAACATTAAAACAAACAACACAAAGTCGGTTCTGCTGTACTCAAATTTGCAATGACATACGTTTGTATGCCGAAGACAACACAATATGCGTGTGCGGTGGCCTCCTCTCTAAAATTTTTAAATCCTAAGTGAAGTGATGAATGTATTTGTGTGTATTTTTATTGCACGTAAACAACTTTCGATCAGAAATATTACTCCAATCAACTCCAGAATTCTGGTAGCAAATTTTGTCTCATTGATGCTTCGGTAGATTTGTTTTTAAATTTGAGCGGAACGAGGAACGTAATGGTATCTTGGATCCAGTTAATGCATTCAGAACATCATTTTTTTTGATTTTTCAAACGGTTTTCCTAATAATTAAAAAACCACAAAATACGTATAGGAAAAACAAAAAAATATTTACGACGACGTTACCATTTAAACTCATGTCCTAAATTTTAAGTATAATATCTTTTCCGTAAGAAAATGTTGTCAAATTTCGTGATAATTTATTATTGCGTACCGCAATAATAAATGTAAGCTTACTGCTTACAACTTGTTTTTGTTAAAAAAAATTGCATTTGAACCATAATTTCATAGACAAGATTTATATTTGAAAAATGTACAAGTGCATCTTTAATTCCCGTGAGAACTCGCGGGGAGAAACAGAATTGTTCACCCACACCTTTTTAGATTACAAATGAAAATTATTAAACCCAACACAATAAAACAATTAAAATTATAGTGCCGTGGGTCCCCTAATCGGTAATAGCGATATAATTTGATTGGCATGGATAATTCGTTCACGTGATTTTCTCATTGTAATATTAATATCGTTAATTTAACCTAATCTAGCATTGTAACACTTGCATAATATAGAATATAGATAGTAAATAGTATCTCGAATTTCTACATTTATCCGAAAAATTAATTCAAATTTTCGAGTTATGGAAAATAGTTTAACAATAATTTTATGTTATTTTTTTGTTTTATAAATTGTTATATGTATTATAAATTTATATTTATAGGTATTATTTCACAGCGTTAAAACAAAGTTAAAAAAGATGAACATACTTCTATGGACTACTGCTTAAGCTGATTTTAGGAAGGTAAGAAGGGAATTTAATGTATATATTTTGTACGCAACGATTAATCATTGCTAACAAAAAAAAAATTTTAGCGAAGTTCGGTTATACAAATTTTGAAAGGCATAATATTTACGATTTTTGTCAATATTTGATATTAAAATTTTTATTAAGAAAAAATTCTACATTATACTCAATTTTTAAATTGTTTTGACCACAAAGTAGGACTTATAATGAACTTCCTTTTGAACTTTCAAACATTTCTATTAAACCGAACAATTTTATTCACAGAGTATAAACCGAATAAAAATTACGTAAAAAACTCACAAAATTAAAATGTCTATAAATAACTCAAAAATTGCTAAAACGTTTTGCAAATTTTAACAGGTCTATAAAAGGTAGATATAAGTTTTATGTCCAAATTATCCACGAATATTTTTAACTTAATCACGATAAAAGAAAAAAAATTGAAAATAATATATTTCGTAAATTTTTCCTTTTTTCTTACATTTTTATGTTTTTTCCTAATTATTATGAAAACCAGTAAAAAAATCAAAAAAATTACAAAAAGTTGATTTCAGATAAAATCATTTACATCATTATACAACCAATATAATATAAGATCACGGTTACCTATCTACCTGAGTATAACGTCTGTTTCTGACAACTTTTAATCACAACAATAGTTTTTTATTTAATCGTTTTTAAATTTATTTTATGGATACTCATTGTACAGTGTGTTTCATTCAAGTGGTACTAAAGTTATACATTTAAGGCCAATTTTCAAATCTTAAACGACTCAGTTGAACATTTTAATTTTTAAATACGTTCTAAATCAGAAATGCCTATACTTTAAGCGTCAAATTAAAATAGTACTATTTTTTTCTTTTTAAAACAACTTTTCAAGCAGCAATCAACGCAAATTTTTCGATCTCGAAAATTACCAAAAATACTTAATAATTAATTGTTAACTGCAATTACAAATTTTCAAATAATTTATAAATGTATATTATGTTTATATGAATGTATAATTTTATGATCATTTCAAATTGTTTTCCCCAAAAAACAACAGTTAAATTTCTTCGCATTTGACGGGTTTTAGGTAAACGGTAGAAAAATGATATATTTTACTTTTTTAATTAACTTAAGACGGTATCTCGGGCAACTTTTGTGATAATGAAAATAATTTGTTGTAGTACAATATTACGTAGAAGATGCTTAAAAAAATAGCACAATTTGGATCTGACTACGCTTGAAACACGGGTATATTTATGGAAATGTCCGTTTTACGAGGGTTGACGTTTTGAAAACCGGCCGAGAATGTGTACTTACGAATAGATATAATACGAGTGGCCCCCGACCGTCCGAAAAAAATCCCATTTCAATCCGGGCCCAAAAACATTAATACCGGTATAAAACCCGCACTTACCTATTTTATTATTCTATGTATGTGTATATGTATGTATATATTTATATATGCACTATATAAACATGTATGGCTGGATCTATCGTCCGCGCGTACTGGTTTTCGCGGTGTCGCACCGCGGCGCTGATGTACTAAATATATTATACAAATATCGCAAAACTCTCTCGGGCGTGCACCGGCGCGGTAGTCGTTCCCCTGTATTCACATTAACGGACAACAATAAATAATCAAGCAATTACAAAACACATGGTATTAATACGTTACATAAAAGTAACCGCGGTACTAACTTGGTGTATGTTTTATTATTATTATTATTATTATTATTTTTTTTTTTTTTATCGTAAATTTTAAAACAATATGCAATGTCGAACTGCCGAAACGGGCCGCCACGTACGAAACAATATGATATATATTATATACGACCGAACCAGTATATTATTGTAGACGCGTTATGAAAATGCGAATATAATACGGTATTGTTATTACCTACTAAAACTGTACGCGCACGTCTATAATGGCAATTTTTTCTGGACTCATCATTCGTCAGTTCATCGCCGCAATACACAGCAACATTATTACAATATCGAGCCGGAACTAACGGTTCGTATCATCGCTATTCAATGCAGCGATCCTACTCCAGACGAATTCGGTACACTATGATATTATTACTATTATTAATACGATTTAAACAATTATCTAAATTGTCAATTTCGTAATTAAAATATTAAAATTAAATTAACGAGTCAACAGTAACAGTATTCTATGCCATACCCATACGTGCGCAAGCGATCGAATTAAATATCATACATGTATATTATAGAAAAATAAACACCAGTACGCACGTAAAATCACAACGACCGATCTTGATTTTTACAATAAAAAAAAATGTTTAAATTATGACTCGATTCGAAAAGAAGAAGAAAAAACCTTTGTTCAAATGTGTCCCAACGGCGACCATTCGCGCAGTGAACTGTTCAATAATCGCACGAACGTTTTTACGCCGATTAATGAAAACACAGATAAAATACAGTTAAAAAGTGAGGAAGGTATACTATATTTAAAAATAATATAATTTGTCGGTTATCTACTTAATGAGCTTAAATAATGTCTCGGTTACAGTTTAACAATTTTCAAAACAAAATAATAATAATAATAATTACAATGAAAACTCTATTAATACTGTGATAAAAAGACTAGGTACTACTGGTCAGTGGATATAATATCCATATATATACATTATAAATATATAATATTATACGTGAGTGTACCGACCTGTATACTGCAGCAATATTTATTACCATTAATAATTACTATTCTAATAAATTCGATTCGATTATCGTGCATAATGAAATCTACACCCGGTGCTAAAAAAGCCGATGAGCCGACGGAATCATAGCGCACCTCTCGCACCCCCCTTAGGCACGGTCCTGGTCTTGTTGTATACAGAATGATTTTTTTTTTTTTTTTATTTCGTTCCAACAATCGAAGATTATGAGTAAAATCGATTTTGGTTTTTTTTTTTAAGTAATTATACAAAATCGTTTATGTAAGCTTTATTTTAACACTAATTTCAAGTATTCATCCCAACTTCTTATTATATCTTAAATTTGTACTAGTTTTTTTTTCAAATGGCAACCCTCCCCCTCAGGGGTCCCTCGGAAAATATCAAAGGGATTACCCTTTGATATTTTGTATAAATATTTGACTATAAACTCATATATAGTTTTGAACTTAAATGTTTCAAAAATATTCTCTTTTTGAATTTGGTTTGGAAAGGAGTAGGGTACCATTTCAAAATGAAAATGTTTATATGTGTTTAAATGATGTACGGAATAAAAGTAAAATTTAAAAAAAAATTTAAATGATATTATCAATATAAAGTAACTAAAAAAAAAAATTTAACCAAAATCTCTATACAGGGTGTCCTACAATGTTATCCTTATGCAAATAACTTTGTCAACATTAATTTTATTTTCAATCGAGTTTTGTGCGAGTGGGACACATATTTAGAGAAAATTACATTTTTTTTCGTCTCTTAATTATTGGAAAAAATGGCTTTTTATTTTATTAATTTAAAATTTTCAACATACAAGTAGTCATTTTGTAAAATATATTATTCAAAATAGAACAACACATTACTTAATAAGGAATCACAATCAGCATAGTAATTCCTTAAATTCTATTGAATATTAATTGTTTTTACACAAATTTTCTAGAAATTAAAACGGCTAATATTTAGTAAGAGATCGTGTATGAATGTATGTCTAGAAAATATTTAAAATGTTAGAATATCTTTTACAGAATAGCTATTTTAAAATTTCGAAAAATGATATAATAAAAACTTATTTAGTAATTCTCTAAAAATGTACCCCCTTGCACAAAACCCGATTGAAAAAAAAATCAATATTGACAGAGTTATTAGAATAAGAATCAAGTGGTAGGATACTCTGTATACAGAGCGATTTTTTTTTTTTTTTTTTTGAATCATTATTCAGTGATTATTTACGAAGATTTTTATTACAATTGATGTTTTTTTTTTAAATACTATGCATACAAAATCGTTTATTGACAATATCATTAACAATAATAGCATAAGGATAAAACTGTAGGACAATCTGTATAATTACTAATTACCGCGAAGAAACCACGGGATCGTACTCACATTTATAATAACATCAACAATAGTCGAATTTTAGATTTTATTATCAAACAATTTTGTTTAATGAATTACTATTAACCCCCCCCCCCGCCTCGAAAATAAAAAAAATATATGTATTTTCATCTCAAACACGCTCAATAATACGAATTCCACTCATAGGAACTATTATTCGATTTCTAGCCAAAAACTTGCAGTATTACTGAGAGCAATAACACTGATCTAATTGACAATATTATTATTATTGTGTTTTGCGAAATATATTATTAAAACAATACCATACTAGTTAGTTAATATACCTATAAATATTATAATGTAATTGGATGTTACACCCGTTTACACAATCTCGGTTAGTATAGTACCTACAGGATGATGAACTCGATATGATGGGGACTAGGGCCAAACTGTAATAAATTCAAGCGTAGAGTATTATTTTTAATGACATCGCATCGTGATACGACTTTTCGTTTGTGAATTTGTGATATTATATTATATTTATTAAAATTAAATCGACTAGTACCCGAAGATGACCCCTAAATTCAAATGAATAATGTACATTCATGACACAGATATGAATTTAATTGCATTGGAAAATATGTTAAACGCAGGCGCATTAATTATTATTATTTTTGTAATATCATACAGAAACTAAACTATTGAGAGCACAATGAAATTATTATACAATATATATATAAATAAATAAATACAGATTGATACCTATGATAGAGGTGAGCAAAAGTGCAAAACAGATAGATTTTTTTTTATTTAACTCCAACGTCTGCAACGGTCATAATTAGACAATGCATTTATAATCATTAAGCACATAATGCACTATAAAATATATGAAAACATGAAGTACAATGTTCAGTAAAAATTATGTAACACGTAGGTATACAGTAAAAAAAGTTGTCACTCTGGTGATGTTTTTTCATTGTGATGCATAATTATCATTGAAATATACATATTCTTATTAATATGACTTCTAATTATAATGATTCGTAATCGTATACATTATTAACGGAAATCTAAAATTATGAAAAGCAAGAAATATTCACATATAAATCCATGCTCTGGTCATACATAATATTCTTAGTAGTATTCTATGTAGTATACTTATTTCGCATAGTTCAATTTTTGGTTTTTGATTTTAAATAAAACAAGTTATTATGTCTAGTTTACGAGTCTACTAAAGACTTTATTTCATAGGTAGTTGTAAAAAACAACAGTAATCAGCAGAGCCCGTCACTATAAATTTGATTCTCTCTCCCCTATTTGGTATTATAGAATTAATATTCTTTGCAAAACAATAAATATCCCAATATTATATGACTCATACTATTTAAAAAAAAAAAAACTATTGAAAGGTAGATTCAATTCTCTTAAAGAACGTCATTGATACTAATAACATGGGTATACATTATACACTTTTCATCCCCGTCGCTTCATTTGGAGGGTTCAAAGCTCAAAAACTCATACCTCTCAGGAGATCATATTGAAATTCAACACGAATTTGATAACTTCAATCTGTCTATAAAGCATTTCTAATTCCTGAGTTCAACTTCAGTCCAGAAGGAACTTTTAAAAGTGTTCAAAAGTACCGGAAAAATTATATAAGTAGGTACACCAATGCAGAGTGATCAATCTATAGTAAGACACTCACTATTTGGGAAAATATTAACTTTTTTTGTAATACGTTTTTTAGAAAATCAAAGAAACAAGCAGCTCTAAAATAGGTCGGGGGAGAGTAGTTACAATTTCTCTCCCAGGCCCAGACTTAAAAGTAGAATATCTCGTCAACGGATTGACGGAAATCAAAAAAGGCAATACTAAAATTGATTTCAACTAAAACTCCAAAACGCTTGAAAATCAAAAGTAAATATTGGTTTTACCCTCAAAAAAAAAGAGTGATAATAAAATGACATAAATGTAAAATTTTAAAGCTGCTATTATTTCTTAAATGTTCTACAAAACAAATTCCGAGATTATGAGTATTTTATAATAGAGTGAAAAGATGAGATCACTCTGTATATATATATATATATTAGAACTAAACAGACACAATGCAGTGTGTTACGAACTCTGTCCTTCACTATAAAATAAAATAAATTAACAAGTGTAACGTCCTAATATAAGTAAAACAAGACAAGTTGATCGTCCAATTAAGTTAAAACACGTAAGGGTCGTTGAGGTGAGGACGACCATATAGTTTCTCAAAAGCGTTCCCATGCTTCCCTGACTTATTAATGAGCCATGTGTCCATGTAGAAACTGTGTCTGGATTGGCTCGACGCACCCGACATACAGTAGATGCAACGTCCACCACATCTACATCGGGCGACCAAGGCAAGGACTAGATATAAGTGGTCCAAGCCAGATTTTAGGAAAGAGAAGTTGACCAAAACACTAAGAATTGAAAGGACAAATAAAATTAGGAACAGCTCCAGTACAGCAACACCAGCCCGTTTCGTCATTTCATACTCAATAATACCGCGAGAAGTTTTGATCTGGATTTCAAGGACGGTCCCAGAGACATATTTGGAGAGTGAGGGGCTAAGCCATAATTTGTATAAAACTTTAATAACAGAAAAAAATAATAATGTTTACCACACTACACATCCATAAGACATAATTCTTATAGTCTATATTCAGTCATCCATCATGAACGATGCCAGGTTTTAACTTTTCTAAGTATGGAGAAACTCCTTTCGGTAGAGGCAATAGTGGGACACCTACTATTAAAACTGTTAATAATACTTGTATAGATTTTCTAATGGCTAGAAACATATTTTCATAACAGTGGGTATATTATTATTATTGATATGTATATTATTACAGTTTATTTATACCAATTATACTTCATAGTACAAATAGTAGGAGTATACCCCTAACTAAAAACTTGTAAGTATCTATTTTAGCCGATAGTATAATACGTTCTTTTTTTTTTTTAACAATATACAATTTTTTTGAAATATGGGCTTGAAGAAGAGGACCGAAACCTCTAGTTCCCCTTTTATAGCCGTCCCTACCGGGTTTGGTGGCAGTTTTATGTCAATAAATATTTTTGTTCACACTGTTTTATACAATATTTTAGATTTTATTTTAGATTCTTTAGATTATATTTTAATATATTATATTTATTTTAGCAAACAATTATTTTAGAAGTTTAAAATTGTTCACTCAAAGGCTGTTTGCCCAATCAGCGCGCGACAAATTCAATAAGCACTATTTTCCGCGAAAATTCTACAAAAAATGTTGTTTCTTAAAATGTACGAAATCAATATCCGTTTCATGAAGTGGACAAAATTGATCACCAACATCATACAAAAGCCTGTATTATACAGCCTGTTATCATTTCCGCCAAAATTAAAACGGTTAATTAAAAGATAAGTGAACGATTTCACTAAATGGATACGACTTGCATATTTTAATTCATGATAATTATTTTTTCATATTGTCATTAAAACAATATTTATGTAAAACAATAAATACTTATTTGTAAACGTAGCCGTATGCATTTTTACGCAAACAAATATATATTAAAGTATTTTCGTTATTTTGCGATATTAAGGAGACGATTGATGGAAATTAGAAAATGTCGAGAAAACTATAGAGTTAAAAAAAAAAGCCGCCAAGCTACTGATAACATAGACAATTATATCTGTTACATCTGTGAAGAGCTTCTCCGATATTATGTAAGAAACTATTGTAGATGGGAAGTTAGAAAGGTATAAGATATTGTAATTGAAAATCGATTCTGAACAGAGCTCGGTAAGCTAACTAGGTTTTAATGCTAGTCTTATTTTTTTTCCTATTGTAGCCGAGATAACCTAGAAATCTATAACATTAAATAATCGATGTATCGTCCTTATTTGACAGGTTTTTTTTTAATTTTTAAGAAAATCTGTAGAAAATCTAATAAAATATTTTCAAATAAAGCATCACCGGTGGAAGTTTCGTATTTTATAAGATATGGAATGAAAAAATCGGAAAAATGTTAGTAACCAAATAATTGTATTTCGAGAGAAAAACATGCACTCAGTAAAACTAATAACTTCTTCGCTTATACGATCAGAATCTAAGAATTAGAGTGTTTCAATGTCAGTAAAAACACGTGGTGGAAATTATTTCGACCGTGTGACGATTATTTTTTTATAAAATATTATAATATGCGATAATAATATAATTGTTAATTCGTACCGAACATATTGTGTAATTAATTATTGTTCTCCCAATCGTCTGGATCGACATAATAACATAGGTAATACGATTCGTAGTCTGACTATCCATACGTGGTCGCGTGATATTATCATTACGTATAAAAAATAAGAAATTATTAAACTATTAACGGACGCGTTTTAAAACAATTATAACTTATAATCTAATAATATGCAATATGACGAGCTCAATGCCATTGTCACGGGAATGGAAATATTTTTAAGGGTATTGATGAATGAGTATATTTAGTTGATTTTGTCCTAAAATCCAGACAAAACTGTAGGTATTATATTAGACTGATTTTAATTTTGAAAACGGATCATAATTCTTCAAAGAAATTTAATTTTTTTTTTAAATAAAAATCGTAAAAATATTGATTGTATCTTTGAAAATGGTTAACAATTTATACCTTATACCTTTTCCACGTAATAAAAATAATTAAAATTTAAAAAAATAACTCCAACATATCCTAGTTAAGAACCTAAGGAATCAATACATTTTTAAAATTTAAATTCGTCAAACACTATTCCTATATTTGTGTTTGCCATTTCGGTCTTAAACATAGTGTTTATCCATAAAAACGGTCATATACCTTTTTCTTAAATAGTTATCGGTCAGTAAATTAGTGGAAAAAGGCTTATCAATATGGTGTCCGTGAAAATGTAAAAAAAATTTTTTAAATTTTACAAAATTGGAGAAAATTTGAAAAACTGTCGCAAGTGTTACTAAAATCCGTAATTGTAAATATATAGCAGTCTAATAACTATCGTGACGTAAACCTAAAAAAAACACTCATACGAATTAAAATATTATTACATACCTATATGACGTTTATAATATATTATTGATTTATTTTTTTTTTAGACCATTTTTGACTTAATCGAAACTCACAAACTTATGACTTTTAAATTTGTAGAGAAAGGGAGCGAGGGGGCCTTTTAAACCATCTTGCTCAACATAATATTATCTTTCTCAGTTCTTACCATCTCTTACCAATCTATACTTCAAATTTACAATTCTGAGACGTCTGAAAAGTCCTTCTTATTGATGTCTACCCAACAAAGAGATAAGCTGCCAAATAAGAGTCATAAAATTACAGCGTATACAATATACTACATTAAAATATGTAAAAAAATAAACGCAAATCAGAGGCTTAACTATAGAAGAAAAATTTTGTATAGATTTGGATAGTTCCTGCAAGACAACATTAACTTAAATATTGTCTAAACATCATCGCGTATGCCGATCTATTTTACAATAGTTCTCTTATCTTACGTATAAATTATGGTATATATTATTATTGATACATAAATGAAAAATAAAAAAATAACAAAATGTTAGTAATATTATTTTTCTTAATTAATTTACAAAATACCGAGTACGGAATAAGTCCGGGTCTACCAGGACTGTATTCGTAAATATCTGAAAAAAATGTCATCACTTTGTTTAAATTACTCCACCAGTAATAAATTACTTTAGAAAGTAAATAAGTAGTATTTTATAAGTAAATATGATTAATTCTATAAATATAAATAATTAGTTTATTATTCATAATTAATGAGTGGTGCTTCTAAAAATATTCTTAATCTGTTAAAGGTACAACAAAATAGTATAATTCGTAATGTTTAAAGAAGGACGATCCGACTAGATATAATTATTCAAATTATAATGAATTTAACGAGCTTCCGTTTGAATTACTTTACATAAAAAACGCAATAACGTTTGTGTATAAAAAGTTTAGGTTTTTCTTTATTAAACAGAATGATAAGCCCATAAGGGAAGAACGATTATTTAATATCAAAGTGTTATACTCTAAACTAAGTTTTAGTCAAAAGATTATTAATTATCTGGGTCTTGTTAATTTTAACTATTTGCCAATTAACATTAAAAAAAATATTATTAATGACAATTCTAATAGTCTAATATTACAAACTGTATCAATGATATTTTGTTAAATGAGATAAGTCTATGTTAATAATTTGGTATTACAAAGTCTATTTTCAAAATTTATTTGTTAATTTATTTATTTATTATGTTGTGTAATTTAATTTAATCATGTATACTATAACTTCCTACATTACCATAAGCTTAGTTGATGGGTATAGACAATTTTTGTTCCTTCTCTTAATACTTTGGTGTGGACACGTTTTTTCCTGTAAACTTTCTCCCTTTTTTTACGTGTAGCAACTTATCTGAAAGCTGAAGTTGTCTATATTGTACTTTAAAAAGGTCATTTTTTGATTTTCGGCGCTATTTTTTAAATAAAAGTATTTAAGTGGGAAAAAACGTAGGAAAACGTACAATTTCAAGATTTCATTATTTTATAAAAACACGGACGACGTTTTCTACCAGGAAAAAATGATTTCATTGAAAAATCATAAGATCAATTTTTTGATGCCTTTTTGATTTACTTTCTTAGGGTATCATTGCCAAACATATTATTTAATACAAAACATATTATTAAACACATTATATAAAAAAAAATTAAGTAATAAGCACTTTTCATTTTACGGTTACATAAATACACCGATATAAAAATTATTCGTTCCCACGAACCTCACAGAAATATNCAGGAAAAAATGATTTCATTGAAAAATCATAAGATCAATTTTTTGATGCCTTTTTGATTTACTTTCTTAGGGTATCATTGCCAAACATATTATTTAATACAAAACATATTATTAAACACATTATATAAAAAAAAATTAAGTAATAAGCACTTTTCATTTTACGGTTACATAAATACACCGATATAAAAATTATTCGTTCCCACGAACCTCACAGAAATATACTGAGTGACAAATACGAAACGATTATTTAGGACAGCAATTACTACGACTTAACCAATTTTTCAACCTCCCTGCCAAGTATCACTAACTCAAAGAAAAAAATTAAAACTTTTATTAAACAAAATGATACCTTATGATACAGCTAAGCCTAGAAGTTATACTACTCCAATATTCTTAATACTTAAAAAAGAAATAGGAGAAATTCGACTTTCAGTGGATTACTTGAAGTTAAATAATGAAAAAATTAGTGATAACCATCCTATACCGAAGTCACAATACTTGTTTAGGAGACAGGTGCAAAATATTACTCAACAATCGACATGGCCCAAGGTTATTTCCAGCTACCAATAAAGGTTGAAAATAGATACAAAACTACTTTTATAACAAATTACGGACTAATCATTTTAAACGAATTCCTTAAGGGTTTAAAAATTCAGGACATACCAGGACAGTTGCAGCGAGAATCGAAATAACACTTTTTTTTTAAAGCGCGATAATTTTAGCACCGCTTTTAGTACACTTTGAAGACGAATGTCCAGTCTTTATTACGACCGAAACATCAATAGAAGGACTTACAGGCATTTTAGAATAGGAAAACCCCAGTCCCCAACGGAAAATAACATTCAGTTGCATTTACGTCTACGAAACTTAATGGTGAGGATAAAAATTGCCAAACAACAGCGCTAGAAATGTCAACTGTAATCTGTTAACTTAATTATTTTAAAAATATCTTATAGATAGAAAAGTGACCGTATTTAGCGATTTCTTAAACTTGCAATACTATAAGACAATACAATTCCATAATCTCGAATAACTAAATTTATCATCAATTTATTGGAATTTGATTTAGATAGTAAACATAAACTAGGTACATGGAATTTAGCTGCAGGCTGTTTATCTCGATAACCAGTAGAAAATATTGGAACACTCATTACCGAATTAAAAAATTAAAAAACGATGATCCGACACTCACTACCGATATTAAATGAAATATAATTATTAGACGAATTGTGTAATGGCATTATTAACGCAATAAAATCAAAAATGAATTTAACAATAAATTTAAAATCAAAAACAAACAATTTTGCACGACGGGTAAACCATTGTTGTAGGTGAGAAGTTGAGAAAGCGGAAGGAAAATTCAATGTATATCGGTACACAAAGATTAATCATTGCTAAAGAACGACAAACGATTTTGAGCGGAGTTCGGTTAAACATGTTTTGAAAGGCCGTAATATTTACGATTTGAAAATAAAAAATTTCGTACATTACCCCGTTTTTCCCATTTAACAGAAAAACTCCTGAGAAAAACAAAAAATGAACTCCTTAAAATACTACACCAGTCTAATTTCCTTTCAGAAAAAATACTACACTTGAAAATCGGAACAAAATTTTAATAGAAAAATTGTTCATAAAAAAAAAAAATTAAAATAAACATCATTGTAAAACTAATACATTCCTCGATCCGCTTAGAATCTAAAATAAATGTTTTTACATTGGCTACTTTATTTTTACTGAGTAGTCATATGTGATGAATAGGTAATTTTTTTAGAGGGAGGGGAATAATTTATTTGAAACCCTTTTTATCTACAATTTTTTATTAACAAATGTGGATGAAAGAAATTTTGAAGATTTTTGAATATTTTGACTCCATGGTTTTCCTGAAAGTTTGATTGAATTAAGTTAGAGGCTTCGTGGTTCTTCCCTCTTTAACCGCTGTATATTTTCTCAACTTAAGAATCTAAAGAAAATAAACGTAGTTACGATTATATTTAAATATCTAGCTATTATTTATTTTTAATAAATATAATATATTACTTCTAATTTGATTTGTGCTTCAAAATAATAAAAATAAAATATGCCATACACTCTAAGAGTATGAAATACATTTCAATTACATAATTAAAGTAAATAACTATATACTAAACAATTATATATATTTAAATACAAGATATAGTAATATATTTGTCTAAAATATTCGTACGGTAACAATTTATTAATACGCTTTTTTTTGAAACTAAAAAAGTGAGAAATATGACTTATTGATTTATGTTAGAGGTTTCTTTTGCATCTTAAACGATTGATTCATTTGGAGATCCTTCAGCAATATCCATTTTTCTGTAGCTCTGCACAAATATTAAAAACAATTAAAATAAAGAAATTGAAAAAAAATATGCATAAACATCTAAGAGGTTCAGCAGTATATACCTCTTCAGCAATATTGAGTAACACATCAGCTGTAGCCCGTCCTGTTTGTTCCACCATTTTGTACAAATATCCATTTTTATTTTTCAACAACTTATACGGATGGTCGTATTCAACCATTTTACCGCCATCCATGACCAGCACTTTGTCAGAATCCATAACAGTATTCAAACGGTGGGCAATCGTTAAAACTGTACAATTTTTAAATTTTTTCTTAATAGTATTCTGAATTAACGCATCAGTTCTGAACATAAATAAAACAAAAATAATCTCATTGATTTGTTTTTCGTTAATTAAAAAATAAGTATAATTATCTAACTGTGAATCAACATTAGCGGTAGCTTCATCAAGTATAAGAATTTTGTTACTTTTCAATACAGCTCTGGCCAAACACACCAGTTGTCTCTGGCCGACACTGAAATTAGAACCCCCTTCGGACATTTTTGAGTTCAGACCATTAGGTAAATCCTCTACAATTTCTTTGAGTTGTACCTAAATAAAAGGTATTATATTGATAATAAATTTAATTTAACAAATATTTGTATTAAGTAGCACATAATATATTAATTTAAAAAAAAGATTAAAGGAAAAAATGTAAATACGTCGTTTAAAGCGTTCCAAAGATCATGATCGTCATATTCATTGAAAGGATCTAGATTTTTTCGCATTGTCCCAGAAAATAAAACTGGTTCTTGAGGAATAATAGAAAGTTTGGAACGTAAATCGTGTAACCCCAACTCGTGTATTTCTATATCGTCAATGATGATATTACCCTTGTTCAGGGCTAATCTAAATAATGCGCTGATTAAGGACGATTTTCCTGCACCAGTTCTGCCAACAATCCCAATCTTTTTATGTAAATAATAAAAATTATAAGTAAATGATCGAAACACAATTAATATTTCTTTTAGATTACCTTTTCGGTTGACTGAATTCTAATATTGAGATTTTTTAGAACTTCAGGTGCGTCCGGACTATATTGTAAATAAAATTGTTGGAAAACAATTTTTCCTTCACTTGGCCATTCTTTTGGTGGTTTTTTCTCTAGACAAATTTATTTAATGATTATTTCTATTTAAGTTCCCTAATGCATGTGTGTTCACGCTATAATGTATTAATATGAAATTAACCTAACCTCGTACTGTGTATACAACACATGTATTATTTGTGAGTACAGTACGCAATGGCGTATTTTTGGTTTTTTTTTGGGGGGGGGGAGTGTCCTGACTCCTAGCAATACTTTTTTCACAAATATTAACATCATTAGCTTCATCACGAATTCATACCTGAATATAATACACCTTAAAACCTTTAAGTGGTAAACAAATTTTAGGATTGCTACTTAAATATTTGATTAAAATAAAATTATGATAGGAATAAAGTATAAACGATTTGACTGAATAAATTAAAACTAATTTAACACTTAAATTTACTAAGTTATTTCCCAAATTAGTTTAATTAATTTTGTATATTCGTATATTCATAATGTATTCGTGTAATACACATAAATTGGGGGTTAACCCCCAATACCCCCCCACTTAATATGCTACTGGTAGCACGTACCTTTTTCATATATTCACGTATTTTAGTTCATAATATTATGGAATCCATGAAATGTATCTATTTAGTGAAAATGACGTTTTTCTACACTATATGGACAATTTTTTGACTTTTTCATGAAATGGATAAATCATCAAATTATCATTTTATTTTCAAAATTATTATACATAGTCACTACATGCAAGATTATTCTTCTTATCCATTTGAATCTAAAAGCCTATATAAATCATCAAGGTGCACCTGTTTTAAACAAAAAGTGTTATGTAATAGTCATTGCCATAGCTCTCAACAAAATCTAAATAAATAATAAAATATAAAATATAGTTTAAGACAATTTATTTTATTACCCATTATTTCTTTATACTTTAAATAACTGAACATTTTAATGAATTAAGTTGTCATACATTGTTTCATTTTATAATAAATTATAAAATTAAATTAATATAAACTGTTTCATATATTAAAAAAAATAAACGGACATATTTCGTACGTGGGTGCAGCTACTGTTACAGGTGAGAAGTTGGGAAGATAGGATATAGACGGGAATTTAATGTATAACTATAAGCAACGATAAACCACTGTTAACGAAAAATTAATTCTAAGCGGAGTTCAGTTAATCGTGTTACTTTGTCAACAATACAATGTATGGTATGTGTCATAATATGGTAAAATAATTACAACAATGTGCGTTTCCACAACAACAATGATTGTTTAAAAAAGATAAATTATAAAACTTAATAATAACAAAAAATAAATAAAATTGGTTGCCAATAACGACTTTATTTTTAATATTTCAATATTTTTTAGCCTAAAGGCTGAGATTTTCCTCATTATCTCAAATATTAAAAAGAATTTCAAAAAAAAAATACCTCTTTAAAGTACCATCCAGAGAACATTTTCTTTCAGAAAAGGTGCTATACTTAATAATCGGAATATAATTTCTGGTAGTAAAAGTGTTCACATAAGAAAATTAAGCATCATTGTACAACCAATACATTCCTCTCAGATTCTAAAAATAAATATATATAAATATTGCACAATGTGCATATTTTATCAACTCATGAAAAAGTTAAAACATTGTCCATATAGTTTAGTAAAACGTAATTTTCACTAATTGGATACATTTCATAAAGTGGACACCCACTTACTGAAAATAGGGATTTCACTAAGTGGCTGCGACATATATACGTTAAAAACACTAAAACACGTAAACACGGAAAGTAAATTCACGTGTTTTATGCATACGTGAATAGTGGATAGGTACGCATTAATTCACATTTTCAATAAGGATATCTAACAATTAAATAATAATCTAAAAACACTGTTCCATGGATGTTTCACATTGTCAGATTATTATTTGAATAATGATTATTAGGCTTAGGGAAATCTAGCTTTAAAAACTTACAAATATGCTTTAGAAAATAATCAAATGTGCATTAAAATATGCTCTAAAAAATGTTTTGTTACCTATTCAAATTGTATACAGTAGTGATATTTACATGAAAACTTTGTTCCTGGTTGAATAATTAACTTTTTTATGATAGTTTATTCGACTATGCTATCGTATACTAGTGCGTATAAATTTTAACAATATAAATTGAAAAGGCGTGTATAATAAGTGGAATACAATAAGATATGATATGAGTGTGTCGTTTTATAGCACTTAAAAGCTACATATTGCTAAAATATGCTCAAAAAAGTGAAAATTGTTAAATGTGCAAATGTATGCAAAATAAAATTGAGGATTTAGATTATTTACTCAATGAACAGTATTTGTGTATAATTCAAAAATAATATGGAAATGCTAGAAGTCGTTATAATGATTATTAGGTACTTATTTTTATGGTTTAATTTGTAACTTTCTGTTTGGACATATTTGACAATTATTGTGGTCGAACAATGATAATTATATAATTCATCCATACTGTTGACTCACATTTCAAAAATATATACGACTTTGTAAAATCGCAATTAACAATAATTAAATTTAATAGTACTTATGTATTGTATATCGTTATAAGGTTATAATGGGTGGACCATTATAATTATTAAATGAAACCATTTTAACAAATAAAACTAATAATACGTGTAGATACAAGTAAGTCAAGAGAGGAAATTATTATTCAAGACCATACGCGATATGATTTTAATATCATGTACCTAGTTGTTGTACTTATATAATCGAAATATAATAATACAACCATTTACATAAAGATCATACAAATATAATATGTACCTATTATTATGGTATAAACATTGACTACATAATAATTCTATAATCAATTTATTAATACTGATTAGTGTAATTTAACATTATCATTACAAAGTGACGTACTCTTGGGTTTACTGAATTGTTAATATTTTATTAGTGAATACAATTTGAAATCACAATTATGTTCTGGTTACTTAAAATTTTGATGCAATTTACGTTAAAGATTAGTCAAAAAAAAAATATTTCAATTTGATTCAATTTTTTACTCATTTAAACTATAAGTTACATTTTAAAATAACTATTGTATTAAATCGATTAAAAGTCATAATATACCGTAAATGCAATTGAAACAAAATAATACAAATTATCACACTTACAAAATTAATAATTCTATAAAATTATTGAATGGTTTTTTTTTTATTATTATTATGTTCTGTATCAGTACGTATACCGTAGTAAAAAGTGTCATGGCAAATAACCATGTTACGTAAAATAAAAATGTTTATTTCATAAATGTACAAAATGATTAATCAATTGGTATCCGTTTCGTAAGAGTGAACAAATAATCCGTGTAAAAAAATGTATTGTTCACGATTGTTCAATTTCCATAACATATAGACATATGCTTCATGATTAAAATATGTAGATATTGAAGATGTGATATTGTGACATACTGCCACTCAAATAATGTTCGAGTAGGGGAGGTTAGGTTAAAAGTGGAATACGTCGTCATTTGAATTTGACAACTTTTTTTTTGTGTTGTAACATGCCCATACAATATATATTGTTTGACTTATAACACTACCTATGCATATAATGTCCAATTGGATTTTATAATTTATTTCTTATAGCTAGTCCAATAAATGGAACTTTACCACATACCTAGATAATATTTTTCCCGTGAATATTAATATCTTTTGGAATCAAGGGTGCTAAGGAGACGGTCTCCTCAACACCCGTATTTAATATGTCGTATTATGTTAAAATGAGGGGGATAAATTTTTTTTTTTAAGGCATACAAATGGATAAAAATCTGGTGTATAATAGTCGATGGGACGATTTACGGGTGCCAGGGACACGGAACAAGGAAGCGGTATGTCTCTTTTGATAAATATTTATCAAAAAACATGTATTATCAATTTAGATATAAATTTATAATCAATGATGTATATATTTGTATAAAATATCAGTAATATTATTGTTCAGTCAAATATTATCATTTCTATATTTTTTGCATTGCACTTTTGCCCTGTGTGACAATAAGATAAGTACCTACCTAATTTAACTATAATTTAAACACCATAATATTTATTTACGAAAGTAAACAACAATTCTCTAAAACATACAACAAATCTAAAATAAATGGCCAAGTACATATGAATAGTGATAAAATATACATAAAATAAAATAAATAAATAAAATACAAAATCGTATCCTGCAAGAGTATTATTGGTTAGTTTTGTTTTATTTTTTTTTATTGTGAATACTAGGTAATTATTTTAAAATTGGCAAGAGACAATAATTATATTTTAAGTCTCATTGTCTCTCTTTTATTTTTTCAACTCGAGTACTCCATATTATTAACCTAACACATTATTTACTTATATATTATTATATTATATAACATGGATAATGTATATTGTATATCTTTTTTGGAATCACCTAAAATAAATGAATAAAATAAAACTATCATAGCCTAACGTAAAAAATATAATATGCCATTCTTTTACTTGAGTAATGAGTTACAAGTTGTAGTTATAAAATAACTGTATAATAATTTTAATTAAACTCAAACCAGCAGAAGAACAACATTTGTATTTGTGGATTTATACTTGTATTAGGTAATAAAAAACAATATATCATTTTACCTGGGGGAGATTCAAGAGCAGCTTCCTGTGGAATATTTGTATATTCAAGAACTCTTTCAACAGATGTCATTTGATTTTCTAATTCAGCTGCTTGTCTTATTCCCCACTGAACTGCGCCAGTCAAATTTATTAACTGAGTTAAAATTAGTCCAACATATCCACCACCTAATTCTGAAATAACAGAATACCATAATAAACAATTTTAAACTTATTTACCTATTAAATTTTAAATCTTACCATTTCTAATAATTATAAAACTATATGTTACAAAGGATAAATAAATAAAGCAGATTATGTCCAATACAAAACCAAATGCTTCACTTGAAGCAATAAACAAAAACCAAACTGAAGAATGTAAATCCTACGAAAAATAATAACACAAAATATAATATTACGATATCCAATTAAATAATTTTGAACAGCTTAAGAATTCTAATATTTTATACCTGATGTTCATCAAATTCTTTAGACAAAATGCCCTCTGCTTCAAATGCTCTTATTGTTGTTAAACCTTGAAGAGATGCATTCATGTGTGCAAAGACAGGACTTCGTGCTATATTTAAACAATATTTTATACAAATAAAATTTCAAATCATCAACGTAATGATAAACTATAAAATTAAAATTAATTGTCGTATTTACAAACTCCTTCCAAACGTTTAATACTTCGAGATGTCGATAAATAAAATACTGTAGTATAATAGTAGAGTACACCTATAATGAATGTCGGTATCATTAGGTATATATTAATTAATCCGATTACAACTAGAGTTCCAATAAGTGACAGAAAAATCTACAATTTAAAAGTTTCAGATACGTATAATTTTTCATCAAATACAATTGTGTATATATTAAGTAATATTGTTTATTACATATACAAAATCCAATAAGGGTACTGATAACGATTCATCTATAGACCCCATGTCTTTAGTAAAGCGATTCAGAATCCGCCCTGAAATAAATATACAGTATAAATAAAATATAGATTATAAGTATAGTAACAACAGATTTTTAAATAAATACCAGAATTATTTGTGTTAAAAAAATACATAGTAGCTCTGGATATGGCACCAAACATATTGTTGTGTAAATTCATAGACGTTTCAGTGAAAAACGATACGAATAAAATCCATCTGATAATAACAATTGCAAGCAAAGCAACATTCAAAACCGTGAAAATTATAATACAATTTTGACGTGATAGCGGTCTCAACAATATATTAGAAAAATCAAACGAAAACCACACTAGTGAAGTAAACGAATCATTGTTCACTGATGTGCTGTTATAAATAATAGTAGATACATTTTGTAAATCGCGAAATCCATGATCTTCTAGTTCTACCCTAAAATAAAAAATATATTATATACATAGTGATCCACTAAGTGTGGTAACCCCATATTTTGGTTAAATTTTGTATGTATTCAAAATCTGACTATTGGAATTTATAAAAGTAGTTAAAGCAGATATTTTCTAAGACTTTGATTTTTAACAGTATTTAAGAAGTATCCTGTGGCAATACCAATTTTGGTTTTTCAAACTATAACCTAATAAAAATAAAACAAAAATAATAAGCACACGGCATTTTAGTGATTCAACTCTCCCCTATCTAAATTTAAAAATGCAATATCTCGTCAACGGGTTGACGGATCAAAAATTTTAACACCAAAATTTATTTAAACTAACACTCTGTCTATTTATGGATTTTTTAGTACAGGTTCTCATTTAAAAAACCAAATCTGGTATCACCTACTCCTTAAATGTTGTGAAAAAACCAAGTATTACAAATTATCGGCTTTAACTACACTTAAAAATTCCAATAGTTTTTATTTTGTTTTTGTATTTGTATTTACCTACACAATTGCTACTTGACATAATTCGGTAAATAAAGTCATATTTTAAATATATGTAAAATTTAACCAAAAAAATGAGATGAACACGCTTGCGTTCGTTATTTGAAGTTCAAAGTAGGTACTTAGTAAAAAACTAGTTCAAACAATTTTTTTAAAAAAAATCATGTAATATTTTCAGATTTTTATTTTGATACTAGATGTCGCGCCACGGGAGCTGAATTTTCCCATTAAAAGTAAAAGTATTTTTATACAAAATTAATAAATAAAAAAAAATTTTGATGGAGTTGTACATGTTTTTGGTTTTGCTTAGTTTTAAATTTGTGATTTTTACAACCCCGTCAAAATAAGTTTTTTTTTTATCGAAGAAGAGTATTTTTTAGTTAATTTCGACCAATTTAGAATTTTTTTTGTTGTATTGAACATAGAGATAAATTTAAATCATAAACATTGTTAAAACATGTCTATATTAAATGGGAAAATTCAACTACTGTAGGATGACATCCAGAGTCAAAATAAAAATTTTAAAAAATTACAGAATTTCTTTAAATTATTTTGAATTAGTTTTGTTTTCAATTAGAAATATGTACAAACATACATGAGCATGTAAACAAAAAATTAATTGTAATTCTATATAAATGATATATTAGGTATATAAAATATACAGAAACAAACATAGATTTGAGTAAAATAATTTAAGAAATAACAATTTTAATTCGACATGTTTCGCTAAAAATCATTTTCAGGTATCACCCAAAAGACAAAGCAATAATAATATACTAAATTGTTATCATCAAATTTTGTATTTTTACAAAAATATATTATACTATTTGTTTCTCGTTTTAAAATTATAAGCTTTCTTTTTAACCAAAATAAAAAGTGTATTAGGTATTATTTTTTTAAGTTTGTATGCGCCAGTGGCCAGCAATAATACTGCAATCTACATATTATTTTGTTGTATAAATAAATATTTTATATTTTATTTATACATTTATTTGAAAATATATGTATAGATACCTAATTTTTAGTTATTATAATTGATAACATAATTCAATTTACAATTTACCAATAACTTATCCAACAATCACCACCAGTACCGAGCATTTGAGCGAGTAGACATATAAATATTAAACATGAAATCTTAACAGCACTTCCACCAGCAGAAATATATGAAAAATAAACATCACGTGAAATATTTCCCGTTGAACAAGTTTCAGATACTTCGACGGGGTTCGTTTCAATTTCACCATGAATTGTACTACCATTGATTGACCGCGAAATACTTTCCATAGAGCCTTTAAAACTTTGTTGAGATGAACTATGAAATACGTCTAAATAAATAACAGACTCATTCTTGTTGCTAGAACCTTTATCTGATGCAACTGTTATTTCTTTTAAAGACTCAAGCATTTTTGTAAAGTCTAAACTAGAAGATTGAAGTTCTTGATATGAACCTTGAGCTAATATGTGTGTCTATAAACAAAATAAATTAAATTGAATACATTATTAAATAAAGTCTAATCAAATTAAATTATTACATTTTCCATCAAAACAATTTGGTCTATACTTGTCAAGTATTGTATTTGATGTGTAATAAGAATACAAGTTTTTTCTTTAAGGTAACCTAAAAAATATAAATATACTGTTAGTTAATTATATATAGATTATTTATTTATAAAATAGATCGAGTACTCCACTCAACAGGAGTTTTTCTTAAGTATTACAATAACGACATTTATATTTAATTTAGATTTTGTTGAGTACTGAACTCGACAAATATATTTTTGTTCTCATAAACTCGAGTACTTAACTTATGAACTCGACTAAACTCGAACAAATCAATACTTGACTATAACTCGATTTCAAAAAACCAAAACTCGCCCAACTATAATAATTTGTTATAATATACCTTTGATACATTTATCAAACAAATGTTGCCCAACAAGTGTATCAACAGCCGATAAAGGATCGTCAAGTAAATAAATATCCGCTTGCTTATATACAGCTCTAAATTTAAAAAATGTATATTAATTTTAAACATAAATGTAAATCAACTAAGTATTATTACAACACTGATACATTGTTATTATATTTGTACTGGTAAAAAATAGCATAAAAAATAAAACTATAACAGTCAATAAATAATAAGGTCACATAAAAACCATGATATGGTTAATTAGATAAACATAGAGTATAGAGAATCTAATACCTATACTTAAACCATGAAATAATAAATGAAAAAAGTTAATTAGAAATAAAAATTAAAAATAAACTCGTATCATTTTGAATTTAATTATTTTAATTTATAGTAATAAATCAAATATAAAATAATATAATATAAATAAAATAATGTATGAACAATAAAAATAAAATAAGACCAACGATCTAACTGATATTTAAACAAATCCAGTGAGTTGGGTAGTTATAAGCTTGGCCCATTAGATGGAATGCAAATATTATGAATACTTAAAAAAATTATCTTACTTACCTTGCTAAGTTAATTCTTGATTTTTGACCACCACTTAGAGACACCCCCCTATCTCCTACAAGGGTTCTATCACCATATGGAAGTTGCATGAAATCTCTGTTTAACGCACATATCTCTACAATCTAATTTGAAAACATGATTACTTACTATTGCTATTGTAAAATGTATAATATTTAAAAATATTTTTACTGTTTTATAACGTTCTGTATCCATTGGGGAACCAAATAAAATATTTTGTTGTATCGAAGCATTGAATAACCACGGTTCTTGCGATGCGTAAGATACAACGCCACGCACAGAAATATTTCCTTGAGATAGTGGTATCTCTTGTAAAATTGCATGTATCAGCGAACTCTGAAAATCATTCGACGGTAGTTCACAATATTATACAGACATTATTTTATTCAGTTCTGTTATACTTTTCCTGCTCCCACGGGTCCAATTATTGCAACCAACCGCCCAGATTTTACAGTTAAATTAATATTATTTAAAGAATTATCTGTGTGGTCGTTTATCCATTTAGCAGATGCATTTGAAATTACTATACCAGTTTCATTTGATTGTTCGATGGTATTTTGATTATCAGTGTTGTTAGTTGCAAAATGTTCGTCTTTTACTGTTGATAACTTCATACCATTAGTTAGTTTGTCTTCTGATTTCTCTGACGGTGCAATCGATTTAACTTTTTCATCAAATAATAAAAAATCCTTGAAACAGATATACACATAATTATATCTATGTATATATATATATATGATTTATAAACAAAAATATTACTGTATTATTACTACTATTTATACAAATTATTTTTTTTATTTTCTGAGTAGAAAATTTTATTTTAAATAGATTTATTTTTTTTATATACCTGAATACGTTTCACAGATATTATTGTCTCAGCATACATCCCAATGGCTGCAGGGAAAAACACTGTCATTGTTGTTAGTAATATATTGTAGTATGAAATAACGATAAATACCTAAAAGATCATTATAATTAAAATTACTTCTTTTAATTTAATTTTTAATGAAACTTTATTCACTTTTTGTGTATCAATGGTGTTTCCTAATAATATATACGCTAAAATACTTATAAATAACGCAAGTCTTGTATGAAATATTTTGAAACAATTTAAAACAACTCTGATATGTGAGGCTGATCTAAGATGTTTAACTTCCATCCTATAATGAATTAAATAAATATTTTATAAAATTCAAAAATTAAAATAAATTCGAACACATACTTTCTTGCATTTTGCACTAGATATGTGAACGGTTTTTCCCAAGTATACATTTTAATCACTTGTATGCCCATAATAATTTCATTCATTAACTTTATTCGACCATCAGTCATCGGTGCTATCTTTAATCGAAATTCAGAAGTTTTTTTTCCCAACCATCCTGAAAATACAATGTGTTAAAAATATAATACAAAATAATTCGATTTAAAATAGTTATTTAAATTATTGGTCACTAATAAATAAGTTTATATGTACCTTATTTTATACATTTCAAGCACTGACCTTGTAATGGAATAATCGCAATCAGTACAGTTACTCCAATTAACGACGATATGCCGATTTCTTTCCACAAAAGATATGTGATAACAATTGTTCCTAGCGGTCCGATCCATATAAAATGAAGAAATCTGCATATCATATCAAATCGATTTACATCGTTTGATAACAAATTGACTACTTGCCCTATCGTGGTTTCACCCAGAGACGTTTTGCTTAATCGTAATGCCTGAATAATAAAAATAAATCCCCAAATTTAATACAAAAAATAGATAGAAAAAAACCAGTGTATATCAAGACCGTGTATTTAAACTAATACTTTAAATTTTAGATTCGGAGCGTAGCGTAATCATTTACTATGGTATGCAATTTACTTTTTTTAATAAAAATATTGCTCCAATAAAATCATATCTATCTAGTACCTTCTCTTTTTAAATATAGGTTGTCATTTGAAAATCAAAATTAGATAGTCGGTTCGTTCCTCCTCAAAAAAGCTTAAAAATAAGGGCAAATGTAACGTTTCAGAATGAGGTACTCGTTTTTTTAAAGTGTAAAAAAAAAATACGAAAACAGTTAATATTTTCCAAGATATTGTAATGATTCGTAGGACAACCTATATAATATAAATTATTGAACTATTATTATTGATTTATTTAATAATTTTGTGAGACATAAATTTAAAAAGAATATTATATTATAAAAACTTAAATTAACCAAGTTTTACTTGAAGCCGTTTTTTGAATGCAATATCAAATTAAATTGTAAGTGTTTATATATAAAGTTAATTTTATATTTTAAAACTTGCTTGCTTTCGTGACGAACAGCATCATAAGAGAATCTCCTTATCACCAAATGAAAATTAAACAAATTCCTATCTATTCACAAACTTATTTTCATTTTACTTTTTTTATCGTGGTTTACCTTCTTAAATATTACTGAACAACAGGCAATTCGTAGCATCATGCCGATCTGCATCATTTCAATTTGAGAATTATGAAACAATAAAATATTAAGCAACATGTTAACCAAGAGACCGGTTGCATACAAGTATGCGTCTCTTATGTTGGTAGTGTTAGATCCGCTAGAGGTAAAATATGTTAATAATCCACCGATGAGTATAGGTTGAAACACTCTGCATAAAATTACATAGGTATATAAGTTAATAACTCTAAACGGTATTTCCTACACATTTTTATCTCAATTAAGATTTCTTTGTAAAATTTATAATCGATGTACGATTATACGAATAGTAGTACGCAATTTATATTTACCTCAGTACCACTTCAACGAACATTTGTATTAATCCACTTTTCACTAACATAAAACCAAACATTTTACATATAACTCTAAGCAGACTGGGCTCTCGATTAGATCTATTTGCATTAACGAGTTCAATTCTCCATCTCCTTTAAAAGAAATTCATGAAATACAATTAGATAAATGTAGTAAAATATATAGGTAACTATTATTATTATTAACATAGATTTACTTTTCTAAATCACTGCCCAATGGCGATGACTCGTGGTCTGTTAGTGTATTGTATACATCGTTTTCTTCTAAATCTCTTTTATATCCAGTTTTGAAGAGTTTTAAAATCCAGCTAATTTAATCATAATATAAGACTACACATATATTTAAAAAAAATTATGAAACTCGTTATACTCGTAAGATATTTCTTACGAGTACAATATTACGAACCTAATACCTATATAATTAATGTTTATAAACTTTGCTTAGGAGTAATATAAAATGGGAACCCAATAGCAAAAGACCACTTATGGGATGTATGGAAGCCAAAGTTAGGAAAAGTCGAATAGAAATTAAAATACAAGATGGAGAATTATTAGCTCAAGATTGAGATAAATTGAAACATGTATATTAAGCCATAATGAATCTAAAAACGACCTTAACAACAGAAAAAAAAGTTGTTCAATTATTACGATCTATTGAATACAAATCGTTGTAAATATTAAAAGAATTAACTGAATATTTAAATTCAATCATTTGATTTTGATATCCTGCAAATTTACCTGAATGTAAGTATTTCTATGCAATTTGCTTTAGCTCTTGGGTTGGGCGGTCGGTTTTCTTTATTATTAGCTTCCATTTTTCACCTTAAACATAATATTATAGTAATAAAACAAAATAAAATAAATTTCAATATTTATTTTAATGCGGCGGATTTGTCAATCCCGACAAAGGATCTCCTAATGAGATATACAGATAAAATGAAAAATAATGTCTTTATCATAATTAGTCCGTGATCCTCAAATGTGTTGTCATCAATGATATATTTTCATTCTACATTACCATTACCATTATAAATTACCCCCATAAATTTAACCCAAATTGCGCCTATAAGTGCGATGCAATACCCGGTTTATTATTTGTCATTATTTTATCTATAATATAATTAAAATTTATATTATTTAAGGTTTATACAAATTTATCCGTGGAATACAAAAAAAAGCAGAAGAAAACAGAAGTTAGCATGGAACGCTTAATAATAACGCCTTATTAACATTTTATTTTTATAACATTTAATTTTATAACAAATTTCAATTTCTCTATGTGTGTTTTTTTATAACTTAATTTTATGAAATTTTATACTTTTATAACATTTAATTTTGATGAAAAATAATTTTTATAACTCATGACTTTTATGAAACTTAAATTTATGATATCCGACCTTATAACACATGACTTTCTAACACTTGACCCAGATTCCTTTACAAGTACGGTTTTCGGATCCAATGTCGATGCGTACATCTCGCTTGCTTACAAGCCAATTTTTGTCTCATGTACGTGCATCGGAATAACGCCGGACCTACAGTTCAGCACCGAAATTTTATTTGACGAAAACCATTTTTTTTTTCACAAAAAGTTTCATATGGTATCATTTTTAAAATAGCCCCGATCTGCTTATAGTATTTTAAAAAACAATGGAAGTATTGTATTCGAAAGACGTATTCATAATATATACATATGTTTTTTTCGGTTTTTTTTTTTTTTGCTACCAACTATAAATACTATAAATAAGGTATATGAATAATAATATTATATATATAAACCATTATATATATACATTATTTTGTTTGTTTCCATTCAGGAACCGTGTTGCTGCACAAACAGGAAAGTGCTTACTGCAGTATAGTCATTGTTGTCTAGCGACGCAATACTGTTTATCGCTATCAGAAAACATTTCAAGGTAGGCAATAAATTTTAAATTTAGGTATCCGCAGTGCATGTAAACGCCGCCTTCGCCGTTAGCATCAAATTTGTTGCCTTCGACTAATGGAATGCCTCAATAAGTTAATATAGAGTACAATATATCTATGTATTATACGTCTATAGAATAATACAAAAATATTTTACGGCAGGAAGTATTTAAATTTCTAACCAATAAATACAAAAATATGTTTAATATCTAAGGTGAAAGCAAATATCAAATTAACGTCACTATTACGTACAAGGTGATCTTAACATAAGACATTCAGAAAATATTAACTTTTTTTGGAATTTGTTTTATAAAACATTTAAGAAATAAGTAGCTCTAAAATTTTACATTACTTTTTGTTTGTAGCCCTTATTTAAAAGGGTGAAACCACTACTTGATTTTTGATTTTCAGATGGCAAACTACATTTTTTTTTTAAATATACCATATAAAATTGGAATATTAGTAAAAATAAATTTTAGTGTACAAATTTCCGATTTCTATCAACCCGTTGATGATGTATTCCACTTTTAAATATGAGTAGGGAGAGAGTGTAGGAACATTATTGAAACACCGCACACCATGTCACACACAAATTGTGCACCATTACTCTCTCCTCACTGTAATTTAAAGTGGAATATCTCGTCAACAGGTTGACGGAAATTAAAAATTTCAAGTGGTTTAAAGTTTCAAGTTTTTATAATTATTGATTTAATATCTAATACTCCATAAATGTATAGAATTTTAAATATAGGCTTATAATATTGCCATTTCAAAATCAAAAGGAAATACTAGATAGTTGTTCATTCCCTAAAATACAAGTGACAAAAAAAAGAGTAATGTAATATTTTAGGACTATCTATTTCTTATAAATGTACTAAAAAATCAAAGTCCGAAAAAAGTAAATACTTTCCTAGATAATAGGTGTCTTACGGTATGTCGATCACCCTATATATATAAACACTAATTTTAAAAAATCATTAACTTTAAGAATTTTCATTATTGCAAAACATTTGTAAAATAATAGCACCAATCAAATTGCATACTGATAAACTCACAATTCTCAAAAAACTGTTATGGCATATTATACTGGTGGATTTTTTTTTCTTCAAATAAGTAGGTATTTTGTTATGAAAAATGTAAAATGTATAATTAAACATTGTATTATTAGATAGAGAAGAAAATAACCGGTAGTAAAACTATGTAAATCCAATGTGTATCTTATAATGTATAAAATTTCGTTAATTTGTAAAGTTATGTTGTTATCATAATATTGATAACGCACCTATGCAATAAAAAGTATGGCCAAAACAACACAAAGCATTTTAATTAGGATAAAATATACCGCTATAGATCTATTTTATTTTGTGTGTAAAATTTTAATGTATTTTAGTATGTTTTTAGATTTTAAGTGGAGCAAAAAGCTTATGGTTTTACAAAGATGTTTATTTTTTATTTTTTATTATTTAACTGTGCGCAACTTTTCTACTACAAGACTTTCTACCTGTAGCACCTTTTTTGAAAGGAAATCGGCGCGGAGAAATACTTAAAGGGGGTTATTTTTTGATTTTCTCTGGAGTTTTCTCATCAAATTTGGAAAGCCGAGATAAAATATGAGAAAATCGAGAAAAACGTAGAAAAACTGAGAAAATCGGGTAAAACGTAGAAAACCGAGAAAATCGGTATAACATTAAACAAATTTTATTAAAGAAAATATATAAAGCGTTTTTAATTATTTTACTATAAAATTACATATATATTGTCCACAAAGCATTACTATCAACTGAACTCCGCTCAGAATCGTTTTTTCGGAAGCAATGGTTTATCCTTGCTTACAGATGTACTTTAAATTCATGTCTATATCCTACCTTTCCAACTTCCCACCTACACCAGTGGCTGCACCCATTCCCATTATCTTAACTTTCTTTTTATTATTATATAGCCTAAATAGATTGATAATATTTAATGTTATATTTTTATTATAGTGAAATATTATACAGCATGAACAATAAACGCTCTATTATCCCCGAAAGTATTAACTTTTTTGGGATAATTTTTGTTTTTAACAATCTATGAAACAACCAGCTTTAAAATTTTATATTACCGTTACTTTCACCTTTATTTTTGGGAGTATACCACTACCCTTTTTTGGTATTCAAATAGCGACCCGTATTAAAAATTCTATAAACAGATTAAATTTTAGTGTTAAAATTTGTTATTTCCATCAACCCGTTGACGAGATATTTCCCACTTTTAAGTTTGGGATAAGAAGAGTATACCTAGTGAAACACTACCTATTCAAACACCGCACAAATTATGCTCCACTATTCAAACTTCAAAGTGAAATCCAGTTAGTCTAGATCCCCCCCCCCTAGACACCAAAACAATTTCAATAAAATGTATTCTAAAAAGAGGCACCTCAGAAAAATGTTGGAAACTGGTTACTGTACTGAATAATATTTGGACCTACGGAATTACGATAAATCATTGCTTGGCTGCCGAGTATTATTATTCTCTGTAGGTATTCATATATTTTAATATATATTAACAATAATAGCTTGTCTTTACGGAAAATTATTACTTTAAAAAAATATACAATATACACAGCAAATAAAAAAAAAAAATTGAATCCAAATTTTACTAGGTTTTCGGGCATTTTGATACTCGTTGTCTCGGTGAATAAACTCGCACGATTTGCTTTTTACAGACATATTTTTAATTTAATATTTTTACATTCACAATTATATTAAAATTATTTATTATTTAAATTATAAATAAATTGAATCACTGAACCGAGGTAAAATGTATCCTAATTAAAAAGGAAGTGAACGAGTAGCTCAAAAAATAATTCAAGCGCCAATGCACTTAATAACTCTAAAATGCGAAAAATATGTTTTGAACATTTTGTTTCAAATAAAGTAATTAAATTAAAAAGTATTTACTATCAAAAAAAAAAGAAAAACAATTACCTACTTAATTTAATTATATGCCATATAATGACAAAATTATTAAAAAAAATTCTTTTGTACATTTTATTGATTTACAGATATTTATTTAATTTGACATTCCTTCTTCTGACACTAAAAAATGATACTTTTATTTTGTATATTTTGTGATCTTATTAAAATGATTATTTTAATAAATTTGAAATTTGGCGAAAAAAAACACGCAAAAAGCATAAAAAAAACCTACAAATAAATGCTTTAAAAAATAAAATGACCTAAACAGTAAATGAGCAACATAAAATTACAGATTTGGCTTTGTCGTAACATGAAATAAATTTCTTTTTGCTGACCTATTTTAACAACTGCACAAAAAAAAAAAAAAAACCAAGACAAATAATAGAATTGCTGTGTCCACTCATTACATTCGGTATACGAAACCATTAAATTTAACATATTCTTACAGTATATGTATCTATTTATATTACGTATAATATCCTTGTTGACCAAATCAACAATCGTCAATCGTAACTATAGTAAACAGTAACTAGGTACTTACGGCCAACGTTGATAGTAAAAGGTATCTGGGACTTAAATTAGGAATGCCCATTCCACAAGCGCACAAATTCCCGATGTCTAAACGTGTTTTAAACAATAAACTATAAATACCATATTACTCAACTTAAAAAGAATTTGGTAACTTTTATATAGGTATGCATGTCCATTGTCCGGACTATAATAATATAAATGCGAAACTCTATTCGTTACATTTTCGCGCCTTGACCGCTGAACAGATTTCGATCAAATTTGGCGGAAAGATAGATTGCATCCTAAGAAAAAACACGAGCTACCTATTGTCTAAAAAAAAAAAGAACCTTAACAGGGTGAGTTACATGGGGTTATTAGTTATTATTAGGTTATTTTTAGTTAAAAAATCGAATTATATTTTTGTTGATTTATGG